TAAAGGTCGCCTAGTTCTCGCATATTAAAGCGTTCCTTTAGTAACTAAGTAACAGCTTCTAGTGCTAATAGGCTATAGGCGATAATAATTATATTATCGACGTAGATAACAATAATCGAGCTGCTAACGTACTTAAACACACAGACGTCGGACATTATTAGAATGAAGTCTAGGCTCTTTAAGTACTTCCGAAGCTCTTTATACTATAGCATTAGTAACTGCTTTAGACTATATAGGGCCTTTAGTAGCAGGCAAACTATGCCCTTACTACTACGGTCTTTAAAGCCGTATAGCTGTTTAACGTAGATCTTGTGCTTATCCCTAATAAGTGCGTTAAGGAAGGCTATTAGAATGTCGTATTGCTTAGCCTCTAGGTCGTAATAAGCAATTAGGCCAAACAGCGCTCGCAGTATAGAAGGCTTAGCTACTGCCGCATAGGTCTTATTATAGTCTTGTTCCTTAACCTAAGTAAAACTACGGACGACCTAACGAGCCTTAAACCGGCTTACCTTACTATTAGCGTTACGCTTAATAGTAAACACCTATCGGCTACGAACAACCTTCCTGCCTTCTAGTATCTCTAACTAAGATATATAAACCTATATATAGTTGTCAATTAGTAACTTGTATTTAGCCTCGCAAGCTTCCTTCTACTATAGCTAATATAGCGACTAAGTTGCGTCCTTATAACTCTTTAGAATAGGGATAGTTTCTTTAGGCTTATCGGACTACTTAGCAATATAGCAGGAGGCTATAAAACCCTTTATATAGGCTATCGGCATATTAGCTATTATACGTCGAGTTAACCGCTTAACACTATAATTAGCTAGATAGCTACGCAATAGGTTACGAGCCGACTTATTGCTCCGTATCTTACGCGTAGAACGATTACTAACAGCTTTAGCTAGCCGCTTAAACTCAGGCAACTAGCCTAGCTCGCCCTTCTTAGCGTTTAGATTATATACTAGCTCTTCCTCGGCTAACTAAAAGCTATTTTTATTACTTAAAGTTAGTAGTTAAACTAGTTGAACATCTAGAAGGTCGTTATAGATTAGCAACGGATTAGCGACCTTATCGGCTATTTCCTATATAGGTCCTTATTTAGGCTGTTCTTCTTGCTAAGCTAGAAGCCGCTAGACTATACTAGTAGCCTCGGTAGGCGACGGAGCCTCGTTACTTGTAGAATTAAACAAAGCCGGCATAATAGACTTAAGGGTAACAAACTCGTTCTTAGAAGGGTTATTAGGATTAGTATATAGATCTATGCTATTTAGAAGCAGAAGGTTACTATCTAACTTAATAAACTAAACATCCTTAGAAGCGATAACCTTGTGTTAATTAGGTAGGTAGATTATATACTTTCTAGAGTCTATAGAGCCCTTAGCATAGCTAACTAGCTTGCTAACAAGACCTCTACTATCTATCTTCTTTCTACGAGCGACACTATAATCGTATATAATAGCAGTATAGCTATAGGCTCGAAGGTACTAAAGGCGTAGCTGCTTTTAAGACCAATTAAGCTCCCTAGCTATAATAGTATAGGGGCTAAGACCTTCTAGGGTTCTAGGTGTAATATTAAGGACCTATATAGCGGAGGTAATAGTATATAGCTATAGAGACTTTAGAAGGTTAGCCTATAGCATTATCTTTCTCGCAGTCGTATACACGATGTAATTACTAACCTTAGCAAGGCTATTCTAAGTTAATAAATAAGGTGTAGTAACTTGCAGTACAATGCCCTCGTCTCGAGCCTAATTTAATAGCTAATTTCCGCCGTATTTACCCCCTCTATCGAGGCGGTAGATTAGGATTAAGTAACTAGTCTATATACGGATATATATACGATAGTCCCTAATAGCTACTATAGCCCCTAACTTAAGGGTGCTAGCGTATTCGTATCGATAGCCTAACTTAGCGTATATAAATAGTGTAAAATAGCGCTCCTATAACAGACTAGGATTAGTAATAGTAACTATATCTATATAGACAATATAACAGATCGTAGATAGTCGTACGCGTAGTAGCCGATTATATTCCTTATATAATATAGCTATACGATAGGCAATGCAGTTGCGGAAGTCGTTCTTAGCGCTAGTAATAACAATCTAGCCCTTAGACTCCATTCTTAGCAGCTTACGGTAATAAATACAGCTATATCGCAGATGCTACCCTTCTATCGTACCTATTAGTACCCCCGAAGTTACCCCCTTCTTCGACAGAAGCGTAACAACTTAGCTATCCGGTCCGGAGGTTAGTATATATAGATAGGGGAGACTATTCTTTTAGTATGTCTAAGCAATAGTAACCTCCGAGCCGTTAACAATAGTAAATAGCACGCGCTTATCGTTCCGATAGAAACAGCCCTTATCGGCAAGCTTCTTAGTAGATAGGAGGTTAGCTGCTAGACCTAGCATATATAGTGTATTAGACAACTTTATGCTGCTTATACTACGTTTATTAACTACCTTAGTCCAAGCTATTCCGACTATCGTAGCGTGCTTCGTATTGCTACTAAACCGGATAGGAATATAACAGCCTTCGTATTTAATAAGTAATAAAGGGTTATTAACTATGTATATGCTAGTACCTAAGTCGACAACCTAATTAGTAGTACGAGTCGCTATAGTAAGTGCTATAGAAGCTGCGTTACTAACAGTAATCGCATTGAAGGCGTAGTTGCTACTTAGGTCTAATAATACCCCCGGGGTAGCATTAGCCGCATATAGCCCCTAAGCACTATTCTAACTAGATAGCGGCTGCTACTAAGCAGTTAGTCTACGCTGCTACTATTGCTATACCCCCTTCTTCTTAGCCTTCTGCTGTTTACGACGCAGTCGGTCTTCCTCCTTTAGGTAAGAGTACTTAGTATAGTAGCGGTTAGAAGGGTATAACCCCTAACAATAAGCGCACTTCTTACGGTTAGACTAATAACTATTCTAGTTGCTTCTACCGCGGCTACGACTATTGTTGCTATTTCCGCGGCTACTACGACCGCTATAGTTCGAGTTACTTCGACCGCTATTATTGTTGCTATTGCTACCTTATTATTATAGTTAGCGCTAAAGACTAAAGAAGCTATTATATTAGGCCTAGTTTAATTGAGCTATATTCTTATTAAGCAACGCGCTAATAATGTTATTAAGGGTATTGTTATTAATAGTGTATTCTAAGGCGCGTATCTGCTTACGGCGCATTTGTACGAATGCCTCGTAGAATAGTGCGATCTGCATAATAAACATATAGATAGCCTAATATTAGCTAATAGCTAATTTAGTATCCTTTAAGGCACCGAGCTTCTTCTTATACTTATTGCAGAACTTCTTAATGTCCTTGCTATTATACCGAAGGGTAATATATTCCTAGTAGAGTATAAATTTAGTAGACCTACCTTTACTAGTATATTTCTTCTTAAGGAAGTCCTATACTTCCTAGGATGTAGATAGACTAAGCAGTAATTGTTAAATATTACTAATACAATTAGCAAAGATCTAGGTACGTGCTATTTAATCTTTAGAGTCCTATTCGTCTTAGCGGTCTTTAAACTCCTTAGAAGACTTACTAGAGGCCTTAGAAAGGGGTCGCTAGCGGGTGCCTTATATATAGCGCTAGACCGACATACCTTTAAGGGCGCCTTTAGCGGTATAGGCCTATGCTAGATAATTCTCCTTGTTCTTTAGCTTAGGGATGTTGCTTATATAAGCGTTAGTAGTTATAGGGGGAGCTATTACGGACAGCGACGGCGATATAGAAAGAGACTATAGACTTGTCTTAAGGGGCGGCCGACAGGCGCGCTTATATTTTAGTATAGCGGACAGCTAACACTAATGTAGCGGACAGCTAATACTAATAACTCGAGTCGGACTAGCACCTACTAGAACCCTTAAGGGCGGCGGCGACGATAATAGTATCGGCGCAATTTTTAGTAACGAGCGCTAGCTACGCAGCTGTCGGAGTAACTATTAGAATACATATTAAACGTATTATATGCGTTAGAAACGCAGGGGGCTTATAACTACTTAATATAAACTATATTATATTTAGAAGAGGGCTAATTCTATAGGAAGCCTAAAGATAAAGTACGCAGTTTTAGCCTTAGGCATTATGCACGTAATACTACATACTATACACTTCTTTAAGTAAACGGACTCTAAGTCGATAGGGATGTTAAAGTCAAAGTCGACTAGAGTTACAGAGGTTAAACTAGCTAGAAACTGTAATTCGAAAAAGTACTACCGGGCGGGCCTAGATAATGTAATTGTCTAGGCCTTATATTATCTAGGTACGCTACTATATATTATATATTAATTTATATTCCTTAACGAGTACTTACTTAGTAGGGGAATATCTATATAAATAGCTATAATACGATAGAAACGGCCTAGACTAGAGATAGGATTCTAATTACAATTCCGAACGCTAATTAGCTTACTATACTATACCTTAGCTATACTTTAGCTTTAGCTATATATACTATTCTAAAATGCTATCTATTTATATAATCCCTAAATAATCCTATTTTAACTTTAAGCTACCGAAGCTATAGATTAGGCCGAAGATAAGCCGGAGTCTACCTTAGGTATAGTACGAGCGATTATCGGCTAGAGCTTCGGTAATATAACCTTCGGTAATCTAAACCCCTTCTAGACTATAAAGAGAGGTATAATAGGAGGGGTACTTAGACGAAGATACTATCTAGGAATCCCTATACTATATTATCTTTACCTACGAAGTAATCGAGAAATTCCTATAAGACTATATCGACTATATAACTATAGAAGAAGCTATCCTAGAGTACTTCCTCTAAGAAGTATTAAATAGAATTTAGAACAAGGTCTACGACCCTTACACTTGTTGTTACGATATTGTAGCTTTGTTATTAGTCTTAGTATACGTTAAAATTCTCGGCTAGTCCCGTAGAATTTCTGCTCGCACAGCTCAGAGGGCGCTTTACTTGTCGAATCATTTGATTTCACGCCAAGACGACATGTTGCTGAGGGGGGCTGGAACAATAAAGTGCTTCTTTTCGCTTGGTATCTGATCAGACACAATATCACAATGTACTCCTCCAACGCCAACGCGCTTTGGCAGCTCTCGGTCACTGTTCGAAAGCGAAGCCAATCCGTCCACTTCTCATCCCACCTTTGACACTCGTCGAGCTGCGCTAAGTTCTCGTCCGCTTCAGAGCTGCAATACCGTGCCGTCTTTGCTACAGATTGCCCTTCCAGACACTAGGTATTCTTTTCTCTCCTGACCCTGCTCGATAGGAAGCCCCGGGCCTTCTGGTCCGACAAGAGTAATGTATCGTTGCTGCACGGTAATGGCCAACTTGATAGCTTGCTCTCCATTTCGAGCACTCACTGGTTGTGCTGAGCTCAGAGCAGAGAGTCCAGACGCGTGAACACGCTCAAGCATGCCGCAACGACCTCCAATTGCAACTCCTTATCCTTGGCCGCGTTGACCTCATCGCGAATAGCCTGGTCAAGATTGGCGCCAATGGCCGCAGGACCTCCAGTTCTACGCCCAAATGGCCACTGTGAGTACTCCGCAAGAAGTTCGTCCACCTGAGCAAATGCCCTTTCTCGCGCCTCGTGACCTAGTGTGACCAAAGCATTTTCGAGGACGTTCGCAGCGTAGGCAGCGCAGAGCATAGCCACGGTGCGCAGATGTCTGAACTCCATTCCCTCAGGCAAGAATTCAGATGCGGGAAGCACTACTGTTCGGTTCGTGAGCACCGCTCGGACTCTTCTCCTGATCTCGTCTTTCGCACCACCGTCCGCGACTGGATGTGTGGCCATGTCGAATAGGAGGAAGTTACGCTTCTCGGTTCGGAGGATGCCCTTGTCGACCAGACCCTTTGCCAATCGTTCGCGGACTTGCTTCAGCTGGTAGCCGATCTTCATAAGGTTCCATGTCTCACCTGCATATCATTAGCATTCTGCGTGTGAGTCCATGGCTGGTCTTGAGAGCCTTACCTGACATGAGATCAATCCACGAACTCACGCTCATCTTCTCACTGCTCTTCATCATCTTCAATGCCTCGTCAAGCAAGACTTCTCCCGTCAATGTGTCGTCTACAACCTCAATGAGTCGGTCTGCAAGCGGGAATCTCCTCCTCCCGCTATCCCTCTGCATTGAGATCCTCCCTCGGAATGCAAGCTCAATCACAATGCATCCTCGCAGCGCATATGAGATATTGTCGTTCCAAAAGCTCAGGTATCCTTGCTTATCTTTCAGTCCCATGAGGAGCACTTCCTCCATGAGTGTGAGCTTCGGCTGCTTGCTGCGCTCAACATTCTCGCTGATGTCTCGGGGGTCGAATGCGATCTTGTGTCCATTCTCGCCGGCTTCGTAGGATGTCTCAGGTGCGGAAGAGAAATTATTCGGGGGCTTTGGCGCTGGGCTTGAGACTCTGCTGCCCTCCTCGTCACCGTTCGCCGTGGTTGCGCCGCCGCCCGCGCCTCGCCGTCGAGTCAGGCCTGAGCCCGAGGCCGAAGCCATGTTGTGTATGTATCTTCAGGCGCACGTGGTGTCGGCGCAGAGGATGCGACGGGAATTCCAGCGTTGGCTTTTGAGGTGGATGTTCGCACACGTGCCAGGGATCGCGCAGGGCTGAGGGAGAGCGGGCCTCAACGGCGAGGGCGAGTGAATACTGTCGGTCGCCGATGTCAGGCCGTGATGCGCGACAGTCTCCCGCAAAGCTTGCGAACGATTATGCTGGGATAGAGATGAGTCGCAATTGTTATGAAGTGTGTGCAGTAGTACGGAGCAGCCTGGGCAGGAGAAGGTGCTTTGAACCTCGCTCCAACTAACTACGTGGCTGCCGCCGCGCGAGCTTTACTAGCGCCGATCAACATCGATCATTTAATGCTTGACGAAAGATGCAATGCATGTGCTCTGAATTGGAAGTGAACAGAACAATCTCGTTATTGACAGCAGGTACAGTGCCTTTAGCAGATGCTTGGGAAATCTATCAATGCCGCAGCGCACTCGTGACGTCAAAGGCAGCCCAATGGCTGAACAGAAATGTGTCAACAAGAACTGTGCATGACAATGTGACAGATTGGAGTTGATGGTACAGATCGTGTCGGGTGCTCAATTCAAGAGCTTGCAATGTACATGATTTTGCCAGGTTCTGTCTGGACTCCGCCAGGCCACGCCCCATATCTGTATGCCAACAAACCTCCTGCCCTCGGGTCTTTTCAAGAAAGCTTCAGGGATATCTAGTGGGCTATACAGAGTCAGTGTATGAGCTGAAGAGTGCTTTCTTTGGGACCTACCATCTGGCTGCTTCATGATGTAGTCCACGGCTTGACTCACTGTACGGCGTTAGTAATTTGTTCTGCTCCAGTGGAGCTCTTCCCCTCCACGTACCGCTGTGGATTGCGTCTGCCTCCTTATCTGGGATCTCAATGCTGAACTCCTGAATGTATTGTGAGCCTTTACTCGTTATCCTCGCTCTCACGCCACGAACCTCTTCTATCGCCATGACTACTTCCACGGTATCCAGGCTGTCCAATCCGAGGTCGTTGGTGAAATGAGAGGATGCAGAGAGCTACATGTAGACGTCAGTACTTGCTGGTCCTTTTCCAGAGCATGCGCGTATACCTTTGATGGGTCCTGAACCTGTGGCATGAGTTAGCTCTATGCCTTTGCATCTTCCACTTTCCCATGCATACCTTATCGAAGTTCTTCAGCAGATCGAGAATGCGACCAGTCACCTCCTCCTGTCTGAGCCCTGAAGCGCTCGCATAGCATCGTACTGCGGCGATCCTCGTTGCTGGTGTTGAGATTCGTGATGTGACGAAGGGGCTGCGGATGTATGTGCGGACGGCAGGCTGGGCCACGCGGGTGCTAGATTGAGCGACGCATCGTGCGCTTCGGAGGAGAGCGGTGCGGAACATGTTGTTGATGTAGAGGCGATGGATTAGCACAGTTATGGGCAGGTTGTACTTCTAGCAATGGGCTCTAGGAGAAAGAACGACGGGACCTCCCGAGGACTTGCCGCGGAAATGATATGAGTACTATGGGCGCAGCTTCGCCTGTTAGTCTGGCTGCGGGGAAGCCCTGCACTTCCGAAGAGCCTTGGCGAGTAGCCACACCGCTATTTTCTTACCAAATCCACTCTTCTAAGCTCCTCTATTATAATAGAATCCTATTAATATCGTGTCGACGATTTCCAGTGGTATAGACGACTTCTAGGTATTGTTTCTAGTGCAGTATAAAGCCTCGTCTAATCGATAAGGCCTTATAGGCGCTTCTCAAGTCTTATTTCGTCCAAGGCTATACTCCTAAGCAGATAATCGAGGAAACAAGAGTGCTAATAACCGTCAGATCGATATATCGATATTAGTAGAAGTAGAGGTTGTTTAGTAAGCTGTATATAAAGAATACTAGTGCGAAGAAGGGTACAAAGAGGAAGCTTTTATACTAAGAGGAAGAATAGCTGTATAACTACCTCTACGAGCGTCTAGACACCTATTTTATAGAGATGAGCGCTGCTCTTATAGACGAGTTTATCCGGCTACGACCTATAGTAGAAGGTAGTAAAGGAATCGAGCTTAATACGAGTATACTACGGCAGGTATTAAAACGGTAGGGGTAGACTCGTACGCGGCTTTAGGTAAAGGCAAAGGAACGCAACCCATTACTAAGGGCTCTATAGGTAATTAGGTGCGCGAGTTGGCCGGTAGATAGGCTTGTTTTCATCGACGAGACGGCCTATAATTAGAAAACTAGTTAGCGGAAGTATAGCTAGTTACTACGAGGTATAGCATGTTATGATTATTAGTATGCGAAAAGGGAAGTGAGATGGTCTATCTTACCCGCCTTCACTATCTATAGCTATTTGCTATATACGTACGTATACTAGGGTTCGATTAATAGTGAGCGATTTAGTACCTAGTTAGAGGAAGAGGTGCTACCGTACCTTGCTAATAGTCCGTCAATAATATTTATAATAGATAATGCGAGTATCTACTATAGCAAGAGGGTTAAGGAGGCTATACTAGAAGCTAGTTACTATCTCGAATACCTTCTACTATACTTACCGGATTTGAATCCTATCGAACAGATATTCAATCTGCTTAAGAAGACTATTAAGAAGTATCGCTATAAGGTGCCGCTTTTCGAAGGTTTCTAGGACTACTTAGTATAGTGTTTACACAAGTATAGAGGCTAAAGGGCTCGTAGGTTGTTTAAACACGCTAGATATAACGTCGAGGGCCGAGATTTGCCGTACGATCCTAAAGCCTTCGAAATAAGCGCTAGATCCGTATAGAACATGCTTAATATAGATGCTGAAGAGTCCGCATAGTATACGCAATATAAGGGCACGCCGCCGATAGTGCTAGATAACCTAGATAATTATATATTGAGTAAGGAAGAGCTTGAACAAGAACTAGAAGACTCGGATATAGACTTCGAGGATTTCGAGTAAATTCACTAGCGCCGGCAAGCGCCGAGGGCAGAGATTTAGGTGAATAGTTCGAACGCTAGCTTTTCTTACCGGTCTATTTGTTTTATAAGCAACGCATTTCAATTAATATACTAAATCGGGTCTAAATGAGTGTATATATAGCAAGAATCTCCCGCTTATTATAAGGTTGTATGTGTTGTAGTAATGAAAAGAATATTGCCTAAAGAAAGCCCGAATTCGATTACATCTCGCCCTCCTCCGTAGCGGCTCTATCCGTAGCGATAATATTATCGTCCCTCTGCCTCAACTATTCTCGTATAGCCTCTTTCAATCTTAGTCGCATACTATACACTTCCTTAAGCTCGAGAGGCTAGTTAGATTGGTCTATATTAGCGATAGCATCGAGGCGCTATGCTATTCCTACGAACACCTTTATACAGGCGCGGAGAGAGTCCTATTCCGCGAAATCCGGCTAAAGGGCGCACTACTAGAAGAACTCGGTCGTAGTAGCCTCAGAAATCACTATGCGCGGCACTTTGATAGGCGCCTTATAACCTAAGCGATAACTAGCAAGAGTACGAGTAGGAGTCTTCGACGGCGTGCTAGGAATACGACCGGAGCTATAGGTTTGCTAGTGTAGCATTCTACCTACAAATTCGCCTATTATCTTCATTATTCTACCGTTAGCCTTAGCAGCCTCGCTATTGCTGCCTATTCTGCGTACCTACTAGCCTTAATACTTCTTCTCAATCTTGCGAGAGATCAACATAATCTCTATCGATACTAGAAGCCTATCTAGCTAAGAACCATCCTTATTCTGCATATACTAGCCTTTAGTAATAGCCTAGCTTAATTTAGTTATTGCGGCTTCGAAGAAGGGGAAGTGATTCTTACTAAGCTCCTTTACCGAGCGATTAAACTAGCATATAGCCTCGCCGGCCTTGCTGCTTTGTTTACAGTCTTTACAAGTACAGAGCCACTCGTTAAGGATCTTGAAGTCGTATCTACTAGCAGACTCTAGTTTAGCGACAATTGGACTAGTATTCCTTATTTGGACCGTATCGGGGTTCTTCTTCTACTTCTTAATTGCCTTGCCTTTGCTAATAGCTGCTACTACTAGCTTAGGCTTGATATAGAAGTCTATATCTACGAAGGGGTTCTTCCTCGAAGCCTTTACTAGATCTACGGCTACGTCGAGAGCTTGTCTATAAACCTTATTACCGTCAATCTCATTATCCCCTACTTAGTACTAATCGCTAGTAAAAGTAGTCTTCGAGCCGTTAGCGCCTGCTCGGATAACAATACGATAAGGCCGTTGATAGCTATTAAGCTAAGCGGACTTCGCGGCCTACGAGTAACTATCCTATCCTTCTATCTTCCTCGTAATAAGGAACTTTACCGGCTTCGTAGCTAGCACTCGAGCGCTACCCTTCTTAGCCGGATTAAAGACAGTCTATTGTCCTTTGTAATAGAAGACTTCTACACCTTCCGAGAAAGAGCTAGGCGTAGTTATTGGGATATTGCCGGTAGCAAGAGCGGCTACGCTGCTAGCAGCCGTCGCCGCCTCCTACGTAGCATTAAAAGAGGAGGTAGAAGAAGCTTTAGTAGAGGAAGAAGCGGCCATTGTGCTAGGCAAAACCCTACTATTATCCTCTACCGGCACTGCTACGGTCTCCTTGCTTAACGTAGCCGAGGAATCTACGATTAGGTTGGGCTCTATAACGGCAATCGCTTTGCCCTTCTTGCCGGTAGTAGACCTACTCTTTAGACTACTCTTTGCCTGCTGCTAAGGCCTATTAGCACCTCTTCTTGTTAGCGGCGGACTAATAGCCTTCTCGAGAGTATGGATCACCTTCTTTAGCGTTTGTTAGTCGTCTAATCGCACTAGAGGCTTGCCGGCGGTCGCACGTGTCGGTCTTAGCGCCATTATTGCAGTGGATTGTCGTAAATGGCTAGAAATCGATGGAAATACGCGTACAAGGCTTGAATACTCTGTTGAACGATAGGAGGCGGGAAGAATGGCGAGATTCTATATACAAAACCACCCCTATATCCCCCCTAGTAGAGCTCGAGAGAGGTGGAGGCTCTGCGGGCCGTACTGACAGGCGAATCTGCGCCCATAGTAAGCAAAATCACGACCTCAGGACTTTGACTTGATGGACTTTTCTCACCAGCACGACTATTGACGGGCCTCAGAAAGATCAATGCCAAATGTTCGTACGCCACAAATGGTCGTCATGCATCCGCGGAGCGCGATCTCGACCATTTGGTGCAAGATGATACAGCTGCACAGCAGAGCTGCACAGCTCTACCTCGCAGAAATCCAATGATTGCGCACAAGACTAGGTTCCGGTGCGATACAATTCGTAAATCTGCAATTCCGGAGGGCTCAGACTTCATACTCGAGATCGCAGACCACGAAATACCTTCTTTCACCATGCTGCAGAACCTCTAGACTTCTACTTCCAATGGCCCGTGAAGCCTGTGCCATACATAGATCCGCTAACACTGTTGCTCTATCGATTTTGGGAACGTATTAGGCAATCTCTGATGTTTCCAGGTGAACGCCCTTGCTTGGCTGATTGCTTGGCTGATTGATAACGCTCAAGAGAAGCACGATCTCGCTCTGCACACACGGCTACTCAGAGCTGTTGTCCACTCCCCAGTAGGCGCGGGTCACACCAAATTTCTCAGGATTGGCTAACTGTGTATCACGTTGCTTCCTGTGCTTCAGCTTGGCACAAGCAAGAGCAGAATCGCTGGAGAGAGTCGGTTCTTCCGAAACCAGCAAAGGCATCGCGTGTAAAAGTTCCTTCCGAACTTGTCTCCTTCTCTCAAGCTACGTTGATCGTGCAATCCTGCTCCGAGACTACCTCATGTTCCTGTATCAAAACTTCAGGAAGCTTTCCGTCTCTTATTGAGGCTGAAGGAGTTGTCGCCGCTTGACGCAAAGGTCTTGGTGGAGGGTAGGCTCGTGTTTGCATAGCAGGAATTCCTCGAGTAAAGCTGAGCTCTACTAAGCTATACAGTCCGCCGCTCCGGAAAGCGTTCATGTAAAATGTTTCTGAAGCCCAATGAGGTGAAGCCTTCCATGTGCGGTGTGGCATCCAGCGTTCTAGGTCGTTTCGAGCCTGGTTGCAATTTGTGACCAAGTATCGGCCGCTTTTCAGCATGAAAATCCAGTCACGAGAGTTTAAGACATCCGCAGCCTTACTCTTGGAACCGTGTTGCGCTGAACGTTGTGTCGGCTTTACACCAGTGCTATGGTGAATGATCGTGCCGCCTTGCAGGGTAAACGTTCAGCCAGAACTTTTATTTGAGGTTTCCAGTAATGTTCCGCGTCACCAGAATAAATGCTTGGGAAACTGCGTAGAGCCGGTTTCGGGTGCTACTGCGGCAGCTGGCTTTGCGCTCCTCTGAGAGTGCTGCGTGCTCGGTGGCTGTGACCATTGTGGTTGCATCGGCAGCGATTGATGAGATGCCGTTCGATGGTGGTTTGAGATTGAGAATAGCGCTTCACCTGCCTCTCTCGTCTCCTGACTATATCTTCGAAATCCTGGTCTGGCCATAACCGCTTCCGGTGCTGCCCAAGGCTCGTTCCTTCTTTGCGCAGATGGGTACTGCTGATTGTAGATGTCGATGTCGTTTTGATCTCCGCTTCCAAAGTTCGAATTCGAGTCCAATGGAGATGTTTCGTAGGCTGCATCGGTCACTGTGCTGCTTGGCAATCGACCTGGTGGGATCATCGTGGTGCTTTCCGCCATTGATGGCGCAAGAGATGGACGGGCCTGCCTATGCGGTATCTCGCCAGACCTGCGATGTCTTTCCCACGCCCTGATGCCGTCTAGGCTGTTCAGAGGATGTGAAGACCAGTATTCCGAGCCAGACATGGAGCTCGTCCACGTGTGATGGCTTGGACCGCCGCCGAAGGCAGACTCATGCTGCAGTACGTCGAGCAGATCGGCATCGGATGTCCTATTAAGTACGCCGAGAAGGAGTTTTTCTGTGTCTTGTAGCCTGTCCTGCAGGGCACGTAGGTAGTCTTTGGCTGGTCCTCTACTGCAAGTCAGCCTATGGTCTCATGCCTGATGTCTTGGCACAGTTGTGCTTGCCTCTTCTTCGTCTCACTCCACCAACACTCTTCGTTGTGCACTCTACATTGATCGCAAACAGGCCTGGCAATCGACCTCGTCGTCAGCATGCCGCTGACATGGACAATTCCTTGTTGCAAACGTCAGGGAGGCGCGACACACTTCTCACCCGAGCATTTCTGTCTCTTTGCCCGGCAAACTGCACAAGCTGCAGTGATACGAGAGCGCCGAGTCTTTTCTGGAGCCGAAGCCGTCGCAGGCATGGTATTGGCGCCGCGATGCACACGGTACAGAGTGTCTTGGTGCTGAGCTGAGATACAGTATTCTAGATTTGAGGCTGAAAGTTGACCTCGGCAGGGTGGGCGCGCGAAAAACTTTCTTCCGCACGCACTTTTCACGCGTCCATGGCGACGGCGACGGCGACGGCGACGGTAGAGCACGACAGCGGGAGGCATGGAGGCGACCGAGTCGCCAGCTAGTACTCAAGAGACAGGCTCCCTGACGCAGCCCTCACCACATCACGAGCGCCGTTTCATTGGAAGCAGCTCGGGCGTGTACTTCATCAATACCGTCAGGAAGGCCTTCGAAGTCTCTCAGCAAGAGGAGCCAAGCCGTTTGCCAGCTGCGGAAGAGACTGTAGGGGGCGAAGATGACTTCGCACCATCTGCTCGTAACTCGCCAGAACGAGGTCAAGGCTTCGAGCTGAATATCAACGGCCAAAGGGCCATTGAGATCAATAGCTCTACCCAGCTTGGCTCCCTTCCGCCTTATGCCACTGCTCAGCAAGCCATTGTCGAGTACTTCAAGACATGGCATCCCATCTTGCCCTTCCTTAGCGGACCGGCATTCTTGGCATCCATGGACGCACTCTACCAAGATCCACGCACAGCTAAAGGTTCCGGTCGCATATCTGCTGACCGTCAAAGGCTCTGCAGTCTGATCATCTTCCAATGTATCCTTGCAATTGGAACTTTCAGCCTACCTATCGCGCTTCCGAGCCAAAGCTCTCTGCCATCAAAGTCAAATCTCCTTTCCCTTGTGGCGTCGCTCGCATCAAGACACGACATACTTACTATTCAGACATTACTCGCTGCACAAGTATATTGTGTGTCTACGTTATCTCTCCGGACAGCATCGACCATTGGCGGTATTCTCAGCAAGCTCTTATTCCATGCCGGGATGCATCGATGCCCATACCGCTATCCTCAGCTATCGAACGAGGACCGCGATCTTCGTAAGAGGATCTTGTGGAGTGCCTACTCGATCGACCGCTACCTGTGCCAAGCTCTTGGAATACCAGTGTCGCTATCGGACAGCGAGATCGATGTATGTGTGTCGGGTCGGCGAGAGGTTCATGGGACAACGCCGACAGACCTAAATGGTGTTCCGCTGCCCACACCCAGCGCGGAACCCAACGCCTTAGGTAGCAACAGCGAGCATGCCAATGCTGCTGGTCCGCATGCAGATGTGATGGATGATGCGAACAGGAGATTGGAGGTGATTCTTGCCAATTTCGTGGAATATGGAAGATTGGTGGGCAATCTCATGGAGCTATTCCATATATCCTTGCATTCACGCAAGAATGACCCACGGAAGATTCTATTCCTACGCTCGGATGTCGATAAATGGTTCAACAGTATGCCCTCTGAGCCTACTCCGTCATATGCCAACACTGGAGCCGACGAGCAGATCATCCGGTTCTTGCCTTTCCTCCATGTTCTTTACGAGCAGCTAAAAATATCCATTCACCGGCCTTCTTTATCTCTCCCGAGGTCGACGCCAGAGTTTCATCACTCACTCCAAGTGACGATCCGTGCTGCGAAGCGTACTATTCTTGCCATGGAAAGGCAGACGAATTTGTTCTGGCCTGGTTATGTGGCATCAGTCTGGATGTCAGGTCTCATCATCTCGTTCGCCTGCCAAATCGGGATGTATAACACCTCTCAAGGATCCACCGAGATCCTCCGCTGCTTGGATTTGCTCAAGCGAATGGGCGAGCGATGGAGGAGCGCGCAGAGATGTTATGCCGCCCTGTCCACCCTGCTCTCGGACTTGCAGAGGAATCAACGTCGTATCAGCGACCTTCAGGCAGAAGATGACCCCTTCGGCAGGCAAGCGAAACGGGCAAAACTCGACACGCCGGCTTCCGAAGCTGGGCAGACTCCTACGTCGATCTCTCCCACATCCAACGCTGAGGTGTCGCCAAACGGACGTAAGACGAAGAAGCAAAAGACGGATTACATGTCTGTTCCCATGTCCACGAGCGGCGGGACCGAGTGGGACGTCAACGACATCTTTCAGGATCTGAGTTGGGAAACCCTCTTCGACATTGGTGATATGACACAGGATACCGACATGCACTTCATCGCGAGATGAGTTACTCTTCGCAAATATGGAAACCAAGAGCGGCAAAGCCGAGTGTCGTTTGATATGGAGTGCCGCGAACAGAGAGATATCGCCATCCTTGCGCTCTGTGCTGTGCTGTTCTACGCAGATCCAGTCATTTGGCGCGGTGCAGAGTTCAAAATCTAGATCTCCGAACTGGTTGTTTCAGGCATCTCCGCCACCATCGAATCCTTGGCTGAATCGTCCATGAAACCTGGATGTTCCTAAACCCCGGCCATTCGAAGCCCGCTTCGGCTGGGGAAGCCCGTCCATACTGCTGCTTGTGACCTAGGTCTATTTTCACCTTTTGACACAGCTGAGCGACTTCAAGCAGCAAGTAAAAAGAGCTGTATTAATGTTCAAGAGCCATCGACCAGCAGCGCTTTGCGATCTGTGCGACACACCTCCACATCAAGAGCCACTTGGCGAAAAGATATTGGCTCTTCGGAAGAACACTCCTGCTGCTCCTACAAGTTCTGGACACGCTCAGCGCCTGTTTCGAAGGCCGTTTGTGGCATCCTGAATCTTGAAAGCGAAACAAACGACAGTTGGTGACTGTAGCCCGATCTCGTTTGTCGCAATGTCTTGCTCGATGGCGGTTCTTTTGCTCTACCCTCCAATCTCTGGCTATTCCGACCATTGTACCATTTTGAGGGGAGCCGTCCGTGCATCGGAGTATTGAGCCAGTGCAGCACCTGGAGTACACTGCTTTTTGCTGGAGCTTGAGCCCGCCTCGATGGACTCCCCCGGACTTCCAAGATCTCGGTTGTGCCTTCATCAGCATGTTTGTTCGCAGTGTGAGTCAAGTGGCTCTGATCGAGTATGCTTCGGTGAAATATCATCGGCTATCCGCCTTCCATCAATCTGGGCAACGTGCTCTCTCTATTTTTCTTCTGCTTGAACGTGTGGCTCTAAAGCATCATGTTGGGATTTAAGTTGTCCAGTGGTATTGCCTTTGCCAGTTTCATGGTTCTCGCAATAGGTTCACCCACGAAAAGGGCACTGTCGATGTCAGACGCTCAAAATGCATACGACCAACTTCAGGATTGGTACTCTTCCTCTACCGGCCTTTGGCAAGGTGCAGGCTGGTGGCAGTGCGCAAATGTGCTCACGACCATATCCAATTTGGCAATGATGAATAGTCAGATAAGGGACAACGTGCTTGCAGCGCAACAAGCCACTTTCACGTCTGCAGCACAGCAGGATGAACAGTTCATTGGCCAAAGGTTCATAAGCAAGTAAGCTGAGATGTGTCGTTCGAGCAACCCTCATGCTAATAACCGCATAGCTATTACGATGACGAGGGCTGGTGGGCTCTAGGCTGGATCGCTTCGTACGATGTCTCTGGCAACCCGCAATATCTCTCGATGGCCGAAAGCATTTTCGCTGATATGAGAACAACATTTGGAAAGACCAATTGCAGCCGTAACCGTGGGGGAACAGGCGGTATATTCTGGAATCGTGACCAGACTTATGTCAATGCGATTGCCAACGAGCTTTTCTTCAGCGTCGCCGCAGCTCTCGCAAATCGTGTTTCCGGGAAGGATTATCTGAACGTCGCTCAGCAGCAATGGAACTGGTTCCAAAGTAGCGGACTTATCAACCCAGACGGCAATATCAACGACGGGCTTACAGGTGACTGTCGTAATAATGGATATAACGTCTGGAGCTACAATCAAGGCGTTGTCCTCGGCGGCTTGGTCGAACTCTCGAGAGCAACCAGAGACGGCTCGCACATTTCCTCTGCTCAGCGTGTCGCTGATGCCGCAATTGGACTGCTAGCACCTGGTGGGATTCTGCAAGACCCATGTGAGCAGAACGGCAGGACTTGCGACAGCGACCAGACTCAGTTCAAAGGTATCTTTGCGAGGAATCTGATGTATCTGCATCGTGCTGCTCCGCGGGACAAGTATGCGAGGTTCCTCGGCAACAATGCGAACAGCATTTTGACGAGAAATACAAATGATGGCAAATTTGGGCTCAGGTGGACCGGACCTTTTGTTGCTCCAGCGAGTGTGTCAACGCACAGTTCGGGAATGGATTGTTTGATTGCGAGCCTGTCCACATGATGGGGCCTCCATCCACATTATAGTGCTATAGCTGGGATCAGACGCCAAGCATCGAAAGCAGGTCCACTGAGGCACGAGGCCAAGTATTGCACCACTTCCTGCACTGCACACCACCAGCCTGATTGAGCCGAGGCATGAACATTCACAGGGCCGTAATCCCCATCAAAACTGTGAGTGAAGCCATGACTTCACCGTGCACTGTGTCACGTGAGCAGCAAACGCACGTTGGAACGGAGTCTCCTTCTTTGGAGGCTCTAACGAAGTACACAATACCATTTATTGCTGCACATTCCTTTCTCGCAAGCCTTTGCAAGACGTGTCGCAAGCTGGTTGGTGGCCTGGTTCGCCGCAATGGTGAGATGCAATGCGACAGATTCTGCTCTTCACAACATCCTTCGATCTCCGGACATGCACGCCGAAGTCGAAAGACTCGAAACCGCGAGCACTTCCAGGATCATCCTAGCTCTGACTTTGCCCTCGCCGCCTGGAAAAGCTTCTCCCTTGCGCTCAGGTTCTCGCGGCAAGGACAAGCCGCCCCAGGATCGGCCATTCGCCCGGTCCATGCACGTTGTATGCAAGATGAAAGGTTATATCTCTCTGGGCACAGGTGCAGCGAGGGCTGAGCACTAAGGCACCCCATCGTCACATCATGTTGGGTCGTCTGCCAGAAGGGAGTTCGCAGCGGATTCCTCTTCAATTCCACCAGAAACCGTCACAGATTGAGCATGAAATCAAAGACTGCTTTGACCGCTATGAACGGTGACACAAACAACGATGAGACTTTCAACTTCTTCGGATTGCCAAGAGAAGTTCGCGATTCCATATACGATTACCTCACGGTGGAAGCCCCGATCAATGTCGCGATCTGGCTGATTCATCTGCCACACGCCTTTGCATACGTCCTGAATGCTCCTCGGCCGTCTTTACTGCAAGTCAGCAGCCCTCTGCGCGCCGAATATATGCAGCAGGTCGAAGAGAAAAGCTCCCTGCGAATCATTGGACCCACGTCGGACGGGGCGATAGCTGCTTTGCTCACAAAGGTCATCCGCCCTTTCTCCGACATCATTGAACGGTGCGAGATCTTCATGCCCATTACTTGTCATGACTGTCGTGAATGGGACAATCACGAGAGCAGAGGCCGCGTGGAAGAAGACTCTGATTCGGACGCTGGGAGTGGTTTTGGTGGAGGACCAAGCTTTTGCGGAGCGTACGACCTGCTCAGCTTCTACACTACACTTCTGGCCACCAAGTTTCTTCCCAACTTTCGAAAGCTCCATACAATTCACCTACGCATTGGAATGGTCCTTTCAGACGGCCAGCGTGCGACTGATTTCGACTGGCCACACTCGCCGCACTCCGACGACTTCGTGGCTGAGCTGTGCAAGCTGGTTCTGCTACCTGTGGTTGAAAGTTTGGACCTGGTCATCTGTCAGGAATGGGCCGACTACCGAGCGTACTGTCAAAGTGCCGGAAAGAACATTCCACAGACGTTCTCGCGCTGGAGAAGGGGACGTGGGTGGCTGGGTGAGCGGGAGCTCGAATCCGAAAGCAAGTTGAAGGCTCAAGATAGCGTCTTGGACGGGTTTGACGAGCTCGAATAGCAGTACTCGATGGTCACTTCCTGACAGTAGGGTCGCAACACCTTGATGATGAGCGAGTCTACGCATCCGCTTCTGTGAGGGTGTCGGCTCTGCAAAAAAGCTACATCCATAACTTGACCGATTTGGCTGGGCTCATCCGATGCGACGGTAGCTCCAATTGACGGCAAGAGTCTTTAGAAAAATTGGCCATCTTGGTGCCCAATGCAATCAAAAAGCAACGCCGTCCTGCGTTCAAGAAGTTGGGCTGCAGTTGGAAGAAGTGCTGCTGTGTCGAGTACAACCACGTGCCGCGTCCGGCAAATCGAGCTACCAGGACCCATACCAACCTTCGTGGGCGCTTGCCAGGAAAGATGTCAGGAACCGAGTGGCGCCCTAATGTATGCTTGGCGATGCTCTCATGACCGGAGAATCTGCTGAAACAGGTTGTCGCCAGTGTTACGTATGTATCTACGGATCGGCGACTAGCGACGCTGCCGTCCATGTACATACATTTGCTGCATGTTTTTGCCTAGCCAAAACACCACTTTCTTGCTTGTCAGGGCCCAGCCATCACACCACACTGCCGAATCGTTAGCCTGCTGTCATCTTCTGGAGTACCTAACCACTCACGCTCATGAACGCTTTTAGTTCGACTTCCGACGCGGGTTTGATCTGCGCGTTGTACACGCAGGAATGACACTCTCGATCGTCTACACATTGGTACTCGTGTGAAGAAGACCCATCCTTCGCGGTGATAGAAGCCGTGATTCCTCCGACATCTCCCACAATGCTTCCGCTGTCTGCGCTCGAGTTGTCGCCGCACCCATGGAATCGGATATCGACATTGGCGTAGCAATCCCAATCGAATTGGGCCATCTCGTCCGTCAACGGGATGCGCATGAACTCCACCGCCTCGTTCGGCGCAGATGTCTCTTTGCAGATATCTGTACTTTTCGAGACGAGATTGCTGTGACTACACCAATTGTACCCGTAGATCCAGGCATTGATTTCTGTGCTGTTGTCTGGGAGTCTGACGTATGCATCAGCATTATCATTACCTCTCACACGCTTTGCGGATTCCGATGGGACGTACTTTACTGTGCCTACCATGATATTTGGGCCAAAGGTGCTGTTGAATGCACAGGATTTAGAGTCGGGTCCTGGTCCAATGGAATTTTCGGGCTCTTTTGTGGGATCCTCGCTCTCAGCACATACGTGCAGAGTAAGGGCCACGAATATAATGAACGACTGGAATGACCGGAACATGTTGGTAAGAGCCCACCGCGCCTGATACAATGTGTACGCATGAACAGCCAGATGAAGTCGACGGGTGCTCGAAAGGAGTTTAAGTTCACAATATCCCCAAAGTCTCGCACCCATGTCAGCAATAAGATGAAATGCAAGGCACTCCGGGTACGATCTTATCCTTGTCTACATGTGGTTGGTCACTGAACTACATGACACCGTTTTGCTAGGAAGATGACACACAGCCTGAAGGTGAATTGTAGCGAAGCCAATGAGTCTCTGGGCCACCAATTCTGCTCTATCGTTACAGTTGCACCTGTGTACGCGCTCCGATGCCTCAATTACAGAAGCATCAATCAGCTGGACTGTTCACGAGACGTCATTCCAGCACCATTCAATCGTCAATTCCTACGACTTTCCTCTCCGCATCATAGCATGGCAGCCGGAGCTAGAGAATTCATACCTGAGTGAGGTCTTATTAAGCTTGAGACTATCTCAGACTTCCGGAGGCTATTTGTCTGACATCGACTAAATCTACTGTGGCACGCTCTTCCCACCCAGCGAGAACGACTGGCTATCATACCAAGTGAAGTTCAGGTAGCACCAACGACTCGCCAACGCTTCATTCCTATAAAGCCATATTTTCGGCATGGGTCTCAAACAGCGCAGCACACCGACATCTCAAGAGCAGAAAGGCCTTTCGTAGAGAGTGTGGTCCGGCACAACAGCATTGACAGATCACTCACTCGCGCTCTGCAGTTCCGAAGTAAGCTGAAACCGAGCCTTTGCCAGTCATCAATGTGGCAGCGTTCTCTTACAAATGCGACGGAGTTACTTATGGTCCCCGATATAGACGAGTGACACCTATTCAGAAACCCAATCACACTACTGAGGATACTTCATCAATCTTTTCCTGCTGCTTATTATCAGGCACGACCTTCCTCAACACAATCGCATACCATGATCAACCCGTTCAAGCAGAGTCCGAGTCAGAATTCAATAGATAAGACGACGAGAAAAAAAATTAACCTTGAAAAGAGATTCAAAGACCACCGATATCATTCATTCAACTTGATACATTCATTACACAGTCCCAGGAAAACCACCGCCCACCCACTCCATCCCCCTTCCTACGAAATCTTTAACCCCCTCCGCTCCCCATCCAACCTCTCAAACTCCCTAATTGTCCACTCGGGAGGTCCACCAATACACCTACAGCCCGCCAAAAACTCCTTCGTTACGAAATCGTTTAGGAATCGATCGATTTCTTCAATCTCTGCGACTTCTGGACTTTTGGCTTTCAAGACACGAGCTTTCATCGCGCGATACGTTGGAAGGGCTTTGGGGGGAAGGAGGAGGAGGAGGCCGTCGTCGAAGTTGAGTTGGGATTTCAGGGTTTGGAGGTGGTGGGACTTGCGGGCGGATTCTGTTTGTTTCTGGGCTTGGAGGTTTGCTTGCTCTGCTTCCCTCTTGACTCGCTCCTCGGCCTGGTGAGCCACAGCGTCCGCGAGAACTTTTCGAGCGGCGTTCTCTGCGGTTTGCCTGGCGGTTTCGGTCTGCTTTGCTTCTTCAATCGCTCGGAGGCGTTCAGCCATGGCTTGGACTTCGGCAGCGACGATTCTGCTGTCGTCGTTGAGAAGACTTTGCACTGCTCGATTCTTGTCTTCGTCGGAATGGTTGATGTTCGAGATGTCCAGGCCGCGTTGCTTCATTTGGTGGCGGAGCTTGACGATGCTGAATTTTTGGTAGTAGGCGGTTTGTGGGTTCGTCATGGTTGCGAATTGAGACTATTGGTGGTGGTGGTATGAGCAATGATGAATTCGGTCCTGTGTGCTTGTATGCGTATAGAAGAAAGACAAGTCTTGCCGGTCGATCGATTCATGTTATATACATCGCGAGGCGTCGAGTGAACAGCATTGGATATTGTCACAAGCTTCTTGTTTGCGTGCTGCATGTGAATATTGTGAGGCATCGAGTGAACAGCATTGGATATTGTCACAAGCCTGCCTATGGTTCACATGCTGCATGTGAAGTTTCAGAAATTCGGGTATTGTCGGACAATAATACATTGATTTACTATGGTGAAGAGGGTCGAGCGAGAAAAGGAGGCTTCATTTCAATGCTTTTGTTTGTGTACACTTGTTTGCTACGAGACCTTATCTTTGCCTTAGACAAAACGAAAGTTCACAATCTCTACCGACTGGGGCCTTCAGTTGCCCTGTCAGACCCTCTTCCAAGCCGCCCAGCGCTCTGCATGATTCTTGTACTGTTTGATGAAACCAACCGGAAGATCTTGGCCGCTGCTCAGCTGTCGTCGGGCGTGGTCATATTTCCAGAATTCCTCTGCCAATCCCTGTGAGTACCCGCCGATGATGCGCTCGCCACGCCGCATCAGAGCGACCATGTCTCTGTCGTTCAGAAAGTCATCGAACTTATCCATAACTTCCTTCATCCTGCGCTCACAGACCTCCGCCAGATCCAAGCTGTCCAGTGCAGAATGATAATCGTTCTTGAGATCGGTGTACAATGCGTGCGCATCTGGAAGGTGATGGAGCAGCATCGTCGTCAAAATCTCATCATGCGCCAGCAGCTTGCCCATAATTTCACCCCTGACTGAGATGTCAACTTTGAGAAGGTCGCTATGCTTGTCTACTAAAGCCTGCACAGCACCAGGTATACTGGCTGGAAAGTTCTCAAACTGCACCTTGAATTTGGCGCAGAACCGAGCAATCGGATAGAGCATGTTGTCGTAGTGGACTTTGTGGACAAGTGACGACTTGTACCAATCCTTGCTCAGGAAGGAGGTGCCGCTGCAGACGAAGGTAACAGTCTTCAGAGCAGTGCTATTGCAGCGGAGAAAGGAGAAGAGCGAGTAGAGACACTCAGTCGCCCATCCAGATCCTTCTTGACGAATGACGAAGCATAGATGATCGCGAAGGAGGAGTTCTGTCGGCCAGCAAGCTCCGCTGTGTAGAAAGCGCCAATGCATTGATTCACTTCTGGGTGTCATCTTCGAGATCGTCTTGCCAAAGAAGTACATCCCGGGGTCGCAGGTTGGCTTTTCGTCGCCGAATATAATGCATGATGGATTCGTTTCGCGGAAGATTGATGTCGCTTCCTCGTTGATAGCCTTGGAAGTGGCAAGGATTTGTGGGAAGCATTTGATCCTGTGGTCGGTGAAGAGCAGAAGGTTTTCGTAGACTCAATTCCTCAGCTCGCCGGGAAGATCGCAGAAGCGAAAGCGTGCATCTTCATCGGCTTTGCAGAGAATCTTGATAGCGATGTGTTTCAATCGGAGATGTGGTGGCTGGTCAGAAGCAAGTGACTCTTTCTGGCGCTTAATGGACTCGAGAGTGCCATCGCCGACTTTGCGCTGCTTAATGACAGTGCGCAGTTGGTCAAGATCGCAGCGCTCGTACTTGAGTGCGTGCTTGGTGAGCGTCATGGTTCGTGATAGTCCAGATCGCGATAAGGTGGTGGTAGAGTCGGCGAGTAGATGCGAGTAATAGCTGCACGACTCTTCAAGTATTGGAGCTCGAAGGCGCACGGACCGAAATGCTTGCATATGAGACCTGTGCTTGCATGTGAAGTGGCTTTAGTTAGGTGCACGGACCTTGTTCTGTCGTTCCTGAGGCAGGACAACTTCCCAATATCCTTTGATCACTCGACAGCACCAAAAGCTATGAATGAGGCCTATCTTCAACCCCAAAATCGGCGACCAAGGTCCGTGAACTCGTACTTATAAGGGACTTGGTGATTTATACAAGCGGCTGCATTTAGATGGTAGGTGCGCTAGCCTAGGTCGATGTGAAAAGTTGATTCTTATCTTCGAACTGGGATATCTTTCATAGCCTTTATGGAGTGAAGGCAATTGGGAGAGAAAGAACCTTCGCATCTTCAGTGACAAGGCTGGCAAACGGACAAACACGGCACCGAGTCGATGAGTCTTCTTCCGCCAGACCGTGGCCATCAGCCCATATCCCCGTCCATCCGTTCATCTGACGTTCCAGATCCGTCGATCGCTCCCCAGGCCTTGGTGAATAATTGACCTCTCCAACCCCACGCCACACAATAATGCCTTGCCAAGAGCTTCCACTCCTCAACCTCATCTAGCCACTCCAACTTCTCAATTCGCTCTCGCTCGTCCTTATCGACCCAATCATCATGATTGAAGAGTTGGTACACATCCCTGGCGCCTTGCCCATCTCCAAAACCCGCAAGTCTCAGGCGTTCTCGTTGAGCGTCGAGCGAGTAGTATCGCTTGAGGGTGCGAAGCTCAATTCCTCGCGACGATAGGTTTGATACCATAGTCTTGCCGAACGCATCAAACGGGCGAATTGGTTCGTACAGGATGATGCCTCGGCCATCTCTGAAATGCATGGTAAAGTAGTTCAGAACGCTGACAGCAGTGTCGGGTGGCAAGTAGCAGAGACAGCACTCGCTCAAGATCAAGGTCGGCAGGTCTTCTTCCAGCCCAGGCAGTATTGGCGGCGACTTACAAGTCAACACTCTCAGGTCAATGGCGTGAAGGTGGTAGGCCGATCCGTTCTCTTGTGGCAGCGTCAGGCGCGTAAGCTCATCAGAAGCTCGGACTGCAGCACGCTTCGGATTCACATTTGCTTCGAAGTCAAGCTCGTGATACACGACGTTATGCTTGTTCGCGCATAATCTGAAGAACCTCGTGTCGGAGCCAGCGCCCAGCGACACGATCTGTTTTCGCTGCTCCGGATGGGTGTCGAGGAATCGCGTGACCAGCTTATCGATCGCTGTTGTTCGGACGTAGGTTCCGCGATTGATGATGGGATATCGCTTTGGCACCTCTCCGCCTTGATGGAAGAATGTCTTGGCGTGGTGGTCGTCAAGGTAGTGCATGGAAATGGCGCTCATCCTGCTGCTGCTGGCATCGCCATCTGTTTGCTGAATGATCCTGTCCCTTGCCTTTTCGACGTCCTCCGGGCCGAATGAGGGCTCATTGTGTGCATCTGTCGGGCCTGGTGTGCCGCGCCTCCCACGTAGCCTTGGACCCCTACGCCCTGAGCGTAGAGCATTGAGGTTTGGTATTGAAGAGAGGGTCTACTTTAGCCATTATGCGACATTGATTTTTGACGGGGACACAGAAATCCTGACTACCGAAACCACCGAGCTGACTACCGAATTGACCAATCGGAGAAAGCCGTAATGGTCCGTGCGTAGGTTAGTACGCGCGCTCGGCTTAAACAAGCTCGACTTTCCGAAAGCAACCCTTATTCCTTTCCCCTACTATAGCAGCTTCTACTAGCGTTAGTCTATTTAGAATCTAATTTTAATCTATTCTAACTCGATTTACTAATCTATTTAAACTCGATTCTACTATAGCCCTATCTTAGAAGCTTATTAATAATAAGGACTACCTCGCATATATCGATACGGCGGGCAAGAATATAAAACTATTAGTAAGTCCTTTTATTATTCTATTGCTATTTATTTCTAATTGCTTTTAAGGCTTCGAGGCATTTAAGTTAGTTATAGACGAAAATACCTTCTTAGACGACGACTAAATTCTAGTACTAAGCGAGGTAATCTATCGCGTTACCGCTAGTAAGGATAACGATATATATTTAGTAAGTTTTTTCTAATCTAAATATATTAGCAATAGTATCTAATTAGTTTTAGTATAAGCTATTCTAAGACTCCTCCGCCCTTCTCGCCTATATATATATAAATACCGACAAAGGTAGATATAGTCTTATATTCGAGAAGAGCAAAGGTTAAGATAGATAGAAGGCGAAGAAAAAGGCTAAGAGTATATAATACTAATCGGAATGGTTTTAGAAACGTTTGAATATAGGCTAATTCTATTTAGAATAGTATCGTAAGATAGCTATCGCTACTAACAACGCCTATATTAACGAAACTAAGAAGGCGGCAAGTGCGCTAAAGCCGAAGACGCTAAAGAAGGCTGCTAATACTACTCTAAAGAAGGCAGACAGGATCGGTATATTATTGGTTTTAGAATAGTTTAAGAAAAAGTACTAATAGTTTCTTATTCGTTTTAGAAAAGCCTGCTACCCTACGTAGCTTACGCTCGTCTAAGAAGAGCAAGGCTAAGGCTAAGTTCGCGGCTAACCTCGACGATATTATTTTAAGTAGGGAGACCTTATAAGTAGGGTTTTTTTAGTATAGTTAGCGTAGCGTTAGAGTTAGGAGATACCCTTCTAATACTAATAAGAAAGCAATAAGTACTGTTAAACTATTCTCAAACTAATAAGAATCTAATAATAGTTCTCGGGCTTTCTTAATAATTTCAGATTTAAATAATTTTTTACTAACTTTTCTTAGGGGCGGTAAGGCTAAAGAATCTTAGTCGGTAAAAGCAACGGGTTATAATACTAAGTCTTTAAATGCCTCTGTTTCTATACTTAATTTAGTACTAATAAATTATAGGTCTAATCGAGATAAAACGGCTACATCTTCGAAAAATCCGATACCTCGAGAAAGAACTCTATCGATAAGTACTAACAATAGCGACGCTAACAAGGACGACGAGGAATCGGAATAGTTAGGACTAAGTCCTATAGCGGTACGGCCTAAGAGTCCTGTCGCTATCCGGAAATCGAGTCCGATAAAAAGGTTTATAATTAGAATACAAATCTATTTAACCTACGACGGTAGAAATACGCCTTAAAAAAATTAACCTTGCTTATAGGACTGCTACGGACGATAAGAATAAAACTAAAGAGTCGCGACGGCGGTAAGTAATAATCTTCGTTTTATCCTATCTATCGTCGACCTCTTACTAATATTTCTAGTATTTCTAAATCGTATAAATTAGCGCCGATAGTAATTTCTTCGGGTAAGTCGGAGGGCTCGGTCTATAACCTAGAGGAAGAAAACCCCCTCGGGGACCTCGAGAAGCTCGTAGTATCCGCTTCTAAATAGAATGTAGTAAATGCCCCGTCGGCGCCTTCTCGCAATCCGAAACTAATAACATCCGTTTCGGATTCTAATATTAAGCGAGAGCCTAGTACTAAAACCCCCCCGGCTTAGCCCCCGAAAAGGCCTACGCCCGAGCCTTCGATTAATCCGCCTATTACGCCTACGCTACTAGTCCGGATAGCCCCTCCGCCTAAGCTAGTACTAGCTTAGCAGCCCTTATATCCTCGATAGGGATTTCCCGATCTATAGCCTCTCTCTTATAGTTCTATTCGAGTGCCTAGATATAAGCGAGGAAATGCGGTAAGCCTACTCTTATTTATATCTTAAACGATTGCAAGTCTATTCTTATTCTATTTAGATTAATTTCGGGAGCGCTATCGGTCTTCTACGTTAGTAGGGATAGCACGATCGCTATCCGACCTATTTACGAAACAGATAGACCTAAGACCTCTTCCGTAGCTGTAAATACCGAGTATTGTTCTAAGATCTCGCGGACGATAGCTTAAGGGCTCTTAGAGCGGTAACGAAGGAATAAGAATAGAATAAGAATAGTATAGGAATAGAATAAGAATAGGATAGGAATAGAATAGCGGGGGAGTTCTAGGCGGGTTAAGAATCTTATAGAAGTAAATACTAGTAGTTATAATTATTTTTGTATTATAGTCTAAATCGTTTCCTATACTAATCTAAATCCTTTAATATACTAATTACAAACCTTTCTCTCTTATCTGTTCTTTTAATACTATTTCCTCGCGAAGGAGATCTAGTATCTCTCGTTTCGCCTTATTCTACTGTTTTAGAAGCTCTACGTCGATCGGCGGTATATCGTCGCTAGTCGCCGGTATACTCGGTAGTGTCGGCGTACTAGTTACTTTACGCAAGGCTAGACTTTCCTTCGCTCGTAACGATAGCGCCGAACGACGCCGCTTTAGTATCTAAGTACTACTCGGTTCTTCGGCGACGATTGTATCCTTATTAAATTCTCGTTCCGTTCTCTTTTCTATCGTATCCCGTTTACGACGGCGGTTCTCTAGATAGGGAAGTTAATATTATTCCGATACTATTCGAATAACGATTACTTATACTATATTAGTATTCACTCTTCGTTGCTAACGAGTATACGGAGTAAGCCCGCTATATTAAACGAACGCTATAGAACTCGATGTTTTTTACAGATATTAGAGTCTTTCGATCTAAGATAGTAGCGCTATTTTAATGTTATTGCTTTGTTAAACTAATCGGAAACCTTTTAGAAAGCTTTAATATACGCATTAATCGTAGGTAGAATTTCCCGATACTTTCTAGTATAGTACCCCTATTTCCCGGCTAACTCGATTGTATTAGTATAGTATCTAATTGTCCGCTAAGTTGCCTTAGGAATATTTAAGAAGGCGGGTGCTAGGCTATAGCGGATATAGCGATAGAGCTTATACCTAGCCTACCTTACTACTTTCTCGTTTAAATAACCTAGCGATAGGATTTATTTTAGATTCTAATCTAAAAGCTTTCTTACTTACCTACTAAAGCTTTAACTTCCTTAATGTAAGCCTCTTTTAATTTCAATCTACGGATACTATCTATCCGAGCGAAAAGGATCGATCGATCGTATAGGCTCTCGTTCTAAATAGCCTTATTAATGTTCCTCCGCTAATAGATTACGTAATAGAGGATAATATATTCGAGTTACACCCTCTAATCGCGGTTTTAATAGTCAATTTCTTAAAGATAAAGTCCTAAGCCTAGGAGAAGCGTTTATTATCGCAATGTTATCGTAATGTTATTACTATAAGAATGCTTTCTTATACCTTTAGCCTACTTTAAGTTTAGGTCGGTTACGACCGCTCGAATTCCTTTACCGTAGATATAGTAAAAGGTTACTGCCGTTCTAGTAACCTTACGTATCTTTCCGAAGACTCGCGTAAAGAAGTTCTAGTATATAGACTCGGATTCTCTACGGATATAGGCTCGGGCGAAGACAAGGACTAAGAATGTATTTAGAATAGAATAACATTTAAATAGTATCGGAATGCGAATTACTTACGAATAGTTCGCTCTTTATCCTATCGTCCGAGAATTACTTCGTTTATATTCTTTTCCTTAATACGTTAAAACGATATATCGACCTCGAAGGTATCGAAGGAAAGGAATAGCGACGCCTACTTTACGAAGAATGTAATAGTTATACACTCTTGTTCTATCTACTATATACCCTAAATATATTGCTAAATCGAATGTTAGTAGAATCGGATTGCTTTAATAAAGTAATATAAATCGAATATAAATCGGATGTAAACGGAATAACAATCGAATAGGAATCGACTTACTTACCGTTTCGGGGTTCTTCCGCTCGATATTATACTTAAATTAGACTCTATTTATCGTCGTTCCGTCTAGGTAATAAATAAGCTTTTGTCGTCGGATTTCCCGTCTAATGTTATTAGTATTCTCTAGACTAAGATAAATTTCGCTAAGAGCGTAAACCCCTTTATCTCGGAGGTACTACTATAAGGCGAACGTCTAAAGGAAGACGGCTTATCCCGTTCTAATTAGTTTCTTAACCGTTTGCTATACGATTCTTATTTGCTTAATATATATAGTGTTATCGTTACTAATAGCGTTTAAGTAACAAGTCTTAAGATTTTATCCTTATAGGATTAAAGCGGTCGTATAGGCGGCGGCGGTAGATAACAATACTAATAAAAGGATACGAAGATAACGTAAGGACATGCCGCAAAGTTAATAGGTACGATCTTCCTTATTTTAACTAGACAACTAATCTTCTTAAGGAAATCTAGTCTAGAGGGGAGGTGATTGTAACCTAATTGCGATATTAATTTATTCGGAATCTAATCCGAATCCATTTGCACTTACGGTATATCCTCCGTAGGCTCGTCCCTTATACGATCTCCGTATACTATCGCTTTGTAATTAGAATCCTAGACTAATTGTTTACCTCTGTAACTAGGCTCTATATCTATTTGTAATCGACATTCTCTACTAGCTTAATCGCACGGAAGCGATAATCGTATTTATTTAGGCTAGAAGAGTCGTAGTTCGTATAGCAGATAAATCCTTCGCCTAGTATTATCCTTTTAAGCTGTTTCGTTTAGTATTAGTATAGGAAACTATTTACATTAGAATGCTATTAGCTTGATATTAGATTAACATTAGTATAGGATTTATTACTTATACGTAGATTAAAGAATCTAAACTTCATCTTATAAGAGTCGTACCTAAAGGCCTTATAGAATGTCCTATTATCGAACTCTTTTCGGAGCGACTAGTAGAGCCTATCGCTGTTATTCGCCTATAAAACTATTAATATTAGAATTATATACCTTAACGCGTTCTTTCTCGCTAGATTAGGATTATCCTCGTTAAACCTTTCGAGATTTAATCTCTTTCTCGTCTTCTACTATTCTTCCGGGACCTCGTAGTAATCTATAGATGCTAGGTTCTCGTATAACTACTAGCACTGCTTAATACCTAAGCAGTCGTACGACGTCTTAGTATACGGTATATTGCCTAAGCAACTAGATATTGTTAGAATAGCCCCCTTCGTTCCTACTAAGGGAATACTATATTATATCTACCTCTCTCTTAGCTATCTTTACTAATCGTTTCTTAATCGTTTCTTAAAGCGATAAGGTCGGAATAATATCGGATTAAGAATCTACTTATATCTAGCTCTAGCTTAGCACTAGTCGCAGAGTAGTCGATTACGTATACGTATCTATCTTCGTAGGTCTTCGGATATTACGGTATCGCGGTTACGTATTCGACAAAACGAGCCCGAATAGCGTCGCGGTTCGAGGTAATAACAATCCTATCCTATTGCAAATAAGTTCTTATTCCTTTAATATTGCAATAGGAATGCCCTTATATATCTTATAACGTTCTTAACGTCGTCGTCGATATATAGTACCGCTAATCGGCTTTTATAGTACTCCTCGTCGTACTCCTTAAATTCTAGCCCTTAGTAGTCCCTCTCGTAGGTATTATCGTCGTTAAATCCGAGCTAAGCAGTCGTAGGGGGGCTATCCCCTTCGGTAAGATCGACCTTAAATTGCTTTTAGTATCTAAATTAGATTTAATCGGAATAAAATCGGAATAGTATTAGAATAATATACGATTTGCAATAGAATAGGCCTCTCCCGCGGTAGGTTTACCGAGGATAGCGGCGTTAGCATCTAGTTCTTAGTATAGGTCGGTAGAATATTTAATATCTTTACTATTCTATAGTTTTCTTATTCGTATTTGTATTTATAGTAAATAGTATAGGAAAGCAATAGGGAAAGGTATGCCTTTCCCCGCACATTGGTATATCATACCTTTCAGCTTAACCTCGGCTAACCCCCTGTCATTTTAGAGTTCCTAACCACCGCGGTAGTCAGCTCGGCGATTTCGGTGGTCAGACCGGCGCTGCGCTCATTTTTGACCGTGTTTCTCCATTTCCTCGGCCTCGGCGATTGTGGTGGCCTCAGGCCCCGAGAGCAATCGCCTCGACATGACGTACGGCGCTCCCTCGGTCGCCATGCCTCGCTCTTCGGAACGTCATGGGAGGCAGCGTAGGGTAGGGTATGGCGTATGGGTATGGGTATGGGTATGGGCATGGATAGCATCGAGGTAGAGCCGACAGTGCCAAGAGCATCCTCCATCATTCCTTCTTCTGCACGCCGGTTGGTTCTGCATAGACAGAAGGCGCGTCCGAGATCACAGCTTAGCAGCAGAAACTACGACTGCGACGCCCAGTCTCCTTGCGACATCAGAGCTGACTTGTATAGACCCCGTCCATTTCCATTCCCGTCAGCTTCTGCTGAATCCTCACCTCTACAACCCCCCAAAACTCCTGATTCTCACGCCTTCGACGCTGCCAAAATGGTGGGCCTGGGTCCCAGGCGCAAGCCTAGCCGTAGAGGCTCCATGGCCGATATTCCTAAAGACCTCCTCCAAGAAATTAAACGCCTCGAAGAGCTCTTCACCGTCGACACGGCCAAGCTCAAAGCCATCACCGACCATTTCATCAGCGAACTCGACAAGGGTTTGACCAAGGAAGGCGGTAGCATTCCCATGAACCCAACATGGGTCATGGGCTACCCAGACGGATATGAGACTGGCACCTTCCTTGCCCTTGATATGGGAGGCACCAACCTCCGTGTCTGCGAGATCAACCTGCCAGAAGAGCGAGGAGAATTCGACATCATTCAGTCCAAATACCGCATGCCAGAGGAGCTGAAGACGGGCAACGCCGATGAACTGTGGGCATACATAGCAGACTGTCTGCAGCAATTCATCGAATACCACCACGAGGGCGAGAAGCTGGACAAGCTCCCGCTCGGCTTTACTTTCTCCTACCCTGCCACTCAGGACTACATTGATCACGGCGTGCTTCAACGATGGACCAAGGGCTTCGACATTGACGGCGTGGAGGGTAAGGACGTCGTGCCACCTTTTGAGAAGGCTTTGGAGGAGCGTGGAGTCCCCATCAAGCTCACCGCCCTGATCAATGACACGACCGGTACCTTGATAGCTAGTGCCTATACAGATCCGGAGATCAGAATTGGATGCATCTTCGGCACTGGCTGCAACGCTGCTTACATGGAACACGCGGGCGATGTTCCCAAGCTCGAGCACTGGAAGATGGACCCAAAGCAGGAGATTGCCATCAACTGCGAATGGGGTGCTTTTGATAATGAGCACAAGATTCTGCCACGCACACCCTACGACGTCATTATCGACAAGGACTCTCCTCGCCCTGGTCAGCAGGCTTTTGAGAAGATGATTGCAGGTCTCTACCTCGGCGAGCTCTTCCGTCTTGTGCTTGTCGACCTTGCGGAGAAGCAGCATATCTTCCAAGGTCAAGACATCTCATCACTGAAGAAGCCATATTCGCTCGATGCCTCTTTCCTGTCTGATATCGAGAACGATCCCTTTGAAAACTTGCAGGAGTCTTATGACCTGTTTTACGACAAGATGAAGATCAATTGCCAGAAGCCAGAGCTCGAGTTGATTAGAAGGTTGGCTGAGCTGATTGGCACCCGATCCGCCAGACTTAGTGCGTGTGGTGTTGCCGCCATTGCCAAGAAGAAGGGCTACAAGACGTGCCACGTAGGCGCCGATGGATCGGTGTTTAACAAGTACCCTCACTTCAAGGTAAGTCCAGTTTCAGTATCACCAACATTTCACATACTGACTTGTATTAGCAACGCGGCGCACAAGCACTTAAGGAAATCCTCGACTGGGAGAAGGGCCGTGATGGCAAGCCGCTTGGAAGGGGCAACGACCCGATTGAGATCCTTCCTGCTGAAGATGGTTCTGGTGTCGGTGCTGCTTTGATCGCTGCTTTGACCCTCAAGCGCGTGCAGGAAGGCAAGGTCATGGGCATTCGAGACGCAGATGCGATGCTCAAGGGCACCGCAGCTGCCAAGCCAAACGCGAGCCAGGCATAGGAGCCTGAGCCGTTGCCCGAACGGTACTGCAGTCGCTCCTGGCCAGCTCTCTGCGATAGCCAGTTCGGCTCGCATGTGCCGGGAAAGCTGGTGGTGAAGGATTAGAGGCGCTGCGCCGTGTGTTACAAGTCACGGTGTCCAGATTGCAGACCGTAGCGCTGTCAGAGGCATGTCAAGTTTGGAGCGAGTTGTGGATATCAAATTCTTGTGTATGTAGCACTCCCTATAGAATGCCTCGCTTCATGCTTCACCGAAACCCAGAATTACGCCAATCTACTTGTCGTGTGTCGTGTATTGCTTCATGCATTGTATGTGGAATCAACTCGACTCGAGGTCTCCATCCCAACAAATAAAAAATCAGAGTCGGTTCCTCAAGTCAATCCTCCAGTCAGTCGCCCAGTTGTATCAGCAGTAGGCATCCTCTCTACTGAACAACACACTTCCCTCCCTCCTCACCACTGTTCTTCTTCTCCTTGTTCTTCTCATCCTCAAGTCCCTTATTCATCTTCCAAACCTTTTGGCCATACTGCTTCAAATTGGAGATGCATTTGCGCTCGTCGTAGGTTCCGTTTTTGCGCTTGACGGCTAGAAGGGCGAGCTGAAGCATTAGCGAGGTCTCGAGCGACGAGTCTTTTGAGAGATTCTATAATGGCGTCACGCCCTCGGGATCAACTTACCCATACAGTCTGTTGGGGAAACCTGCCAGGTCTGAGAAGGTGCTGCGGTGCCTGCTTTGCAGGCTTCGGAACCTGGGGATACACAGGGGATCAGGTTTTTGGGGAGGGTGAAGCGGTGGTTGCCTAGGTATAGTATGTGTGGTTAGTGAAGCGGTCGAGGGTGAAGGTAGAGGTGGACTTACGCTGCTGGCAATTGACGGTGAGGGGCGCGCACATGGTTGCGTACGGTAGGTGCCTGTGTTGAGTTATTGTTGTTGTAGTAGTTTGGATGTTTGGTCGAGGTCGAGGTCGAGGTCGTAGTTAGTAGATTGTTTTTGAGAGCAAGTTTGTAGGTGTCTTGGAGCGCTTTTATAGCAAGGGAAGACGCGCATGCGCACGCGCAAACGTGTCACGAGCAAACAAGAAAAGTGGGGCCTGCATGTGAGATTCAAGGAAGTGAAGAAAGCATTTACATTACTTTTTCTTCAGTTAATTCGCTATTGCGAGATATGTCAAGATCATTTCACTTGTTTCAAGGCATACGCGCTACAACTTCGAATTATATACTCACTAGTTGCACTTCTTCTATTTTCAGCACATCGTCGCGCTCTCAGGTCGGATTTCGTACCTTATACACCAAGAACCTGAAGCGTTACAAATCATGTGTCGACCGCTTACAGTCCGTTGCGATGAAGGCCACCACACATACACCTTCGAAGACATCATCCTTCCCTGCATGGAAGTCGGCTCTTTTGCGTGCAAGATAGGATTATCAGAGCTGGCTGATTTCCAGAACGCGTCAACTTCCTGCATCTGTGCTGAGGTGGACCACGAGCCCGATTGTGTCGCGTATGCGAGGACATGCGAGGCAGTATTGAAGAAGTGAGTACTTTCAACGGGTGTTTAACTGAAGGCGAAGCAGCTTTCGAAAATTACTGATTCTCGCAGGTATGGCGAATCGCTGGCTCGAGGACCGCGGAAGAAGTCTTGGGTAGTAAAATGGTTCGCGGCGAAAGCAGAAGAGCAGGACTGGCAGAAATTGCTCGAGAAGGCTCATGAGGAGGAAGTTGGCGGCGGCCTTCTGACTCGCAAGGAGAGCGACGGGGCTCTTGAGGCATTGCGTCGCGTGCGTTTGGACGTCAGAGGAGAGAAGGAGTGATTGTTGTTGAAAAGTGAGCTCTGACGAGGCCTCACTTGAGAAACTTGACTCCACGAATGTCGGAATGGCGTTTGGCTGCGCGGCTCGTGTCTCAACTGGGCCTATTTGCTTTTGACACGAGTTATGGAGTCATCTTTGTAATCGCATGGATAATTTGATAAAATACTGTGGCCTCTACTGCAAGCTGCACCGGGAAACATGAATTCTTTTCTGAGGTTCTGACTTCGGATGCTGTATTCTCCTGAGCTTCTTGCTTGACTCCAGACAGCATGCTTTGCTATGCCGCTCGAATCTAAAGCGGGTATTTCTGAAGGTCATTTCGACGATGAGTTGACTTCTTCACTGCCAGAGACACAACTTTCCAGATGCCGTGCCAGCACCAACCCAATCCATGGTAGGGTGAAATTGTGCCACTGCTGGTACAGCAGTAATCGAATCTCCTCCAAGCTGTGCCAATTGCTGACCCTTACTAGTATAGATATCCACAAAGCGATTCATATTGCCGATGACAAATCGCTGAATGGCATCCTGAGGCTGCATCTGCCATTGCGCTCTGAGGATAGTTACCCATCGCCCAGTCTGATTGTTGTGAGGTATGATAGTCGCGGGACTGATCTCGTTGTCGGTTAGCGAGTGCCCAGCCTTCCAGTCTCCCGAATCCGAAAAGTCGTAGATTTTGACGGTATCATCGTAGGAAGCTGTCGCGACTTGCCCTGCTCCGTTGAATGCTGCGTGTGAGACTGACAGCTTCGACAGATGCTCGCCAACGAGATGCGGTGCGCGATCACCAGCTTTGCCGGTGATCTTACGCAGGTCCCAAAGCTTTAGCATGCGATCTAGAGATGCTGTGGCTAACAGATGCGGATGTGCCGGATGCAGGCTGAAACCCCAATCTTCTTCTCAGACAGCTGCATGAGTTCGGCGGTTTGATGTGTTGGAGTTCGCATGTCCTTCATGCCAAATTGGCCATCGAGCGTAGTGAAATGTAGCATGTTGGGATCAAGGTGAGATATCTGAACTCCAGAAATCGGAGCATCTTCGTCTTTGTCTTCCGGTGCGTATGCTTCAACAGCCACTCCTTTCTGCAGGTCCAGCTTGCGGATTGAGGAGTCGTATGAGGCGGAGTAGAGCGCGTTGTGATCATGCGGTGCAAATTGGAAGGCCGATATTGTCCTGGTATGAATCTTGAAAGTGGTGATGGCTGGCTCTATTTCGTCGTCGACATCACCGTCCTCGTCTGCGTCGTCCGCTTCTTGCTTAATCTTTTCTGGTGTAGTCTGCGATGCATCGAAAAGACCTAAACTGCCCATTTTGTCGCCAGCGAAAACCAATGCTTTATCCTGGGTAGGGTGAAATCCAAGGGCATATATCCTCTCAGGCGTGATCTTGATCCTATTCGGTTCCGCACCTTCCCACAGCCCAAGACCGCTCATGCGTTCTCTAAGTGCCCTCAATTCCTTATCCGATGTATCTTTGATATCTTGCTCGCTGAACGTTCTCTCGCCAGGGTTCGCAGGTCCCACTGTAGACAGCCAATTGCCTGCGCTATTCCAATTGGTGCCATTGACGATCGCATCATGGAGATTGATGTCGGCGCTCACTCGTTGTCTCTTCGCGATCTGAGCCTGTTGAACCGCTTGATTCTCTTCTTCTTGCTTCTGCCGGGCCACTTCTGAGTCGGCAACGATCCCCTTCAATCGCGACGATGTTCTCCTCGGCCCTTCTTCCTTAATCTCTTTCTTGGCCTCACGCTTTCGTTTCTGTCCAGCTGCCGATGCTGGTTTTGGTCTTGATTTGGGTCCAACTCCGACGTGCTGAGCGTCGAGCTGCAGCTGCTGGAGAAGGGCCTGGTTCTTTGCGATTTTCTCTTGACGCGCTCGTTCATATTCCGACACTGCAGCACCAGTTTTCTTCTTGTTTGCCGCCATGATTACTATGCAAAAAGCCTCCAATACTGTTTAAACAAAGGTGGTATGCAAGTTCAAGTCACAGAGTCGTTGACGTAGTTTCTTGACGCGTCCAGGAGCGCGTTCACCGCGAATCGGGCTTTGTCAGCGGCGATCAATGCAAATTCCAACTCCATCACCAGGACATATCGCCTCAGGAAATTGGATATGTCATCCACAATGTATGCTCGCAAATCGTCCAAAGCAGTAAGCAGGCATTTCCTGGCTGATGCTCCAATTCTGCCATTCCTCTATGCCACCAGCACTGTACGCAGAGGCTATGCAACCGATGGACCAGCATATCATATCACATCCCAAGAAGAGGTCGAAGCAGAACCGCAGATTATTAGAAAGCACCTGGCGAATCCACGAAGGGATCCAGTCGTGATTCGACGACCACGAAAGGATCCAACCCTGAGTGAACGACGATCGCTAGCAAGCTCACGTCCAAAAGGAAAGAAAATGGAACGAATACCTTTCGAAGGCAGCACAGGTTCTGCTAATCCCGACGAGCGATTCGAGAACACGACCATGACGCCGCGAGAGCTGCGAATATTTGAAGAGCTATTTAGACAAGGCGTAAAGACCAAGCCCGATGAGAGCAAGAAGCAGTTCATCAGTCGGACACAGCATGAATTTCCCGATCTTCTACAGCCCTTGGCAGAAGAGGCGGAACACATGCGACAGCAAGCTGCTCTGGAAGCAAGAGCGGAAGACCCTAAAAAGTTATCTAAGCGCGAAGACTTCGAGATCAAGGACAAGCAATCTAGGCAGATCAAGAAACGAATGGACGAAGCGCAAACGGATGTTGAGCTCTTCCAAGTGCTCGAATCGGAAGTCTTCTCACGAGTTCGAGGCCTAGGGGAGGACGGACCTATAGACTCAGCCAAATACGCTGCTCTTCCTGCTCTTCTACAGCATTACATCTCGCTCATCGAGAAGCACTATCCAGGCTCGCCTTTAGGTATGGTTCTGCTTCCAGAATTGAGAAAACTGGGTCCTTCTGCCTTCGCTCTCGGCGCATCAACAGGGCTCTACAACCAACACATGCGGATGCTGTGGGAGAAGTATACGGATGTGGACGGCATTGTCGATATCCTGACAGAAATGGACAAGGAAGTATTCTCCTTTAACGATGATACCCTGGAGCTACTAGACCAGATGTTTGAGCATGCTGCATCAGCTAGACGAGGTTATCTAGGGCCTGGAAGACGAGCGCTTTGGTCGACAGATCGCAAAGAGCGAGCACTCGAGAAGCTGAGGAAGTGGAGGGCTATCGCAGGTGAACGCTCAGAAACCGCAGCCTTGAGAGAGGCCCGAAAACAACAGGAAATTTTGGAGCATGACGAGATTGAGCAGGATGCAACGCAAAGACATGCTGTTGCTGCCTAAGGCTATTCGTAACTCTGCCGCAGAGGAGAATGCTCGAACATCACGAATATGGCAAGTCCATGGTTCGCTGGCACGAGTATTGGTGGTTTGCAAATCAAGAACACCTCGCTGCGAAAGCGCTGGTGTCGCCACTGGCCTGCAGAGTGGGCTGAAGCTAGCGCTCCTTATCTGTGTGTAGCCTATATGTTGGATGTCCCACGGAACAGATTCCGCAGGATCAGAACGATATCCATTACGATTTGCAAGACAGTAATTGATTCGAGAGAGCTTGGACGCCCCAGGAACTTCTTGCGGCCGACCTGGTCGTATTCACTGATCATGGCTGGCGCATCATTGGTTACTCCGAACTCTACAGACCCAAGGATTCTTCTTCCAACTCAAGTTCCTTTACCACACCTTGATAAAAGGCTCTGCGAAATGCTGCATTTTCCAACTCCGTATCTCTCTGGTCGAATTCACACAAAATGCATCTGCTCACGACATTCCCATACCTCTCACCAGCGTCCTCGTAAACTTGATTGATGAGGCGCGTCGCAGTCAGGAAGTCAGAAGTGCCATCCTTTGTCCAATCGGATCCTACGTCTTCGGATGCTCTGAGCTCATCAAGAGATCTTTCCATGCAAAGCTCGAGAAGCAGGATTCCGAATGCAAACACTGTCTCATTCCGAACCAAATTGCATGTGTGGAAGTATTTGGCGTTCTTCGAAGAGAGTCCTGCCGTCTGAGGTAGCAACGCAGTAGGCACGAAAGGAACTCCTGTCACTAATAGGCCGTGCTTGCGAAATAGAAGCACATCATCTCGACCCCACTGCTTGGACAGGCGAGGCGTATCATATAATCGAGGCATGCCAGCGGCCAACGCCAACGCAAGCTTTCGTTTCTCGGATGGCGAGAGTCTGCAGTTCCGTTTCCCCGCGACCACCTCTGCCAACGAGACTGCTTTGATCGAGTCGGCTTCCACGAGAGCTTTCTCTGGCCGGGAAAGCCCGTGTCGCCAGCTCTGGATCTTATCGCTCATGTATCCCAAACATATGGCACACTGTACTCGCGTGGCGCGCAAGTGTCGAAGAGTGCTGCACAAGTCTTGAATTTCCTGCCCTTCAGCGGTTGGCCCTGCCTCGAAGAGCTGGCGGCGAGGTGACTGGAACCTCACAGTGCGTCGATCTTGACGATAGCTGTCATCGCGATGCTCTTTGATGTGCGTCAAGCGAATTTTCAGCTTCCTCTACCGAGTATGGCGTCTGTATTTCCGGCATGACACTCACATCATGATGCAGGACTATCCGAAAGATATTGTCACAAGTGGAATTTCCAACCCGCCCAACTCGTGCGCCGCGGCCAGACACGGGTTTCATGTACAGACTGGCCCTGTGAGAAAGTTTACAAGAGCTGAGAAATCCTCTCTGCAGGGTGCCAAAGATGCTCGATGCATACGCTCTTGCGTTCTCGTGGTCTGGGGCCTTCACGGCCGTGGTTCTTTCCCGAAGCGGTTCGAGAGCTGCGTTCTGCGTCGTAAGCTGAAAGAGCTGAGCGTTGTGTGCCTTGATATCGTCCATCAAAGCGGCATACTCTTTCATTCGGAGGCCAAACCTTAGATGCTTTAGGGCGTTTTTAACGGATCGTTTGTCTTTTGCAGAGAATGGACCTCTACCTTCTGCATCGATTTCAAGATATGCCATGAAGTCTTGCACCTTCACCGCCAAAGACGCATGGTCTGGAGATATACGTCGTATGATCTTTGCAGTCGCCGCCGAAGGCAGTCCTCAAGCAGAGCGTCGGACCACTTTGGACTTGTGACATTTTCGAGAAGCTCGCACAGATTCACCTTCCCCGGTGATTACGCAGGTCACAGACGAGCCTCGTTTGCACCCAAGCCGTAGAGAAAGCGAGCAACTAGATGCCGCTTCTTGGACATCGCTGGATCGACGACAAGACTCACGTTCAATGAGTGGAGATTCAGCACAGGATAGCGGCAGTGATGTTGACGAAGTCGCTGGAAATCGATCAGTACTGCAGAAAGATTTGAGCGAAGGCAATGATAATCCAGCGCTGGATCAGAGTGTCGAGCCACAGAGGGAGGAGGACATCCTTGAAGACGCTACCGACAACCGCGTCCGTACGATTTCATTACCAGCCTACGACAAGAATCCTCAGGAATGCAGAAATCAATACGAAGTGGAAAGCGAAACTACGTCGTCAGTTCAGCATGGGAAAATTCGACTTCACCTCTCATTATGTTCACTATTCTCGCTTCCTTTACCAGACAGAGCAACTTCTACACCACCATCCCACACACTTTAAATCTCCCCATCCCACCATCTCCTACAAGGCGTGGAGCATAGCAACCCTACACCATCTCCCTCACAACAACACTAGTAATATCCTCCCAGAACTCAACCACAGCCTCAAGCTCCCGAAACCCCACCCATCCAAAATCCCCTTCCTTCCGCCCTCTGCACTTTTCCACACCCCAGCATCTATGAAGTTCTCTCAACCCTCGTTCCGTTTCCCCAAGCGTAAGAAACCCTTTGTCCTTTTCGATGCTTACGGCGTTTAAATCGAAGATGTTTCCTTGGGTGATGACTGCCGCAGCTCCTACATGAGTCCTTTGGCCATCGTCGCGTGGGTGGAAATTCATGGATTCTTCTGTCGGTATGCAGGGGCCGTTTGTGGTGTTTTTGAAGAAGTGCGCTGTGGTGCGAGGGGGTTGGGTTAGGAGCATGTTTTTCCAGGCGGAGTTTTCGTTGTTGGGGTTTGGATTTGATTTGCGAGGCTTATGGTCGAAATTTAGGACCGTGGGGGTTTTTGTTGAGGACTTCGTGATTGGGAGGATGCTTGTTAGAAGCGTTTGAGGTCCTGCGTACTGGAGAATGGTGGAGCAGGGTGTGTTGAGGTCTACGAACTGCATGCTGCTGCTCTTCGAGATGGAGTATGAGGCGGGTTTGAGGAAGAGTGACCGCTGGAGCTTGATAGAGCCGTTGATGGTCTGCTGCCAGGTTTGCGCGATGCGCTGAGCCAGCGGCACGTCGCGGATTGGGAGTTCGAGTAGGATTGCTTCCAAGAGTTCTACCGTGTCGAATACTTTCGCGGCTGCCATTTTGAGTCCAGTTAGTTGGTGTTGGATTTTGTGAGCTGTTCTAAGGCATTAGGTCAAATTGATGAAAGATAGAGGGGGATCGTCACTGCATCATGGTGAGTATATTTTCCGGTAGAGTCATGATCATAGGCAAGAGCGTTGAGTCACTTGCGAAAGCCCGAGTTCATAGACGGCAGGTCAGCACTTTTTACTACGAGGAAAGCACGCGTGGGCAAGGGAGAAATGGCGACTCATTTGCCGTGCCGTGCCTTGTATTGACCATCAATTTCCATTCGTGCTAACTAACGATGTTCTCAACTCAGGATCCAGTACGTCCGAGTTCTCTAAACCGCCGCGCGCACGTTCAGATCCCTTACACTTTCGGAAGCGCTACTTTACTTTGGATCGTCGAAAACGTAGGTCAGGTGGCAGCGACCGCAGTACTGGCGGTTGTGCATGGCAGCCATGAAGATACCGGCACCGCACTAGCAGAAGTCAGTATTATGTCCCAGGACAGAGGTATGGCGCATCTTACGGTCTCGGCTGGGCACTCTCGTCGCAGACGCTCGATCTTGCCATCACCGTCCACCTTGTAGTACTTGAGCACAGCCAACTTGGTCTTCTTGCGCTTGTGCTTGATCTTCTTTGGGGTGGTGTACACCTTCTTCTTGCGCTTCTTAGCCATGCCACCACGCAGGCGAAGGACCAAGTGGAGGGTCGACTCCTTCTGGATATTGTAGTCGGAGAGGGTGCGGCCATCCTCGAGCTGCTTGCCGGCGAAGATCAAGCGCTGCTGGTCCGGTGGGATTCCCTCCTTGTCTGCGCAAATGTTAGATGTGCTCCGGCGGCGATTCCAGTGCTGCGCATGCGTACCTTGGATTTTGGACTTGACATTGTCGATGGTGTCCGAAGACTCCACCTCAAGGGTGATAGTCTTGCCCGTGAGGGTCTTGACGAAAATCTGCATCGTGCTCTCCCCAAAGATGGTTCTTCAAACAAGATGTGGGAGGAACAGAGAATTTGGGATGGGTGGAGGCGGCAAATGGTCAAGGTGCGCCAAGGCGGGCGCTGCCGAGCTTAGTCAGGTTTCGCTCTTGCCTCTTGGGATGCCTCCTGCCTGCCCTGCCGCGAGTTTCACGCTGCCCGCTTCGCTGTTCTGCTGCTCCGACAACACCACCACCATCACCATAACAATGCAGACGTTTGCTGTCCTCCCGTCGGCTCGGACATTTAGCAGTATGTCGAGCCACGGTAGGATTGCGCAATCGCAGCGCAATCGCCTCACCAAGATTCAAGGGTTCCAGAGACGAGGCTGAACGGCGTCGTCGCTCTGGGATGGGCCCGCGGGAGATCCCCATGGCAACGCGTCGTGTTGACCCTGTAAGCGGCACCTCATGCATTCACGTCAGTGACATCTCTCTTTGCTTAAATCTGGCCCAACCTCTCCCATTCACGATCTGCTAGCTCTTGCACGACTACTGCTGTACATAGCTAGAAGCGGAGGCGAGCTTTTGCAGGCACAGAAGACTCTCCTTTAACTCACATCGGCCTCACGGGCCTCATACCACTACACCTCCTCAGCTCGTGTTGGGATTCACGTCTGGGGGAGGAATAACAACTCGAAGTCACCGCCCGGCGGCTGCTGAACTGCGTGGTATGTTGGCGCATCGTTCACTGTCACTATCAGCGTCACCGTCGCCATCAGCGTTGTTGTCGCCATCAGCGTCACCATCGCCATCACCACCACCACCACCACCACCGCCATCACCACCACCACCACCATCACCATCAATGCGCATGATGCTAACGCTCCTGCAGAGTTACGGGACCCACGACGCTCATCCACAGCTTGAGCGTCAGACCCACGGACCACCATAGGACCTTCCCGGACTCTTCTTGCACCCCGAAAATGCTGCCCGCAAGCGCATCTTCGATCCAAAAGCGACGGCAGCTTCATCGCAGACAACAATCACTCGAAGTGCCCATCCTTGCGACACCATTGCCACATCAACCCCGGAGACCCGCCTCGACTCGACCAGGCCACCATCGGCGAGGGCTCAGCGCCGACCAAGCGATGAGCGCCATCAACTCGCCCGGATTTCGACCATTACTGCCCCAGGATCACCACCAAGGACCACCAGGACTACCCTTCGCAAGGACCCCTCAACCAATGACTAACGACACAGGATACCAAATGCCGGATCAGTCACAGCATTTCATCAAGCAAGAAACGCAGGAACGCCCAGCACCGCCGGGACTCAGCACGCTGCCACCGCACGCGCACACCCAAGACTTCCAATCCCACCTTCAATCCCAGCTGAATGGTGCCTTCGATCCATCAGCTGTCGATCCTAGCCAACAGGCCGCAATTCAAGACTTGCAAAAGCACATTGCGTGGTATGAGCAAAACTTCGGCAAAGGATCGCCCAATCCCCACGCGCAATCGCAACCACTCATTCAGGTCAACCATCCTCTTCCAAACGAGATGGCCGCGCCTGTCTTCTTCTCACAACCGTCCATGTCGGCCATACCCTCGACGCCCATCACCCACGGGCCCATCACCCACGGTCAGTCTCAGACTGTGCCGAACACGCCACAACACCACACCCAAAGCTGGCCAAGCCCACCGCCATCACATGTCAAGCACCAGCGTAGTCAGAGCTATCAACTCGACGTCGCGCCAATGCCACCACAGCTTGATGGTAGTCAGTTCACCAACCAACAAGCCTCCTTCCACAACGGATCGTTCGGCTTTCATGGCGAGCAAGACTACGCCGCTTCAGCCTACTCGTCATCCATTGCCGACGCCTCTTCGCCACCACCGCAGCACAGCACACCGATGCCGACGCTGTACGAAGAGCCACCTGCCGACCTCCTGTTGCAGGCGACTGCCGGAGCCGAGCACGACTTCAACAGCCCGCACTTCATGATCAGTGGCGGACCCATCTGCCCTGAGCAAGCCGCTCTTGACGCTGCTGGTATCGATGCAACATATATCGACACCGGCATCAGCGAAGAGCAAATCAACTCATGGCTCGTTCATCCTCAGGGTAAGGGCGAGCCGTACCGATGCAAGTGGGAGGGCTGCGACACCGCAATCAACCGAAAAGAGAATGCTCGCTCGCACGTTCAGAACCATCTCGACGATCGTCGTTTCCGCTGCAATCCCTGTGGCAAGCGCTTCAACCGTCTTCACGACACCAAGCGTCATCATCTCACCCACACTAACGAAAGACCAGCAGTGTGCCCATGCGGTAAGACCTTTGCTCGAGCTGACGCACTAACCCGTCACCGACAGCGCGACATGTGCGAGGGCGTTCTGCCTGGATTCGAGAAGCTGGAAGAGGAGAAGCCGAAGCGTGGCCGCCCAAAGAAGGACCGCTCTGGTGAGGATAAGTCGAAGCGGTCGAGTCGCCCTGACATGGACGCGCGTACGAGAAAGGCTGCGATGGCGCGCAACATCGACGCCGCCAACAGTGCGAATGGAGGACACGCATCCAGCATGAGCTCTGCAGCAAGCGTGCGCAGCATGCCAGACACTCCGCCACAAGACAGCGACGAGATGACCGCCCACGACTTCCTCGATATGGACGGCGCGAATTCTTCATTCAACCAGCACGGCAACGGATGGGTCGATACACCACCCACATCACCTCCATCCGCACCCCACACGCAGGCCGCCAAGTCCAAGATCTTTATCGACCTCAGCATTCCAGAGGAGCCAGTTCACGCCGTCTCACCTTCGAAGCTGTCGACACGATCATCACCAAGCCCCGTCAAGTCGTATCATCACGGCTCAAGTCCGCCGCAGACGCAGACTGTCTTCACCGACTACTCCTCACCTGCAGCGTTTGACGGCTTCACTGGCGGCTCCAGCCCGATGGACGGCGGCGTCGATATCTTCCACGACACGATGAACTTCGATATCATGGACTCACATCCAGACGTCGGTCGCGATGTCTTTTCTCCTCCCGGCGAATCTTGCAGTGGCTCAAGCGTCTACAACTCCGACTACGATACGGTCCACGTCAGCGCAGCCGTCAAGCCACCTGCTCACATGTCGCCAATCGCGGAGTACGGCACAGCCATGACCGCTCGCAACGCCTATGGTCTCGATGACTTTCTGAGCGCCGCCGAAGAAGACCAGTACGGCGAGGTCCGCGACATGCTTGATTCCTGGATCGCTTCGAATTAGAGGTCTCGGAAAAAGGCAATTCGTGTGTTTAGCGTGTACGATAATGGCGAAAGAGCTACGAGATGACATGACGACTCTGGATGACTGCATAGCATGGAAATGACGACCAACGATTGTGAGGGCTGCGCCTGTTACGATACGATCTGATCAAAAATTGGCGGAAATTAATGGATGGATGGAAGCAGATAAGAACGACGTACATGAATGACTGCATATTTTCGAGGACGACGAACAGACGAACGACCGACGACGCGGAATGACATGAAATGGCTGGCATATGGACTCTGTGTGTGTGTGTTTGGGCATTGCGAAAGGTGTTCTGGGCGTAATAATGGGCAGCAAGAATGACGACGGAAGATTTTTGCTTTTCTTGTTTTCTACGCAGCCAGCCAGCTGTCGATACGTTGCTCGAACTGCGTTGCGTTATTGCTTGCTGGCTGGCTGCCTTTTTAATTGATCTTTCTACCAATTCTGGATGGAGTGTGTGCAAAAGAAATCTGTCGCTACAGCGAAAAACGCACATGATTTGTACACTAGCAGAAAAGATGCTGGAGGGGCGGCGCGGTAGTTATAGAGACATCTTTCATGTCTTGGGTCGTTAGTCCTTGGAGCCATGTTGCAGGTTGAGTTGGCCCTTTTTTTTTAAAAAAAAAAGGACTTTGACTCCTTGCTTCGTGATTTCGAGTTGTACTCCTCTTGATATGGATGGAATGGAATGAAATGGAGCGAGGGAGCATCTTTTTCTGCAAATTTGAGACTTCTCTCTCTCTCTCTCTCTCTCTCTCTCTCTCTCTCTCTCTCTCTCTCTCTCTCTCCTAACAATCTATCGAGATTGAGACTTGCTATACTGCTGAATTCGTTCGTCTTCATTGCGTGCAGTATTCAGAAACACCACGATAATCAAGATGAAGAAATTTTTTCTTCTCTCCCATGCATGCTGCTGTTCCGATGACTGACTCTACGTGTACAGATTCTGGCTGGACATGACCTCGTCGTTTCCAACGTAATGCCATCATCCTTCATCGTCTGCCAAATTTCCCTCTCCTGCCACCCGCTTTGGAGTTTTTATTCTTGATCTTAAGAGCTCTGAAGTTCGTATGAGCCAGAGGATCGACCTTCCGGCCTTTCTTCTTGGACTCATCCTTCTCGACTTCCTTCCCCTGTCCTTTCGTTTTTGCAGCCGACTTCTGCTTTGCTTTTCCCCTAGCTTGCTTTTCCGTATCTGAACCAGATTCTGCTGCACTGTCTCCAAGCTCATCTACCGAATTCGGATCATGCTGGAGTTGAGTTTCAGCCACGGGTTCCTCCTCTTCCTCTCCTTCAGCTTCGGCTTCGGCTTTTTGGGGCTTATGAACCACAGGCTTCATCTTAACCCGTCTCGTCTGCCTCTTCAAACCTTTCTTCTTCCAAGGCTTCCTCCCCGTACCCCTATCCTCTTCCTCACTCTCACTCGACTCAAAAGCCTGGTCTGGACCTAACGGCATCTCGACAACATCCTGGCTATCCTCAACCTGTACGTTGGCCGGGAGTCTCTTCGGCAGCGGCCCTCCATTCGCTTCCTCTTCCTCAATCTCATTCATGACATCCCATTCGTCATCCATACGCTTCTCTTCCTGCTTCTTTAGACCTTGGATAATACTGCTCAAACTCCTCACCAAACCACGTTTCCTGAAAGGTGGAAGTAATGATGTCGATGTTTCCGCATTGTGCTCTGCTATAGGCGCAAGTGGAACAGATCTTCGTAGGAAGGCAGGAGTGGCGAATTTGCGTTTTGAGCTGCTTGTAGTTCCGATGTCGTTGTCGTCTCGTTTTCTTTTTAGGGGAGTGCCGGCAAAGGCGTCGAGGAAGTAGCGCTTGCTTAGAGATTGCGGAGTTCGTGAGTGTCCTGATTCTTCTGAGGCGGCTGTAGCGCTTTTGCTTGGGGTGCCTGCGATCAATGCTATGCCATTGGTCTTTGATGGACTGTCGCCTTTCAATGGCGTGCTCTCGATGGCGATGTCGAAGATGCTCAGAACTTGGCCGTCTCGATGTGGTGTTGGGCCCAGTGCATTCCGGATGAAGGCAGGTGTAGGTTCGGCTTCTTGTACAGGTGATAAGACAGGGCCTTGTAAGGTAGATAGCTTCTTGCTCGGCGTTCTCTTAGGCGTCGCTTTCGCAGGCTTCTCGATTCGGGAATGCTTGATGATTTTGCTGGGTGTTGAAGCGGTCTTCGGTCGGGAAGCCCTCGAGGTCAATTCGTTGTATAGCTTGTATTTCGCCTCTGCCAAGTCCTGTCAGTATGCGTCCTCTTCTATCGCATCGATCTCTGCCCCACGTATAGTCGCGTCTTTCTTGATATCCTCACGTCCAGCTTTCCGACCATTCTGCTCCTTAAACGCCGTTTCCCACGCTTTCAGCTCTGCACGCACTGCCACAGGATCAATACTGTTCTCCTTGCCCTCGGCTGACATGGCTGCGATCTGTCTGCAACAAACATGGAATGTGTTGTCCGTTCCCAAAGTACGAGCATCACGAAAGAGAAGGTTCGCGGAGACGCGTCTCCACGTGCGAAAAGCGGGCCCGGAATCCCGATCACCGACGTCACACCAAGCATCCAACGCTCATCAATCCGAGTTCTCGGTGCCCGAGCTGCCTTCTCAGCTCGTGTTCTGATTGGCAGCGCAGCTGCCAATCTAGACACCGCGGCCACCGCCCGCGAAAATCTAAGTTGTCCGCCAAGACCGAAATGATTGGCTGAGAAATTTCGCAGAAGTAATATACAATCAAAGATTGAAGGGAAATTTGACTTACCCCGGATTTCAGCGTAGAACGTCAATCGAAACAAAGATTAAAGTAAAGGGGAATTTAACTTACCCCGCATTTCTTAGCTTATTAGCTAGGGTATTAGCTTAATAGTAGTAATATTTAATTAAAGATTTAAGTACATTTCCTATTAATTGGGTATAAAGGTGTTAGCTTAATAGTAGTAATATTTAATTAAAGATTTAAGTACATTTCCTATTAATTGCGTATAAAGGTATTAGCTTGATAGTAGTAATATTTAATTAAAGATTTAAGTACATTTCCTATTAATTGCGTATAAAGGTATTAGCTGAATAGTAGTAATATTTAATTAAACATTTAAGTACATTTCCTATTAATTGCGTAGTAGTAATATTTAATTAAAGATTTAAGTACATTTCCTATTAATTGCGTATAAAGGTGTTAGCTTAATAGTAGTAATATTTAATTAAAGATTTAAGTACATTTCCTGTTAATTGCGTATAAAGGTATTAGCTTGATAGTAGTAATATTTAATTAAAGATTTAAGTACATTTCCTATTAATTACGTATAAAGGTGTTAGCTTAATAGTAGTAATATTTAATTAAAGATTTAAGTACATTTCCTATTAATTGCGTATAAAGGTATTAGCTTAATAGTAGTAGTATTTAATTAAATATTTAAGTACATTTCCTATTAATTGCGTAGTAGTAATATTTAATTAAAGATTTAAGTACATTTCCTATTAATTACGTATAAATAAAAAAAATAGCTAGTATAGGACTCGAACCTACGACCTCTTAACCCCTATCGATCTTATAACTCCTTTAAGATATATGCCTTTATATAGTAGGGACTATATTAAGTAGTATAGCCGGGAGAAATAGAATTATTAATAGTTAAGAATTAAGTTAGAGCTAATACTAGCTAATACCTACTAATACTAAATTCGAAGGTCGTCGATTTATATAAAAGTTTTACGTTCTATAGAACCGACCCGCGCGGTTCTAATAGTATAATTTTTATTGAAATCGGATTAGTATTTATCGAGATATATATAGGATACTCCGTATTCTATAGCTATCTAGTCTAGGGGCGCCCTAATATAATAGCCTATAGGGTACTAAGTATTAGCCTAATCGGGGGGGGGGGGGCAATAGTAAGGCTCTAGGGCGTCTAGTAGGTATATCGACTTTTTTTTTATACTAGATATATAATTTTCGCTAAGTCTACGAGTTAGTTTCGAGGAGGAGGAGTACTTTATATATTAATCTACTATATATAGTTTTATACTTAGACGGCGTCTAGGATAGGAGGTAGTAGTACTACTATATCGGAGTTAGGTTTTAACTTTCGAGGAGGAGTACTTTATACATTAATCTACTATATATAGTTTTATACTTAGACGGCGTTTAGAATAGACTGTAACTACTAAGAGGAAATTCTATTATCGAGTTCCTATCTAAGTAACTTAACAGGTTGCTAGACTATTATACTAACTCGCGCGGCTCTAATTCTATAATTTAAGTAAACGTATATATTTCTTTGATTTTCGAATATATCTAGGTTATATAACGGACTAAGTTGTCCGGTAATAAAGGTATAGTTTCTACTAATATTAGCCTAATCTATCCTAATACTCTTATAATATATTGTATACTAGCATTATAAATATATACCTGTAACTAGTATATTTACTTTCTATATATACGTTTATATATACTCTTTACTATATATGCTATCTTATTATATATATATATATAGACTTCGAAAAAAACCCCTTTCCTAAAAAGTAAAAAAAAGGGATCGTAAAATATTTAAAAATTAATACCTTGAACTGTGCTATTATTATAGCGAGGTCCAAAGTATTAAATAGTCTGCCGCCGGAGGATTATAACGCTATATAGTAGCCGGACACCCCTGCTCCCGAAAATTTCAGGCCCTCAATAAAGTGTATAAGGACACTCGTCAAACAGCAAACCAATTCAAATGATTGGATGCCGGGTTGGAATTTAAGTTCGTATATAGAGTGTACACCGTACCTAGGAAATCCGGGGTAGCCTAGGTTAGGGAGGTACTCACCGCCGGCTTTTTTTAAGCAACGCCAAGCCGAAAATTTTCGAACGTGGATAACCTCTGCGCTGCTACTCTTGGAACGCGCCCGCGGTCCACAACACTTCCTAGTAATACAAAATGACCTCAAAATGCTCTGCTTTCTTCACAATTCCTGATTCAGAAAATCGCGCAATAGACAGAATTGACCCGCGTGATGACAATCGCAGCAAAACAGGGACAGCTTCGGCAACATAAGTGGGTGTCCTCATCTGCTCCCTCGAGTTACATACATCCTGTCAAGATCAGATAAAGTCGGTTACTGGTGCCGAGTCGCTCCTATACGTTCTCGTCATCTACCAAGAACAACCTCGTTTCCCTGCCACGGCTCCAAAAAATGGCATACGCAACGGGCGATGTGGATGGGGATGCCGTGGGCTTTGCAGATGGGGATGGTGAGGGAGGTTGATAGGTAGAGGAAAGATGAGAAGGAGAAGGAGAAGGAGAGTGGGGGTTGAATGAGAAAGTGAGTGAGATTAATTATACTATTGTCATGCCGTCCCGGTTCCTTTCCTGCATTTCATCGCCGTTCGTGTATGTAGTCCTCTTGGGGGGGTATCACATTCCTTCTTCTTCTTCTCTCCTGTTATACGATGATACCAGCATCGTAAGGTAAAAAAAACTTCGTAAACGCCATAACACCATGCTTCGCTTCCCAAAAACCCAACCTCAGAAAAGCAAAAACCATAACCCTCCTCCTTCCTCCCTCAAAATCACCATCTCCTCACCCACCCCTCCCTCTCCATCCCCCAGAACCCCATCTCAAGAACTCATCACAGCATTCCCCCCATACTGAGGTATAACCCCAGCAACAGCCGCCATAATCAAAAAATACGCACTCCCATAAACAACCCACTCATTCACCAGCAACAACTCTCTAATCCCCGTCGTCGTAGCCGTGACAAAACCCGCAGCGACAGAGATCAAAAACGTAACGAGAAATCTTCCCGCGAGAGTGGGAATGACACTGAAGAGAAGAACCGGTAACATCAATCCCACAGGAAGACAAGTAAACATGATCATCTGATCTCGATTCTGTGGCGGAGGAGATGGTCGAGAGGCATTCGGAAGCAAAAGATCATCCCCATGATCCAAAAATTTCGTCTCGACTTCATGAATCGGAGTTTTCAATTTCAACCATTCCCGATAAGTTTCGATCTGTTCTGGTTCTGGAGATGTTCGATCTGCGCTTAATTCTTGGAAACTTTTCAGCGCACGATTGTATTGTTCTGTTTTCTGGAATATGCGTCCGAGGAGTAATGTTCTCTGGTGATGCCAGTCGCCGCCGAAAGCTGCGTCGCCTCGACGGGAAGCTGGGGTGGTTTGTTCGGAAGAAGAGTGGTCGAGTTGTGCGACGATCTCGTCCACGGTTCGTAGTCGTTCTTCTAGCTCTTGTAGCTCGTCTTGCAAGTGGAGAAGGATTCGGTGATTGAGGTATGAGAATTTTCGATACATGGGTTTTACGGATGATGAATTGTTTGATAGCTCGCGCGCTAGCATCTCGTAGCCTGCGATGGTCACTTGACTAGAGTTAGGTGGATCGGGGACGGGCGGTCGATCTGGATGCGCAATGTGGCCGTTGGTTGTCTGAGGAGGTGGAGGATATGCCATTTGTGCTGGTGGTTGTGGATATTGGTATTGCTGCATCGCAAGCAAGTGTTGCCATTCTCTTTGCGCTCGAGCTGAGCCATTGGACGATGTAGAATGAGAGCGACGTTGTGCATGAGCTGGATCGATATAATTTTGTCCGTGTTGATTCTGAGTATGAGCGACATGCTGTCGCAGTTCGTCTTGTTGCTGTCTTAAACGTTCCTCGTATCGCTCAGGCAGATTCGACGCCTGCGACGAGGGTCTCTTCCGTGCATCGTACACCACTTCGTTGTAAGGTGGAGAGGGTTGTCGTGATTGCTCGTCGTCCTCTGCGACATCATTTAGTTTCGGCAGTCTTCGAAGATTTCGCGGTTTGGCTTCTGGACTGTAACTGTTGCTCCTGGTGGAGCCCGGCGATGTGTTGGAGTGCTGATCATACTTGCGACGAAGCTCGGCGACGCTACCGACGCTGCCGGTCAAGGACCCACTTCTTGTTACGGTAGGTGAAGGAAATGTGGAGTGGCTTGATGGCGTTTCCGGCAATTCGCTAGATCCAGCGTCAGAAGGCTCATACTGCGACGATGAAGACGATTCTGTATAGATCGATTGCCCGTCGTGGCTTCTGTCAATCGAATTGGCGTCCATGATGTCCAATGCGTAAGGTGGATGACCTTTTTTAGTGGCGCTGATGTCGGACTCCGCAACTTTTCGGGACGTTTTTGCTTTTGGATTTTCTATGCGATGTTGGTCATATGACTGCTGCGTGATCGTTGTATTACTACTGGACGATCGATCTGAGCTTCGCGTTAAGCTAGAAAGGACCGACAGCAAGGATGGGTTGAACCTGGGAAGGGGATCCGTTCGTCTCGACAGCCCGCCCACCTTATGTTTGACTGGTTTTCGCTGCAACAAGCCGTCCTTGCGAGGGCTGCGACGTTCGCTGCCTCTTTCAACTCGACGACGAGCAGCTGTCACTCGCGCGCTGGGCTTCGAGATGACGCTGGAGTCCCCAGACTCCAGTATCCTTGCAAGCTTGGGAAAGAACCCGCCAACCTCACTTTCCGTACTCCGCCGGCTTCTTTGGCCTTGTGTCGCTCCACTTGTACCGTGATTGGAGCGCTTGCTTCGTCGTCTCGGTGTATTTGCATCACTATCGATCCATTCTACAGAGGCAGATTGACTGTTTTCCTTGACCGCGCTCTCAGTTTTGCTCCGCTTCCTAGCTATGGTCGGCTGTGCAGCGTTGTCGTCTTCGGGACGCGAAAGGATCAAATGAGGTGGTGTTCGCTGTGAGGCTCGTCCTGCGGGCGATGCTGGCTCTGGCTGCATGAAAACGCATGGAGCGTCAGTCGTGGGCGCGAACGTATGGAGTATGGAGGGCTGTGGAGAAGGCCAGGAGTCGCGACACGTCTATGTATATTGTACTTACCATAGTATATGCGGCGGTCCAGGATGGCTGTCCGCACTGACTCAGTGAATCTGGAAGCGCAACTGGTATCCGAACAAACAGCAAATAGTAGGCCAAGAATAGGAGAGATGGCTGTGTCTCGCTGCAAGCACTTCCCTGGCTCGCCTGGCCTGTGTTACTCCTGGGGCCTGGGTGTGGCAGATAATAGCCTCTCAGGGGGGTAAGGAAGGCCACTTGCGACTTGCGCGCGACAACGTTGCAAGCGGCGGAGCATGCGCTGGCTCGTTCTGATTGCGGGCCCGGCCATGCAGCACCTGATGCACTGGGCGATGCACTGTGGGAGACATTGCGACGGGTGTTGGTCGCCTTGGCCGGGATGTTGGCCCAAAAGTCTATGGAAATGGGAGAGGGAACGAACAGATGGCGGAAGTCCGTCTGCAAGTTCACATTCCAGAGCAAAGCTTGAGCTCTGGGAGAGCGCACGGAGGTGACATGGTGTAGGTGCAATGGCTGCTGATTGGGTGGCCCGTGATACACACATCCACGTGAGGTCCCATTTAGGCTTTTCCTCGGCATCGCGGTGGATGGCACTCTGCTTTCTCAGGCTTTGGCTGCCATCTCATTTATCGTCCAACGCCATTCCGTGCCAAGATGGGGGCGAAACGCGCAGCGCAGTCAGATGTGATCGTCAAGCTGATAGTCGGCGCTGGGCAGGCGTCGCCCTCGCCGCCCGTTGGTCCAGCGCTGGGTTCCAAAGGAGTGAAGAGTATGGAATTCTGTAAGGTAAGCAATGTTATCAGCAGATGCAATGTCTGGCGTGAAAATCATCTGACAAGTCACAAAGGAATTCAATGCGAGGACGGCGAACTGGATTGCCGGAACTCCAGTGCCAGCTCGCGTGACTGTTCGACCAGATAGATCCTTCCACTTCGAGATTCGAACACCGCCGACCGCATCGTTACTCCTTTCCGCAGCAGGCGTATCGCCCATCAAGAACAAGCTGAAAGGTGCAGGCAATACCGCAGGTCCAAAGTCAAAGGCTGGACTTGCTGGAGCTGGCAAGGCATCGTATACTGGAGCCGCTCCAGGAAATGCCGGCTTGGGGACGGTGGGAACTGTCAGCTTGAAGCACGTTTACGAAATCGCGAAGATCAAGCAGGGCGAGACGAGGCTCTCGGGCGTAAGTCTGGAAGCGATGGTGAAGAGCGTGATAGCGCAGGCTGGCAGTATGGGAGTGGTGATTGTGCCTTGAGGGAGCGAAGCATTGAATAGGCAGGCACTCATCGCAATTATCGCGCGCCTTCGCACGCCGATCTGGTGTTTCAGGAACTGCAAAACCTGTGGCGCCATGAAGCCATTTGACCCTGGCTATCTTCACGCTATTTGCCGGCATTTGCAATCATTCGCGAAGAAGTCTTCAATGGGAACGTGTAAAGAAAGGGTTTGCTTGGACGGTCGGCTTCAAAACGAGCATAGGATGGGCGTTTGGGCAATAGAAGATACCCAATGTGTGAACGTGTACAGTATACAGGGAAGACAGGCAGCGGTTCAGCCTCTCACATGGAAGCCCGGCCCGAGCTGAGATACGGCCACCGATGGGGAAGGCACGGTGCCTATATTACTGAGTAGATAGAAGACAGTGGCTGAAGTCGACTCCACTCTTCCGAGTGCTGTCACATGCGCGCTGTATTATGATTCTATACAATTCCCGCTGCTCTGATGGGAATATTATGCAGCATCAGGTCGTAGCCCGTTCCCACCTCTTCACGACCTCTTGAGCCCAGGTCATATCCACGCCATCGCTGTCATGGCGCCTAGACTTTCTATGCCAAAAATCTATGCATCTTTGCCATATGCACATGCCGCCAGATCCACTTGCTCCATCGCTGCAGCACATCACTCCTAAGCGAATGTCGCTATACAAATACACAAAAGCGAATGTAGGGTATCTTCGAATAAAACGCTCTTCGCCGGTCCGAAGCGCTCAGGAAGACAAATTGCGCCGTGCCTTGCTCAGGTTCCAAAAGTCCTCAACTTTGCTGAAGGTGTGGATGAAGCGCCGAAAATGCTCGTCAAAATGGGTAAAACAAAGCTCCATGCAATGCTGTTGTTGGTCGTCACATTCATTATCGCCAATCATGTGGCGAATGCGAAAGATCGATCATGTTCGAGTGGGCAAAAAAGCACCTATGCTTTCTGATACTCGTTATCGGATGAGGAAGCCAATGTGTCACCTTCCCATGAGTCGCTATCTGCGATCGGTGATCGCATGCCAGTTGATGGCTCGCGGCTGCTGCTCGAGAAGCTGGAGGATGATCCAATTGTCCATTCATCACTGTCGCCGTGAAGTGCCAGTTCGTACTCGTCCAGGTCCGTGAGCCCGTATGCGTACTTCTCTGGCTCTTCGCCATGCTCCACGTAGTCATAGTCCCAGCGGAACATCTTGCCCGGTTGCAGTCGTGGCAAGAAGCTGCCCTTTGCAATAAAGTATGCAATAGATGCAATTATGCTGCCGCCCACGAGATCTACGGCGTAGTGGTGGCTCAGGTACATGGTCGCATACCACATCCAGAGGGTGTAGAGGATGAATAGCGGTCTCAGCTTTGGGAAAGTGTGAGACATGAACAATGCCTCGATGGTGGCGTTTGCTGAGTGGAGTGATGGGAAGGCACCAAAGACCAGAGGAGATGCGGTGAAGGTCGAGGTGTAGAGGTCGACGCCGAAAAGCTTGTCGATGGCTGCAAGGCCCGCTGGAGATCCAGGTATTGAGTAGTTCGCGGGTGCAAGACCGTACATGTTCTCGTACCATGGGGCACTGCACGGAAATAGAATCTGTATGATGACTCCGGTCATGTTCATGTATCCAAATGCTCGGGCAAAGGTAGGTGTGGTGCCCGGTGGTCCAAAAATGAACATGAGACCGGAGCACACGAAGGGTGCACCGAAATGTGTGATACCGTATGGTAGCCACGCGAGCACATCAAGAAGCGCATTCTTGTGTGCTGCGAGGATGTTGCTGAGATTTGCTCCATAGAGGATGTTCTCCATTGCAGGGAGCACTCGCACCCAGATGCCGGGCCTGTACTCTCCTGGGATGAACTGGCATGCGTAGAAAAGGATGAGCCAGCCTGCAATGGGTAAGAATGGCAAAAAGAATTGCCTCGTTATGGGTATGACTAAGCTCGTCATGAGCAGTGTAGCCACGACGGTTTTCATGAGCGGTCCAGGGGATTGGATCATGCATAAGCTGAAAATGCCTATGATGGCGAGCAAGAGATATTGAGCATCGAAATGGCTCCAGTGGTGTGTTCGGAGGGCGCGTATGGTGTCTGCCGGGTTGAAAGATGTTTCTACGGAGGCTATTGAGCTGGTAGGAGTCTGCCTCGAATGGATTTTGCTCTTGGTGGAGCGCCATCGTCGTCGGATGCGGTGTGGTATGTAGATGGGGAAGGCTGGTAAGTAGGCGAGTAGACGCGACGACCCATCGCCGGCGAGCGACAGGTATGTCCGCATGGCTCAGTTGTCGCGGTCGTGGTCGCGGAGGGGGCGTCGGGCGTGAAGATTCGGGGGGCGGACGTGGATATGTGAAGTCGTCGAGGCGCTGGCTGGCTGGTTGGCCGGACGCAGCACAGCACAGCCGAGCAGATCGGCGTTACGCAGACAGATGCACTGCGGGTGGCGCTGTCCAATTCACTGCGGGCGCATTCGCGTGGGCTGCGGTGCGGTGGTTGCGGTGGGTGCGGTGGCTGCGAGGGAAGGCGCGCGAGCAGAGAAGGCGAGAGCGAGAGCTGCGACTGTTAATCTGCTCGAAGTTCGAAGTAGACCCACTGCCACAGACCGTTGTTAACGCGAGATTGGACTTCGGCAGGGATGCTAGCCGCTTTCAGAAGAATGCCAAGAGCTGATCCGACCACGGGAGTGTGGCGGCGGCGGCGGCGGCGGCGGCGGTGCAGCAGCGTTGTTGTCGTTGCACAGACAGCGCACAGCAAGCATCTATGTGACGCACACGAAATGAGGTGAGTGCTGTGCTTCAGGTGAGAGCAGAGGTTGAGCAGTTGGCAGTAGTAGTGAGAAGGGCTGCGGTGTGGCCGTCATCAGCATCAGGACCTGATGTGCTGCCGGCCGTCCGTCTTCACAAGAATACCTATGTACAGTACTCTTCCACGGAACCTCAGGATGAACTAGCAAGCAAGGCTCGCTTTCCCGCATCTGATTCGTTCACATGGCATTTGGCGCCGACATCTGCGCCATCACACTCACAAGCCTCTGCAGCAGCTAACGTTACATGTATACGTGCTCTCGTGCTTGCACTACTACGTCTATCTACGTCTTCGATTATGCCTGCCACGGCGGCGATGCCCACTTCCAGGCCTACATCGCGCTGCCTTTGCCCGGACATTATTGCCATTGTTGTGCTACGGCTACGGCTCCATCTGCTCAGCTGTGGCTTCGGCGCCCAACACCCTAGCTTCGGTCGCAGAAGGTGAACGGCGATTCGGCAATATCAGGCTTCCGAGGACGACGTGCAGGCATCTTGTGATTCTGCTTCTGGTTCCGTGCAGAGCCGGCAGGAATCGCGAAGGCTCACTCAGCCGCAAGGGCAGCTCAGCTCTCAGCTCATCAAGCTGCGTTGTGTACAGTATTTCATCACATGCTCTGTCATCTGTCACCTCTCCACGACGAACTCTCGTAATATGCTTTCGGGATCCGGCATGTGCTGGCAGAGTTTTGGCAGGGTTGATGGTCGGCGTTGTGATGCAGGTCATTGTATGCTATACTCGTCGAGCTACCACAGGAATTGCGTAGAATGCATCGCAAGGTGCGTGAATGACATGTCAAGCCGCATGGATCATTTCAATTCTCTTCGCAAGACACGGAGAACACACTGAAGGTAGGGCTTTCAAGACTACTGTGATACCTGAAGCTTTTCTCACTTTCATTCCGCGAAACCTGCTCTGCATGAGAACAACTCTGACACCGCGCTTGGACGTTTCATCTGCCCGCTTTTCGGGCAGATAAGAGGAGATGCGATCACAGGCACGTCCAGAGGAGCCAGCAAAATTTGATGCGTGCGATAGAAGGAGGGGTCCTTTCATCGGTACTGGGTACCTACTGAGCTCACGAAGCACATGAAAGCCGTCAAATAAACGAGAAATACTTGAGAGATTGTCTGCGAGAACGCTTCGAACGACAGTATGGACCAGGGTTGTAATAGCAGCGAATGCCTAGCAATCTGACTCACGAGACGAGACCTGGAAGTGGTTACCTTCCTGTTTCCTGTTTCCTGTCAACACAAATGCAAACATTTTGACTGGGTAGAAGAGTGTGACTTCAGAACTCATCGACTGCAGCATTCTCGACTTTGGAATCTCATCTGTGCAGAAAGCAGTCAGCCAGAAATGGCGGCACGCAAATCCAGCACAGTCTTACCGCCAGAGCTGCCGCTCAGCCCTACTCAGCAGCGATTCCCAGTAGCCTTCAACCAACAAACGACGAGCTACGAGTTCGCATCGGGCCATGAGAATACCAAGCAAGGCTTGAGTCCCGATCCCGAGTGCAACCCCAAAGATGAATTCCACCCGCAATCACCCGTCGATTCTTCTATACTCGACTCCAGCACAATCAGCTGGCACACGGCACGCGAGCAAAGCGAAGAAATCGAACCTCTCAGTCCCAAAACGCCTCCAAAGTTTGACCTCCAGTACCAAAAACCCTCAACTTCCGCCAAAGACACTCAAGCCTGCAAGCGAGCACGGAACTTCGCTACGCAGCAGTCGGAACAGGTCGCAGAGAAGCGGCGGCGTCGCACACCTGTGAGAGCAGATACGAGTCCAACCAAGCCAGGACTACCTCGTGAGCCGGAGCTTTGGGGGAGCCCTCCGCCGTATTTTGGTTTGCCTTCTTCTTCTGAGACGGAGCAGGAATGTGAAGCACGCGGGCGTGCGAGGAAATCTCCACGGCATGAAGCGCCGGGAAGAAGTGATGCAATGGCAATGGAGACTGATTGAATCATGCTGTCGCTCAAAAATGAAGAAATCCCAAGGTCAAGGGGCTTGAGAAACGCGAATTCGGGATTGTGTCTTTGTCGGTCATTTGGCTATATTACTATGGCTTCACGTAGCGTTCGAAGGGAGGGATTCTGCAGAGATGTGCCTCTTGACCACTTTTCATCTTCGATATAGCGATTGCTTTCTTCTAGTCCTTCACTTCTCTCTCACTTCGTGCAAAACGTCTCATCGAAAGTCAGGTTGAGATGCGAAAGTGATGAGCGAGGAGATTTATATCTCTTCTGTTGATGCAACAAAACAACAACCATCATCATACTCACCACACCCAACATCCAGACACACCAAGCATTGATTCCACCTCTACCATATCGTTCATCTCCGGAACTCAACATCCAAACCAACGAACTTGATATCACCTACAACATCCAACGAACCAAAACAAAACCCAGTCACAACCTCAAGCAATCAACCCAACACCATCTCTCAAGATGTTCGTACCACTAATTTTCACCATCCTACTCCTCTTCACCACCCAAGTCCTCTCAACAGTCGAACTCTGCATGTAAACTCCCCTGCTCCCGCAGCGACACCTACGTCTGTTGCACCGATCTCGCAGCAGAAAAGTGCTGCTACGCGCCAAGCAGCGACTTCTGCCACAACGCCAGCGTGCGAGGCCTGAACGAAACGGACACCGTGACCGCCTACGGTGATCGAGCTTATACTACGGATCGTGGTGTGGCGAGGGAGATTTTGGTTCCCGAGGGGAAGGCTGGGGTTGTGAGTGATTTGCTGGATGCTAAGGACTGGAAGGCTCTTGAGCGGTATCCGGATCATCACAGGAGACGAGCTTGAAGGGCTAGGATTTTCAACGAGTAATGGCTCCACAGAGTATACGACAGCGAGCCTTGGGTCTAAGATATGGGCGAGGTTTAGATTGATATGTGATTATGGAGAATGAGCCTTCATCTTGCGGCATGTGCTGACATGCTCTCTTCATCATTTCGATACTCAGAGCAATCGAGAATGATACTTCATACCTGCTTCCTCTTGCTAGAGCTGAGTGATGCGCCAGAAGTCGGGTTGTGATCAAGTCAAGGCACTCGGTAGCTTGTGCTTGACAGCCATGTTGAGCTTCACAGTAGGGACCTTTGCCTCACGAGGTGGACGTAGCGTTTTCTGAGCGCTCGCCACGTAGGGCCTAAACGTCGGATTTCTCGCAATCACATCCCGTGTGGCATTATTGGCGAACGCAGACAGCCTGACCAACTGCTTGCATATCAGAGTATGTAACTCTGCTGAATTCGCACCGCGTTGACCGGCTTCCATCAACTCCGTAGAGGCTTCGGCGAGAACTCGATCTACTTCGTTGCCTCGCTGCTTACGTACCAGTTGCACCTCCTGGAAGAGACGTTCGACGAATGGTGCACCTCCAGGAATCGTGCTAGCATATGCAAGCGTAGTCCTTCGCAGCACATCGATTGCTTCGGCGCCGCTATATGTTCCGGCCTTGAGACTGGTGATGACCTCCTCAATGAGATTGTCCACACAAAGCTTGGCTGTACGTGCTGCGAGAATCGCGGAGTCTACACCTGCCATGTTCTTCCAGAGGCCAGCTCCGAGAATTACAGCTGCTCCAGCAGCGCAACCGACTAGGCCGCCGGTGACCATGGCTGGAGAAGCAACTGCCAAAGCTTTCACCCGGCCCTGGTTGGTATGGTCGGAGTTGCCATGGTTGGCTCCAGAGTCAGCTCGGGGAGCAGGCGTTCGCTTCGCTACATCTGCTTGCGGTTGCGATCTTTCTGCGATCACGGACGACTGCTTCTTTGATTTGGGAGTCGAGGTTGTCTTAGCATTGCTCGTGGTCCCGGAGCCTGATGTCAGCTGACTGACACTATCTTTGGCAGAACAAGTTGTGCCTTCTGCTGGTGATTTTGCCTTGGCAGACTTTCTCCTTGCCGGGTTCAATCTTGCTTTCTTCTTCGCCGATTCAGCTGTTGGTGACGCCGAACCAGCGGCGGTAGCTGCCATACTCATCAATCATCGAAATAATTCATCACACGTTCGCTGCGGCAATTCTTGGCCCGAACAAGAACGTACGCCACGAATAACCATTAGAAGCCTCCAGTCCTGATCGCGGCGAGATGAGGTGTCAGTTATCCCGCAGAGAAAACGCGTATTGTACGGTGTCGCTCGACCGGATCAGCATGCCGAGGCCGTTGACGCAAAAAATAGACTTCGCGCGTACTCAAACACCGCACCATCCTCAAAGCAGCCCTCTTCTCGACCTCATCTGGAACTATTGCTCGGTACGCTTTCGCCTAGTCATGGCCGAGCTGCGTGTTACTGGAATAAGAGAACACCGCGCCTATTCATGAGAAGTCTGCATTTCCCATCAAAACCTCCCAAGGCGCGCCAGCGAGCTACAATGTCTCCACCGTACGTACGTGGACAGCATTGGTTTTCCTTAGTCTCGTCTCTCCTTTCTTTTGCATCTTTGATTCATATATCTTCCTCATAGCAGCATTCTCAAGGCACGTACGGGTGAATAGACCAGGAAAGGCAGGACGAAGAGGAGAGCAGAGGCGCGCCCGTCACTCATCTAGTCAAACATCTGTCCGAACGATAATCTCGACCTCGAAGATGCACACATCAGCCCTGCTGCTCGCAGCACTGCCCTTAATTCTATGCCAAACAACCTCCCCGAAACGCGGCCTCGCATTGGTAGAATCTTCCGCGCGAAATCAAGACGATGAACACTACTGGACCTCCGGAGACCTGACATGGTACTACAACTGGCACTCAACCCCAAGCCACGAAATCGACCACAAAAAATTACAATATGTCCCAATGATGTGGGGAGCAAATAGCAGCGACACAAGCTTCCACACCGAAGTCCAAACCCTGATAAAAAACGGCTACAACATAACATGGGTTCTCGGCTTCAACGAGCCAGATGGCTGCGTGAATGGAGGCTCTTGCATCGATGCGGAAACAGCAGCTGAAGTCTGGATGCAGCAAATCGAGCCCTTGAAGGATCTTGGGATACAACTTGGTGCGCCAGCGGTGACAGGTGCGCAAGATGGGTTTGATTGGCTTCAGAATTTTTTTACAGCTTGTGCGGGCAAGTGCACGCCGGACTTCATCCCCGTGCATTGGTATGGAGATTTCGAAGGCTTAGCGAGTCATGTTGGTCGGGCCAATGCGACTTATGAAAATATGACGATGTGGATCACCGAGTATGCGTATGCGAACGCGGATTTGGAGCAGAGTCAGGAGTTTTATAATCTGTCTAGCGCATTCTTTGACAGGATAGAGTAAGTTGATTGAGTTGTAAGTTACCCCCAGTAGGACCTCGCTAACAATAGTCACAGTTATATCACTCACTACTCCTACTTCGGCGCTTTCAGATCTGATGTATCGAATGTGGGCAAAAATGCAGCAATGCTTACCCAAAAAGGCGACCTCACAGACATTGGTGCATGGTACTTGGGTCAGGAAGCCACCGGGAACGTGCCGAAAGGCGATTCCTCGCGTGCTGCAAGCTTTGCTGGTTCTGCATTGCTGGTTCTTGTCGCGACTTTATGGTGCCTGGGATAGGCTTGTTGAGATGAATATGATGTGCGTAGACGATCACGCATTCGACAGATTACAACTACCGGTGTTGGCAATGTACACAAGGTCTTCCTTCTGTGTTTCCTCCACGTTCCTTCCTCAGCTGAATTTCCGCCACCGGCCAACCAAATGCGCACTCGCGAGGCGAGGCTGAGAATTTTGTGAGGCTTGAGAGGCGCAAGGCTATCCATGCTGTGTGCTACAGTCCGAGGAAACACTCATAGTGTTCCACACAAAGTGCCACCCATTCGGATCCATTCTCTGCCTATACACTCATAGAAAAAGCAAGCGTGTTGCCAACATCAAGACATGATCTCAGCCAGCGCACGAACCCTATGCAGCGAATGCGGATCTGTTCTACAACTTCCCGAACCCTGCGCAACCGGAAAGCAAGGCCTTTCTTTCTCTCATGACATGCTTACCCTATGCGCCTACAGCTATATGCGGAAAATTCGGACTTGCTTGGTTTGACAGATCCTTGTGGGATCATGCAGAGGAAGCGTGGAGTATTCAAGCTTCGCATCGCAAGCTCGATCGAACAACTTGTCTAGCAACGACTCACCAGATGTCTTGTGTAGACGGCAAAGGCCTATCAAGTCGCTCTTAATGAGTGCGACAGGTGTACCAACCTTGACGTTGTCCAACTCACGTCGCTTGTACCACTACCCAGTGCGGGTACCTCCAAAGTGCTTACCAGGAAACACAAGCTCTTTCACACGCATGGCATACGTGGTATCCTCGTGGTTCGCACGTACGACCAGGTACAGCTGCCGTGGGAGCCGCGAGGCCGCAAATTTTTTCGTTCCGTTTCGCGCATAGGTGTGAAGTTTCGTACTGCCGACCAACTCCAAAAAAAAAATCTGAGTAAACGGCAAGAACTGATGATGAAAGGTGCTGTATCGATGCGAAGACATCGATCTTTTCCTGTCGTGAGGTGTCGATGCAGTTGAGCAATGAGTCGCGACCTCGGCGACCGACAAACCTCTCAGCCTCAACGTTCCTGGAAGGATCGCGCCAGTTTCCCGAACAGGGGATCTCCGACACTCGGCGCGCGCCAGCGCGGAAGTACCGCATGTTGAGTTCTGAGTGTTGTATTCATGTAATTGCCATCTCCATGTCGGATCTCTCATGCCCAGCTCCTTGTCCTCTCACGATAAATCTGTCACAGAGGAAACTCCGCTTCGTGCTCGAGAAAGATGCATCAACTGCTCGGAGGAACGGTAAGCGCAAGGGCTTCCTCGTGGGGTTTGGGTCCGGAAGCCAAGGCCAAGGACAGAGCGGATTCGGGTTGAGCCTCCATCTCGACACGAAGCTCTCTGCTAAGCAAAGCAATCTCGATGGTGTAAATGTTTAGCCAAGCCTTCCTTCCAGCCATGACCGAGAAAAGGATGCGTATTTGAATCGTCTACTCGTCCACGGCTGCTATCTACATCAAATAGAAAGGTGGCATGGCAGTTGTCATTGTTAGCCATGATAAGGTGTCTCCGAGAAGCCAATCACGGCGCACGCTCAAGGCCAGTTTGAGCGAAAATAGAAAAGCTCACGATGTGTGGGTGTCCTAGCCGAGCCAATTGTGGCCACGCTTTGGCTTCTCTCTTAACTCTATTGTGAGGTCAGCAGCACTTGTCATCTCTTATCTCGGAGAAGAAACGATAGACGATCAAATTAATGTATGCGAGACCGTCGCGTCTCCCACGACTCTACGAGGCGCGGGTGCTAGGCACGAAAACGCATAATTGTTGAGCCGTGCAACAGACTTGTACTGGTGTTGGTGCTGATTCTGATAAGCGAGGGCATCTTTCTCTAGACCCCAAGAAAGATCCAAGAAAGAGGCTTCGAAGATTAAAAATCCCCAGGGTCCTCGCTGCCGAATGCTAGGGAAGTTTCCGGGCTGTGTAGTAGGACAAGGATTGGATAGCGGAAGAAGCAAAAAGGCATTACAAGGAGTAGTTATTTGCTGGTCCGCAAGCCTGATCCTCACCAGAGAACATGCCACGAGCCAAGCACAAGCTATTCGCGAATCCCTTCCTTTCGCTCAGCAAGTGAGATCTGGGCGTTCCTGCGGCGTCTCGTCTACGCCCAGCAACCTAGCAAGATAAGGTGATGTTGTGAGCTAAGAAGGTTCGAAGTAGTGGGAAGATCTGATGCAGATGGCGCCTCATAAGGAACCCAGTGCACCCGTCCTTCTCCGCTGAGCGTGCTTCTAGCCCTGCAAACACACACACCTTTCTCTTGATTATTAACTTACCTACTTCATCCTCCTCACCTCTCGCTTTGCATTTTACTGTTGCAAAGCCTAACTTGTCCTGTGCCGGCGTTGGTCTATACACGACATCATCCCTTGCGTCGCGTGCCGAGCTTCCATCCATCCATCCATCCATCCATACAGCTTCTCTTGGTTGCAGCTCGACAGTAATTCCCAAAACAGCACCGCGGGCTTCCCGCTCCTCGACACAAGATGTCGTACTCTTGGGTCGGAGCTCCGGCGGAGTTCAATGGAACGAATCAAGACCTTGGCGGTGACTCCAGTGAGTCCTTCCCTTCACTTCCTCAACGCCCGCGCCGATACCCTCAACAATCACGTGTCAAAAAGCAATTCCCGCCACACCACAACAAAAAAGAACTGTACTAACAATCCGCCCTCCCAGACGTCGAAAACCTAAACCAATGGTTCGCAGCCGGAGATCAAGCCTACATAATCGTAGCCTCAGCCATGGTACTAGTCATGGTCCCGGGTCTAGGATTTCTCTACTCAGGCCTCGCACGAAGAAAGTCAGCCCTCAGCATGATCTTCGCATGTATGGGCTCATACTCCATCATAACTTTCCAATGGTATTTCTGCGGATACTCGCTCGCCTTCAGCAACTATGCCGACAACAGATTTATTGGCGATTTAAAGAAATTCGGACTCATGAATACCCTCGCACATCCTTCGCCCGGGAGCCCGTTGATCCCTGATCTGCTTTACTCGTTCTACCAGATGCAGTTCTGCGCTGTTACGGCTGCTATTGTTATGGGAGCGGTTGCTGAGCGAGGTCGGCTCATTCCGGCTTTGGTGTTCATTTTCTTCTGGGCGACTTTCGTCTACTGCCCGATTGCATACTGGGGATGGGGAGCCAATGGTTGGGCGTACAAATGGGGTGTTCTCGACTACGCCGGTGGTGGACCTGTCGAAATCGGTTCTGGAATGTCTGCTCTCGCCTACTCGATGGTTCTCGGCCGACGGCAAGAAAAGATGATGTTGAATTTCCGCCCACATAACGTCTCTCTCATCACGCTTGGTACAGTCCTCCTCTGGTTTGGCTGGCTCGGATTCAACGGAGGTTCGTCGTTTGGTGCCAACCTTCGTGCCGTCTACGCCTGCTGGAACTCGAACCTGACTGCCATGTTCGCTGCCATCACTTGGGTTATCCTCGATTGGAGATTGGCTCGCAAGTGGTCGATGGTCGGCTGGTGTTCGGGAACCATCTCTGGTCTCGTCGCCGCCACCCCAGCTTCTGGATACATTCCTCTCTGGGCGTCAGTCGTTCTCGGTGTCGTAACTGGTGTGATATGCAATTTTTCAACCAAGATCAAGTACTGGATCAAGATCGACGACTCCATGGATGTGTTCGCTGAGCACGGTGTCGCCGGCATGATCGGTCTCTTCTTCAACGGGATTTTCGCCGCACCATACGTCATTGGTCTCGATGGTGTCAACACCGGACTCTACCCAGGTGGTTGGATCGAGCACAACTGGAAACAGCTCTACCAACAAATCGCATACATCGCAGCAGCTACTGGCTGGTCATTCGTAATCTCCGCCCTCATCGCCTACGCCATCAACTACATCCCCGGCCTGAAGCTCCGCGCATCCGACGAGGCAGAACTTCTCGGTATGGACGACGACCAGCTCGGCGAGTTCGCTTACGATTACGTCGAGGTCCGCCGTGACTACTTAGCCTGGACACCCGCAAGCGAAGCACCGAACGCGAACGCCGACATCCCCCAATTCGAGCGCCATGGCATTCAACAGCACAGCGAAATGCTTGAGGGCAAAGACCCGGCTGGAAGCGAGGGGAGCAGCGATGGGAATGGCACTGCTCATACCGGTATCGGTGGCGACCGACATGGAATCGCCTACGAACAAATGCAAAAAGAAAAGCACGAGAAAATCAGCGGTGGGCATTAAAAAGTGCTCGCTCGCTCTCGGGTTCTGTTGTTGTTATTGGAATAATTTTTTGTTCCAAAATTTGTGATATGAACTGAGCATGTTGATGAGATTTTTTGAGATACCACGAACAACAGCACACGTTACTGCTAGTCGACTAGAGAGGAAAGAGCGAGAGAACAGACGCTATCTATCCATCCATCCATCTCCCTTTGCTATATGGGTGTTCTTTTTCTCTCATCGTCATCACTCTCATCCCATCGCAGCAAGCCCAGCATCACGCCAAGTCCCCGGTAGATTTCCTCGACCAGGTGAGCTTCCTGCACCCAAGCCTTGACCTTGTAGCTTTGCCATTCTTGGCCAGAACCTTTCTTGATCGGTAACACAAACTCCGTAGATCCGGATGATCCAATGTCCGGTTTTGGTCAAGAAGAAGTTACTGTTTTGGTAGAAGGCTGGTGGTGTTGGTGAGATGATGATGTTAGGTAATAGATTGTTATCAGGGTGGTGATGGGAGTTGGACTGCGTTGTTGTTGGACGTGGTGATTTTTATTTGGAGGGCAAATGGTGAGGATGTGGGTGGAGGAGGTGGCGAGTGATGATTAGTGTTAGTGGATCAGAAGGTGTTCAGATTGTATATGTAGGATAACCTTAGAGATTACCTACCATCAAGCCAAGTCATTCAGGCGTGCTCGTGAATCGGAAGTTGTTTTCTTCGTACGACGTTTGAGTAGTGAGTAGTAAGTAGTGAGTAGTGAGTAGTGAGTAGTAAGTAGTAAGTAGTAAGTAGTAAGTAGTGAGTAGTAAGTAGTAAGTAGTGAGTAGTAAGTAGTGAGTAGTAAGTAGTAAGTAGTAAGTAGTAAGTAGTAAGTGGTAAGTAGTAAGTGGTAAGTAGTGAGTAGTAAGTGTGCGTCCGGCGACGCGTAGTGAGCTCCGGAAATTGGAGTAGTGAACTATCTCCGATAGATCAGCAACAAGTAGAGAGTGATGAGTAGTGAGCAGAGTCTGAGGCGTCGAAGAGGAAGACTCAGAGCCAATTTTGAACGTGAAGATCATGTCATCATGATGGTGTCGTATCCCGAATGCCATGTGAAACTCCAAGCTGAAATTACGAAAGAGATAAAAATGTTGGAATAGTACTAGTTCTCGCCACCTGTTTTGAGAATTGTAGTCGCAATTGTAATGTTAGGATACTGTCATTCCTACTCAAGTCGATATCTCACACGACACGCACAGAATCGCCTTGCTGACATCTGCATACATGTATAGGGCCAAACTTGTATGGTATTGGAATTTGGCGGCAGCAGTCATCAGCCTCGAAAGCCTGCAAGTGGTTGCACAAATCCATTCTCCCAATAAGCTGGTGCGCTCCAGAACGAAGAAGTATCAAGTTCTCGCCCGCTGAGTCAAAGAAGTAGGAAACTTTCCCTTCAATCGGCTGTGGTCGTTCAGGATCGCATGAATGAAATCCGTCCGAGGACCTGTTACAAACATCCCTCGCAGTACCATCAAGCATGCGAAACATTATCGACAAAAGTAGCTCGACCCTTCTCTTTGTTGGACGATGGCTGTGTGATATTGGTGGCCATGCCAGTAAGCTGGTCGTCCTCAATCGTGGTCTTCTCTTCCTTTTTTCCAAAGCATAAGTTTCTTCTTGAGGGAGCTGCTCAGCGAGCGTTTAAGGCCTGGCTTCTCTTTCACGACCTCAATTCGGATGACACGACCTTTGCTGTCCCTAGCTGCAGTTTATTAGCAGTGGTGATATTGGGATTCGTCCGAGTGCGAGTTCGTACCCTGCGGTCTGTATGTCGCGCCTTTGCCTACGTCCCATGAGATTGTCCTCAGGCGGCTGAGAGCGATCATGGTTGAAGATTCGTTGGGCGAGCGACGACGACAGTGTTCTGGTGAGTGCGATGGCTTGCCGGGTAATTCGTCTTAAGTTTGCGATCCTGAATGCGTACTTCGTTGGTAGGATAAGTGCCCTAGAAGGAGACCTTGAGTTCTTAATAATAGCGGAGCAATCGGATGCCCGCAGCACACGAAGTCAATCGAAAGTATCGACATGCCTCACGATTCGCAAGCAGCTGCTACATCCTGTCATGAGGAGCTCACTGCAGGTGATAGTGGCTGAGTTGAAGTCGCGAAAGTCATCGTTGAGGAAGAATATGCCATATAGCAGAAAATGTCGTGATGCCTTCACGTTTCTAGTGGTTGTGCTTTTGAGCGGAATTCCTCGGCCGGGTTGTGATTGGCATCAGTGGTGCCCGCTCCAGCATCGACAGCCGTTGTGAGATTCTATGCCTGGTACGTATTTACTTCAGCCTTGAATGTCCAGAAATCGATGGGACTTTTCCACGTCCAAAGAGCTGCAATCTCCATCGCACGGTGTATGCAATCTACAAGTACAGCGTCTTCGCGCATCGGAGGGCTATTACTTTTACGCTTAACAGCGAAGCCGAGTTTTCAATTGGCCCAAACCCTTGCTAGCCCAGAATGGGGGAAAATTGATAGCCTTCCGATGCGCGAAGACGCTGTAGGTATTCGATGAACTCATTATTAGCCCACATCGAAGCACTCGCTAGCCGTATTCGAAGTGATCAGCTGCAATAAACAATTTAAGCTCATGAAGCCCAACCAGGATTCGTTGACGACACAGCTCGACGCATGCCCTTGTCCTTGATCAAATCTTGGAGTGCGTCACGTTTCGCGAAGTCTGCGGATATGCCATTGCCACAGTATTGTAGAATCGTGGCCAGATGGTTATCTTTCATATCGTAGCGAACCGAGATGGCTTTTCAAATGATATTCCTGGCCGAAGTTAGGAGAGAACTTAGGACTGTCGAAGCCATTGAGTGTGACATTCCTCGGATGCCTCACGACCGATTCATCCAAAATCTGTGTTGGTCTACTAAAGATTGTGAAGGCCCGTTCGCAGTGCAGATCGTGCTGTGCGACCTCTCGAGTCGGCAATCGTACTCCCCCGAAAAGTAACACCTCAGACGACTTGTTGTTCTCGTGATCCGCGCTTCAACAGCTAGACCTAGACGTGCTGATGCGCGACTTCGTAACTTGGTACTTTGAGACTCTCAGACACAGTGTTTTGTTTCAAAGTGTTGTGGTCGCGTCCGGACGCGTTTTCTTCGATACACTTGCATTCAAGCAAGGTATGCTTGGTTCGTAGGAGCAAGTCTAGAAGCTTTATTATATGAATGAGCAGGCACAACCATGATGCAGCCGATTTTCTGTCACTAAAAGATGAACGGAGTGTACACAGTCTTTGCCGGCCGCCTGTGGTACTGAACATGAAGCTTCAACTCACTCCGTACGCACGATCAGTGTCCATGACTTCCTTTCCGAGTGGATGGAGAAGAGCCTCGGTGGTTCCCCGTTGAGATCTGAATCATTTCCATTATAATAGATGTCGCACCACTTCTGGCGAGGCAAGGCTTTGTTCCAGCTAGAAGGTAATTTGCAGTTCAATCATGCAAGCGCATAACATCATCAAAGTATCGATTACCAGCTGCGTGCGCCTCGAAAAGACGTTGTCGGCACGGGAAGGATGTCTTCGGTCGGTTTACTCGCATGTGCTCCTCGCTGCTAGCCACGTTCTTGGTCGGCTCGCTGTTCACAACGCCCAGCCACGCAGACATGACTTCATTGCATAGCGCGATACTCTATCGCAGTGTTATCGCTGCGCCGGTCATGCCTTGCAGTCTTGTAGGGGTCACACCGCAGCCGTACATGCACTTTGGCCAGGCTCTCCAGCTCGTGCTACGCATGCAATCCCAATAGCAGATGGTCAGGGGGGTTGCAGCGTTTCAGAGCTGTCCACAGCGGGCGAAGCGTTCACTCACTCGATTTCTCGGGCGGGCGCGAAACGTTGGTCGATTCAGAGCGGCGAGTGACTCGTCGTGAAGAAATCTTGGATGCCGGATATGCGCGCCAACGGGCCACGATGGCTCATCCGAGATGCTGCATAAGACCTGATAGAAGAGCTCCGTATAGGCTCGTGCAATGCACAGGCGGGCGAATCGCGGGCGGTCGAGGTCGAAATTGCGTGCATGTCGAAATGGGCCATCCGCCATCGGCAATCATGGAGCATGTCTAGCGAGTCGCCTGCGCTGCGTTACGTGGAGGTGCGCGCGCCCGTTTCACCTCCCTGCCCGGTCCACCATTATTACCCAGAGTAGAGCTGTCGGTTTGGTATAAACAATCCCCTCCACCGTCGAGCCCCAATGCCCGTCCGCGCCTGCCCTCCATTTCGCCCATTCTGCACACGCGAACGAGTCTCCGGGCAGTCGAGGATCGTGCGCATTGACGTCGATGTGCAACGCAGCAGCGCCAGGACAATAGTTCTACCATGCGCGACGACAGCCATGTCCGCCGCGACGTCAAGTCTCAGCCATCGCTGAGCTCGCTGCAGTCATATCGCTATGAACAATTTGAGGAGGGCCTGCCTCCCCGCACGAGATCTGTCAATGGGAATGGCAGTGGCAATGGCAGCAGAAGTCGCAACAACTCTCCCACCAACAATTCTCCTGCCGCAGACAAATCCCCCTTGCCATTTTCGCACGCCTATACGAGCTCCAGGTCGTTTAGGCCGCCAACATCGCCCTCGCCTCAGCCTCCCAAGAGTCCCGTCGAACGCTTCTCCGTGCTGTCCGAGTCGGACGAGGTCAAACGCGACTCCGGCATTGCACCCTCTGTATCGACTGCAGCCTCCACCGAGCACCCCTCCACGGACACGCGTGCTGTGCGAGAGCCGACCGTGCCCACCATTGTGGTTCAGAATGACGAGACTGCTGCTACTGGGCGCAGCAGGTCTTCGTCAGGCAGGTGGCAGAACAAGAGGGAGAACCCGCAGCGACGTGCAAAGTGGAACATTCGGAGCGCGTCGGCATCACCATCGCGTCCGGCCAAGATGAACAGCTTCGAAGCTCGGCCGACTCAGTTGCCCGCGACCAGCGCGAGTGTGGACGACCTCAGTCTGGAGGATCTGGCCTCTGACAAGGTCGGATTCTCCACCAGAGGCAGCATCTTGTTCGGCGGCCGGAAAATGCAAGATCTGATCCATACCCAAGGCGACGACAAGGCAAGGAATGCGAGTAGTGGCGTGACCACACCCGTCTTCAGCGCTCAAGCCGACAATCCTTACGTCCTCAGCGAGCCGACTGTCAAACCTGTTGCCCCAGAGTCAGACACACCCGCCGATGGACATCAGCAACGGGACCCCACTGCATCTCAGGAACAACCCAGATCTGGACTTCTGGCCGGCCGTCGGAAACCCAGCGTACAGATGCTGCAAGCTGCTATCCAGGGCAGACGGGTTTTGTCTGCTGAAGAGATTACATTCTCCATGAAAGTCCGAAACATGTACGAGCATGGTGACGAACGAGCTGCCCAATGGATCTATCCTGCCAGCATCGCGATCTCCGGAAAGACTACCCCAGAACTTACCAGAGACACCTCTTCTCCCGATATGGTGAACGGTAGCCTGAGTGTCGACAAGACGCGAGAGCCGAATACCGACAACTGGCCGTTGACCGAGCAGAGGTCAAGCTACCTGTCGACATATTCACGTGATGCGCGTGAGTTAGCTGGAGGCATTGAGGACTGGGAAGACGTTGACAGCTCTGCCGTCGACCGGTATGGCTTCATTCACCAGGATCGCACAACGGGTCGAGCCTCGGTCATGTCCGATCGCCACCAGATAGGCACTGGGATGCAGAGAGTGGCAACATCACTCCGAGTAGAAGCTGAACAGCCACGTCGAGAACGAAAACTAGTGCGAGGACCCTCCAACCCGCGCTCTTCAAGATCAGTACCACCGCGGCCCAGCAATGACTGGGCCGGCAAGAAAGGACCGCCATCGGTACATAGTACTCACTCGACGAGTTCGACTCGAAACCTCTTCCGCTCGAGGACTAAACGGGTACTCGCTGAGGCTTCCGATATGCTCACACTGCCACCAGGTCTCGAAGACATTGATGAGAATGAGGATGCTGGCAAGACCGCTTCAGTGCTCAAGCAGCGCGAATGGGCACGAGAAGAGAAGTGGCGAAAAATGGCTAGACCTGCAAAACGTTCGCGAGAAGCGAAGGGAGGCGGCATGCATTTCGAATTCGATACGACAGATCCGAAACTGATTGAACGAACATGGAAAGGCATTCCTGACCGATGGCGAGCCACAGCTTGGCATAGCTTCCTGGCAGCCTCTGCGCGAAGACGAACCAGCCTTGCAACAGATGAAGAGCTGATAGGACAGTTCCACAAACTGCAGGCAGTGAGTTCCGCGGACGACGTTCAGATCGATGTTGATGTACCGCGGACTATTCAGCTCCATGTCATGTTCAGGAGGAGATATCGAGGAGGCCAACGACTACTTTTCCGCGTTCTTCATGCCATGGCGCTCTACTTTCCAGAAGTCGGCTACGTCCAGGGTATGGCGAGCATAGCTGTCACATTGCTTTGCTACTTTGATGAGGAGAACGCGTTCGTGATGATGGTACGCATGTGGCAATTGCGAGGACTCGAAAGCTTCTTTAGGGAAAACTTCAGTGGTCTCATGGCCGCATTAGAGGACTTCGACAAGCAATGGCTACTGGGTGGACCGGTCCACGACAAACTTGCCGAGCTTGGAATCACATCTATGACTTATGGAACACGATGGTATCTAACCCTATTCAACATGAGCGTACCATTCCCGGCGCAATTACGAATTTGGGATGTCTTCATGCTCCTCGGCGACGATCTCTCTGCACCTAAAACCAACCCACCACCACCGAGTAACACACCTATGAAAGGACCTTCGACGACCCAGACGCCTGCTGCCACAGATGCCCACCCTTTCGGCGGCGCGAGTCTGGATGTCTTGCACGCCACAAGTGCTGCGTTGATCGACGCCACCCGGGCTATCATCTTGGACAGCGATTTTGAAAACGCGATGAAAGTGCTCACATCCTTCATCCCGATCAAGGATGAGGATATGTTGATGCGTGTCGCCCGGACGGAATGGAAATTACGTCAAAAGAAGAAGGTATAGCATGCCTTGGGACGGAGCGGCGGCGGGCGACCATTGAAACAGGTTCATGGCACGACTTTTGAAATTCTTGTCAGGAGTCGGAGTGAGAGTTTTTTTTCATAGGCGTTTTGGATAAGGCACAGACCAGGCACGCTTCATCAGGGGAAGAAGGGGGGGTTTTTTTTTGCCTCGTCATTTCGTTTGAGATACCCTGAGTCAAAACATTATATGGATTTATACTATAGTAATATGGTAATGTATAGAATCACCGAGTACTTATCATCTTGAAGGACGAGGATTTTCTATTATTGCATTTGTGGGATATGTGAATGTCTATTTTCTTCAAGCGTGAAGTTCATTCCCGATGTGAACACGTCTTCTACGGCGTGGTGAGGATGCTGGGCAAACATGGCGACTGCTTAATATCCATAGAACTGATCAGGTCTTCCTTTCGAAGCAGGAGTGTCGAGCCCTTTCTGTTCGCTTGCAGCTGAGACAAATTATTCGGTGTAAATATCATGTACGCAATCCAATGTGGCTCTCGCTTCATGCAAACACGGCTTTGGAACGCGATTGTTCTGCGTGTGCGAAGGATACTTCATCATGGTAAATGTTGGGCGGCGGGGAGCAGATGCTGATGTAGTTCGACGCTCGGACTGGTTCGAGGTATGCATGTCTCAGATGAGGTGCATGTCAGCGGACCCTGGGAGGAGGGTACAGTAGAAGTCTGCCGTGTACAGCTACAGCCTTTCGGGAGCAAAGTCTCTGCGATGCGAGCTATCCCTGGCATGTGGATACTGTTCCTGCTTTTTCCAGTTGTACGATGTGTGGAGGTGACATGATTCTGCGCCGGTGTCGGTGATGTTTGAGATACAGGTCGTTGCTGCGAGCGTGATGAGAAAACCGGCTTTACTCGATGGTGCGATGAGTTTTGAGTGTGCATGTCTGTCGATCTCTCAGCGCTGATCCGGCTGCACCAAGTCAGTTTCTTCCAAGCACGCAACGCTTTTGACCTTCTGTTGCCTAATTCTGGCATGCTGTTGCTGCTGCTGCTGCTCGTGGAGTCGTGTTGCTGTCGTTGCGTGTCCTGCCATCTCGCTCAAGGCGTGCGCGTGATCGGCGCCGCTCATTCCCAGTCTGGCTGATTGTGACTGCTCAGTTGTTTGGAGCGATGTATAAGACATCCTGGGCCTACACAGCATGTTCCCAGCCTTAAAGTATTCATCTCGGTTGTGCGCGTTCGGCATCAGATTCAGCTTGAACGGGTGGCCAGATGCGTTGCTTGCACTAACCTGGTCAGTGGATATGGATCAGGCTCTCGTGTTGGTATTGCCAAGTTATCAAGCAGTCGCGGACTTGCTACTCGGAGATGATCGTCACTTCCGGCTCTTTCCGGCGTGCCCTGATTCTGGTTGCACGACTTCCGTGCGCATTCCCTGCCGTGTTCACAGAATGGCAGCGCGATGGCAAGAATTGCAGCGCGCGATCAAAGCTGAGCAGCGGCTTGAAGGGTCCCGTGTGCTACTTTGTCTCTCGCAGGGAGACATGGAAGATTCCAACACCGACGTGTACGTGCCTTCCCGTGGCCGCGGAGTATCGGTATGAGGCTTAACATTAGCACGTCTCGAGATTGCCTTCCTGCTGCTCGTCAAAACTTGTTCTGAGTGCGGATCAGCGTGATATGCAGTCCTGATCGGGACTTTCTTCAAATGCCACGAGCCGAACACGCGACGAATCCTGGGACACGGTGAAGCTTAAAAACGACGGAGGAATGGCGCGGTGCAGAACAGGTTCAGGCGGCGACTGATGCTGCAGCATTTGCCATCACGCAGCACATGTAGATAGTAGTAGAATATGCGACGATCTGGTTCAGGCCAATGACAAGGTCCAGCTGGCTTTTCGGAGATGTTTCTCAAAGCGGAGTGACACGTAGCTACAACCTTTCTTGACCTGCTCTCCAACTCAGCGCCTTCTGACAAGCAAGACAGCCGGCGGTGCCGCCCCCATTTCGAGCACACTCCAGCCACACCAACAAACACCGCGCGTCACGTATGACCATGTTTGAGCCATACGTACGTTTGAGACTGCGGGAGTCGCGGGAGGCGGTGAACGGTCCACGGTCCACGGTCCACGGTCCACGGTCCATGGTGCTCCAACGGCGCAACGGCACAACGGCGCAACGGCGCAACGCGTACTGGACTCTCGTTTCACATTGACCCATTCATTGGGCAGAGGTGCGCAGAAGACTCCGCTGTGCCGCACGTCTTCTCATCGCGGCCGAAGAGCAACGAGAGCAGGGCAATAATTGCAACGATAGACATATCTTCACCCAATAATGCCAGCAGAACACCAGCAGCCTCGTGGTAAGGTAAGCATGCTTGAGCGTCCGCGCCACGCCTCTCACGCCTCTCACGCCTCGCCTCGCCTCGCCTCGCCTCACCTAAGAAGCATCCATCCCCACTTCGCTCACCTCCGAGCACGCGGCCTTCTACCCTACTATTAACCGCCTGATTACTAGTAGGCCGGTTCACGAGCTCGATGCACGGCAAACTCTGGCCAGCCGGCCGTATCGATTAACAATTTGCGTGAGTGAGATGGCCAGGAAGGGACGCGGCCAGCTCGCTCTTGTTGCATGTCAAGTCTGAGCTGGCAGGCTTCCCTCTCTGGTCAAGCTCTGCCGGGTCCACTTTCTTTTCGCTTGTTTCATCGCATCTCACGAGACCACAAGCGACATTTGCGGCGAAGCTTGTCCGCATCGCGCTGCACTGCTTGTGTGCGTCGAACCCGTTTCTGGCCTGGTACTGGCACTGCTACTGGCTGTGCGTGTGCTGCGTGGTGCCGCAAATTGCAATCCTCTCCGCTTCACATTCCACACTTTCCTGGACGAGCATCTCACAGCGGCCTTTGTCCGCTCTGGGAGGCGAGGTAGCAATTACAGGATCGACGGCATGCATTCGACCCGCTCTGTGCTGATGAGAGTGACGGCCTACCGAACACCCAACGCCCTGGCCCTTCTGGAATCTGCAGGGCCACATTATTGTAATCGCAGTGCAGTGCAGTGTCCGTGGATGGCTTGTCCTGTCCTGCTCCTCAGCCACTTTCACCTCGTCAGATTCGGTCCGCTGAAGCTTCGTCATTCCGCACACTTAGCTTGCACGTATCAGAAGCGTATTCGCGCTCATTTGTCCACTCTGCTTATGCCTTTCAATTGACCGCATCCCACAGCCGCTGGAGCAATCGGCGCAACCACTTCTCACATGCCACCAAACGGGGACGGGATCTACCTGGCATTACTCTTCTCAGCTCTCCAACATTTCGGGCTTCCTCGCCGCTGTGCGCCGTCTCGCTCTTGAAGCTGTCGTATGCGCGTCCTGGAGACTGATTCGATCGCCTTTGCCCGCCTTACATTCACTCGAATCTCCGCAGCAGCTTGCTGCAGTCTAGCTTGCGCGCTCTTGACACTGCCTGCCCTGACCTTGGAACGAATCATCGTTGACAGCCCGTTGATCGACACTTCAAGCAGCGTCTCACGCGAGCTTAGCAGAACATCGATACCGTTCCACCAATTTGGCTGACTTTGAGGAACGTCACACGTGCTTTTCAAGTATGTAACTATCGCATGCTCCCTCTGCATACTGCTATCCTTCTTACCCTGACCGACCCCTCTTGCGAAGCACGAGAGAATTTGCTGCATACCACTTTCGATCACATGCCCAATTCCAGCCTAGCGAATGTCCATGTTGCTTACTATATCTCAGCCGACCAAAAGTGAGTCCGGCAACAGATACACCCATGAGTTCAACCCAAGAATATCGCTTCACAAGTCGCGCTTTTCTCCCAAACTACGGGTTGCCAGTAACCCCTCACCGGTGAGCTCGCTGCCGGTCAGCGCGACACCGGACGAAGCCAAGATGACAACTCCTCATCCTCATCGCGGGCTGCCTCCTCCTTCTGCAATGACTCTTCCGGATCCGAGCAGGACTGGACCTCCACCTCCCTTGAGCCAACAGCTGGGAGCAATTCCAGAGCCTCCGAGGCAATGGCAGGGCCAGGAAGATCACATGCGCAACTGGCTTGCTGCGAAGGCCGAGGAGGACAAGAGGAAGCAGGAAGAGGAAAAGACGCGGCAAGAGAGTCTGCGACTTGAGCAGCGCAAGATCGAGCAGGCGATGCTGCGTGAATCATTACAAGGCGGCGTGCCGCCTTCCATGATCCCCATCATATATGCGGGCATTGGGGGAGGTCAACACCTGGTGAATGTTAGCATGGATTGGTTGCAACAGTACGCCAGTCAACTACAAGCTGCGCAGCAGCAGCAATTGCAGCAGGCGTCGCCCGACATGCGACGAGATGGGAGACTCATAGGAGCTCCTCCGCCACCACCACCACCACCACCACCTTATGGAGTGGCTCAGCCGAGTCAACAGCAGATGCTGCCGAGTCAACCAACTGCTGAGCCCCAACCCCCAGGACCCATCCACACGACGTTTTCGGCATACCAACCATCACCGGTGAGAGGCCAAAATACTTCTGCTCCACGTTCCGCAACGCATACGCAGCTGCCAAGGCTGACCACCAATGAGATGTATGTTCACCAACCGCCGCAGCCCGGGCCAGGGAGCGCGCATCCACTGCAGCAAAGCCAAACAATCCAACAGGAACAGCTGTCATCATCACCTTCGATATACTTTCATCATTGGGTTCCGCCAAGTGAATCCAAGAGCTCGAATATGCCACAAACTCCGGCCAGCCGAGGGGAGCCATCATCGGCACATCCGAGTTCGAATATCCAGGAGGGTGACTACAAAGACTCGCCTCGCAAGCGAAAAGCGCAAGGGGGGCATCAGGCTAATCCGCCTCCTTCTGGCGGTCCGCAATATATTTCGCCTTCGTTCTCCACAACCAGCTCCACGTCACGGAAAGGTCCGGGTCACGCTAGAACCAGAAGTAACGCGTCAGCCACGCGAGAGTCGGATTCGAGACCGGATACTGGAAGCAGTGTCGGAGCCCGGCGAGACGGCCTACCACCGCCATCGTCGCAGAAGCCTGACCACAACGGAAACGGCGATGGCCATGGCGAAGATCCACAGAGGCCTGCGTCTCGCGCTCAAGAGCTCGCTGAAGAGACGATAAGGCCTACATCTTCAGCCTCTACGCGCCAGGAATCGCATCCAGACCAACCGCGACCGGGATCTCGCTGACAGTTATGACGTTGAATGAACGAATTGTTTCTTTTTACGGCCCTTGTAAAAAAGCAGGCCTCCCTCCCCCCTCCAAGCGTTTTTATAGAATCCGGCAGCATCCACGTGCGCGCGCAGCATTATCCATTATTTTCTAATAAAGGAAAGGAAAGGAAAGGAAAGGAGATGGACTAGATTTGGGTTCTCTGAGTTCCTCTGCACATATGTCTTTTTTGGGGGGTGGGTGTGTCAGTCAAGGTTTTATCGGATTGGACGGACGGACGGCATCATCAAGCGAGATACCCCATATCATCTGTCCTCGGATTCTGGATGCAAATTTTTTTGTTGTCGTCGTTGTTGTTGTTGTTGCTGCTGCGTTCCAAGCGTTTCTGTTTCTGTTTCCGTTTCTGTTCCATTATGGCTGCGAGCTGCGAGCTGCGATTTTGTTTTTGAGTTGTGAGAAGCTGACCCTGACCTTGCGGGGGGTACGCGGAAAGCATTTTCGTGTGATGAGATGGACTGTGTTGGACATCTTCCTGTTGGCAACATGTAGCCGGTTGTACACACCAGATGCCACTGTGAGCACAAACTGAGATGTGGATTTTACGATTCCTTATCCTCGTGTGAGTTCCGGATGTGAGATGGAAGTGTCTGTGTTGAGGAAATAACAATTGAACGACGAGGGATAAAAACGTACAGTACCGAGGTCTGTGTCTGCTCCTGACCGTTTGGTTGTCTGTGCTCAACGCCAAGGACGGGAGGCCTTTGTCCCGCTAGGCTAGGGTATCGAAGTCACGATCTAGTCCTATCCCTCACAGACGCGTGCATCATCACGTTTCGTGAAGCAGACATGGCGGACCAGATTCTACAGCCAAACGGTCCTGTGCATGCCAAGCTTCGGACTTCACTCCGCTCCTGCCTCACACGCTCTCGTCCTGACTCCGACCACAGTTGCATCTCAAAGCCGCAGCAAATTCTCCAATTCAATGGGGACTGCTGTAAGTTTTGATGGTCTTCAATCAGCCTCACGTATGACATGCTGACTGTCGTTCATCAGCCTACCATTCACCGAATGCATCCCCAGAGCATGCCTCAGCCTTGCCCGTCGGAGTTGAACGCCGCGAACCACGCCCGTCCTTCCGCCGAGCCGACATGCTGCCAGATCTTCCTTGCCCTGGCCTATCTGCAACAAGGATACCTGATCACACTTCTTGATCTTCGAAAAGATGGCTATCGTGGAGCATATTTGAGGGCAATCGGGAATATTGGCTCAGCTGAAGGGAGAAGACTTTCCAAAGACACCTTCACCGACGAACTCCGTAGCAATAGAAGATGGAACGCCGAGTCTGGACACCGCCAGCATACATCGTCAATGTCTTGCAAAAGTCACGCCAGCACCGTGATGCCTGATTCTTCCCTGATACCCTGCATTAGACTTGGCATTGGCTTTTCGTCCCTCGCACCATTCTCTCTTATCCATCGTCGAATTCATATCTCGACATCCACCACACCATGGCTCTCAAGCAAATCCTAGTCCTCGGCTCGGGCATGGTCGCTCGGCCTTGCGTTGAGTACCTCTCTCGCAATGGAAAGAACGAGATCACAGTCGGTATGGGGTGACTACGCACTTGCTCTCGCCTTTACTGACGATCTGCAGCTTGCCGCACACTACAGACTGCAGAAAAGCTGACCCAGGGCCTCAAACACACCAAGCCGGCACGCCTGGATGTCGAGTCAGATGAAGAGCTCGACAAAGCAATTGCTACGTCGGACCTCGTTATATCGCTCATTCCTTATGTGTATCATCCAAAGGTCATCAAGTCGGCGGTCCGCAGCAAGAAGAATGTAGTGACGACTAGCTACGTCTCACCAGCTATCAGAGCACTAGAGGATTCCATCAAAGAAGCTGGTATTGTGGTGTTGAACGAGGTCGGCGTGGATCCAGGTGTCGACCATGTATACGCTGTTAAAACAATCAGCGAGGTGCATGCGCAGAACGGCAAGGTATTTCTGCACTTAGATCGTGCCTTTCAAGGCTTCATCTGACCTGCAACTTAGATCAAAGAGTTCTACTCATACTGCGGCGGCGTCCCGGAGCCTGCAATTGCTGACAATCCACTGAGAATGAAGTTCTCTTGGTCACCACGAGGTGTTTTCATGTCCCAGTGCAACTCGGCTTCTTTTTACAAGGATGGCAAGCAGGTGGATATTCCAGCAGAAGACCTAATGGCTGTTGCTGCTCCATACCATGTTGTTGATGGATATGACTTCTTGGCTTATCCGAATCGCGACACGAAGCCGTTCAGGGAGCTGTACAACATACCCGAAGCTCACACTGTCATCAGAGGCTCTCTAAGATACGACGGAAATCCTCAGCTGACGAGAGCTCTTCTTAAGCTTGGATGGCTAGATACGCAGCCAAAGTCATGGCTGACTGCAGGTATCTCATGGGCGGACGCAACTGCGAAAGCTGTGAATGCGGCTGACTCGAGCGAAGCGTAAGTCATACCGTTGTACATGCTACAGATGGCAAGCGCTAACCATGACTACCCAGATCTTTGATTGCTCGCATCAAACAGATTCTGAGCTATGCTGATGAGAAAGAGCAAGACTATGTAATTGCTGGACTCCGCTGGATGGACTTGTTCTCAGACACCAAACCATCAGTGAAGGGCAGCCTACTTGATACCCTCGCCGAGCACCTGCAAAATAGAATGAGCTTCAAACCTGGAGAGAGAGACCTTGTTATGCTGCAGCACAAGTTTGTGATTGAGTGGTCGGATGGCAGTATGGTACGTGTGTCAATGTTGTCTGTGGCCTTCCTCAAGTTTGACTAACCTTGAGGGTAGGAAACACGCACATCTACCCTAGAGCTGTTCGGCGATCCAAAGGGCTACTCTGGCATGTCACTCTCTGTCGGCGTCACATGCGGCATTGCCACCCAACTTCTACTCGATGGCCACCCGGCCTTCAACACACCTGGCATCCTAGCACCATATTCTGATGAGATCTGTGAGCCTATCCGCGAAAGGATCGAGCAAGAGGGTATCAAGATGATCGAAAAGACTCTCTGAACGCGGTAATGATTACACCTAGTCAGACTTCGTTCTTGAAAAGTTAGAGTCAGCGGCTATCGAGCCGTATAGACAATTTTGCCCCACTGTATGATCTATGCAGTCACCTGAGTCCTGCCATGCTCATCTATGTGTCCCAGAAAATTTATCTTTCCTGTCAGGAGCGCATTCGAAGCCTGCACTCTATTGTCCGCCCTGAACAGCTGATACTTTGCACGATGCCAGCTTTCTCCGGTCCACTCTCGTCCTTCGCCGTCGTGAAACTTTGCACCCAACTCCGGACGATGGAAGAAGGCAAGAGAAAAGCGTGTCGACGCAGTGATCGGTACGACACGATGCAAGCAGCTTTTGAATCGCCGTTTACTCATGAAGCTCAGCGCGTCACCAACGTTAACAATAATACAACCTGATTGAGGTAGAGCGGGTGCCCAACAAGCTGTCGATTCGCGCCAGATGTCCAGTCCTGGTGTTTTGGTGAAAAGCAGAGTGAGCGAGCCCACGTCCGTGTGTGCCATATGACCTGCATTACCCCCCTCGAGGGCCGATGATGGCGGGTACTTCAACAAGGCCAGGGACGTGGTTGACATTTCGTCCAATCGATGGTTTTGCTGAAAAGGCACGTCTTGAGCTCCCAGTACGCTCGACAAGCGTTCCAGTATTAGCTGACACACTCTGTGACATTCGATTTCAAACCAGCATAGCAAATCAAGCTTGTTTTCGATCGCAGCAGGCCAGGCCAAAAGATTCTCCTGCAGCCCGACTAGAGCGTTCAACGGCACGAGAAAGTTCTCAAAAGCATCTCGCTTGCCTTGTTTGACTCCACTGTGTTTCCCGAGCGTCTTGTATCTGTTCAATCTCTTTATCAGCAGGGCCAAAAGAAAATCATCTCAGGACGACGCACCCGCCCATGTGCAAATTTGTGAAATGATCCATCTCATAAAGCAGCTTTTCGTGGACCGGAAGATTGAAAAATGAGTCTGCTGCTACGGAAATCTGGTCGGCTGCATCGAAAAGAATTTTTGCGCTTGAGATGTCGAGGTAAAAGCAACCGTCGTTTGAAGCGGCTTCGACCAGTCTCTCTACGGCTTTCTGTTCATTTGAGATGAGTGCTTCGAGTGGTATCGTTGCAAGCATGGTGTCTATCGTTACCTCAACCTATATTGAATGAAATGGAAGAGGAGTCTGGCAACGAAGCAGAGAGATAGATACGATGGCAAGACTTGGCCGAGCACAAAGGGCCTCAACGAGACGTATTGCTCCGCAAATATGCCTTGTCTATTCCCTTCATCTTCGCTATGCAGTGTCAAATTTGATCTCGGCCTCTGAATGGATGGGATGGGATCATACGCAGGCGAACGCGAAGCGCAATCGCGATCACATACATCCTCGTCGTGAAGCTGCTGTGTAGGGTATTCAACCAATGTCTTGCCGACTGACGGCAAATTCTAGGTGTAAGAAGACCTTTGATGCCTCCACAGCTTTGGCTTCTAGACCACGTACAGCTTTTGCTATTCGCTGCAATCCAAGGATTTGAGAGATACCCACTTTCACTCCGAAGTGTTCAAACGACGCTGTAAATCTTCGGAACAACCACGTGCCATACAACACCCTGGAACCATACCATGGCCTTGTTGAACTTTGCTGATGCCATGGTCCGGATCGAGCCCTTTCGGACCTTCCGCGTGGGCTCAACCTTAGCACGACATCGTTCGCTGTTCATCTAGCTTCTCGGGATGACAGTGAATATCCCGCATACCCTTGAAATCCAGGATCACTGCGAATAGCAGACTGTTATCCGGCGGTCCGCCACTCGTGGATAGCACTTCGATGTGCAGAGACTCTTTGGAGAGGGTGGCAGGATGATGCAGTTGATGCTACATGGTCATTGTCTATATGCCGCTCTATCTGGTGATCGCACACCGCTCGACCTTAAAAGCGTCGCTTATACACGAGTAACATCGAGATATCGGCGACGAGGGAAGCGATGCGGAACATCAGGCTACCACACGTGCATGGAGGGGTATATCTAAACGGTGATTTGGACGATCGAACAGCAACAGCCTGTGCTTGATCAACTCATTCCACCGCAAAAAAACTGTCGCTTTGGAATCCCGATCATGCTTTGCAGCCTCCTGTCACTACCGGTCCGTGGTTGTGTGCGAGCGGCGAAGTCAATCTTTGCTAATGAAGTTCCTAGGTCGATGTCGTTCGACGACTAGACCAGTATTCTCTCGATTCCTCCACCGGCATCTCGGCCGCCCTTCAATCACATGCTCAATGGACCGTCGAGAATTTCCCGGATGCTGATAGAGCGTCTTCAATCCTGCAGGTACGGATTCTTAGGTGTCGCATCACGTCGAAATCACACCTCTCATATCGGCCAGGCACAATGGATGTTACAAAAATCCCGCGACATGGGAGCAAGACGAGGTAGGTAGGCTCACCATGTCTGATCTGGGCGCTCAGCTGATCATGTCCACACGGCAGTGCTGGATATAGGTTGTTATACGGGACTCAGTGCGATGGCTTGGTACGAGGGAACTGCTGCGAGCCGAGGCCAGGTATCGATACCACGATCTCTCGCCCTGAACACGCTAATGCGATGCTCACAGATAATTACAATCGAAATGGACGAAGCTCTCGCTGCCAAGGCACAAGCTAGATTTCAGTCTACTGGGCACATGGATCGGATCCGGGTGATACACGCCTCGGCTGAAGATGCGTAGGTCCATGCAGCACTCACTCCTATGCCTTGCACGAATCTGAGTGGATTCCTCCAGATTGCAACAATTGATCGAACCTTTCGATATCATCTTCGTCGATCTAGAATTCTCCGCGTACAAACCCATCGTCTCCAAAATTCTGGACCGCGGTCTCCTGGCACAAGGAGGTGTCATACTGGTCGACAACGGTACGATCGCAGCAGCAGAGGTTTTCTTTTTTTTCAAGATGGCATTGACGAAATATTTCTAGTGTTTGCGAGAAGTTTCGCCGTCAGTTCCCACAACACCACGAATCTTCCAGAGCCGCTGGATTTGCATCACTGGGAACAGGCTGGGGAGCTGGTTAGGGAGTTCAATGCTTTCGTTGCGTCTGATCCTAGGGTTGAGGTTAATGTGCTCCCGATTTTCGATGGGGTGTCGGAGATTCGATTGAAGTCGGATTCGAGACAACGATTGTGATTAACGAGAACGATGGCATATCAGCAATCAATACTGCACTACATGTGATACATGGCATTCTTGAAGGGCTTGTAAGGCTTGTCATTTCACCATTCCCTTATCCGCTTGCGGAGCTATGGGTTCCAGCCTGTCCTGATTGATACATCTCCTGATAGTCTGGGCCTATTTGATGCTAGCAGAGCTGGTCGGGTATCTTTGAGGCTAAATTGGTTGCTCGTCTGAATGGCCAGGGAGGTAAGGTACAATGTAACATGAGTTTATGTTGCAAGGTAAGGTAGAGCGGCTACACTTCTTTCAATCTTCGGCTACGCATCGCGAAGGAGAGCATCACTTGCTTGGCAGGAAAAGACGGTCATCGTCAGACAATGCAATGGGGAACTATGATCGTCAGCGCCATTTTCGATTTCCATTGGCCTGACTATGAGCTTTCGATCCTCGGAAACTTTGCCGCTTCTAAAGCTGTGGTGCAGAGATCAATATCCTGCAGCGAGAAACTGATCAAAGCAGCGACGGAGATCATATTTGCTCGTATCGAAGTCTTGCTACCTCTAAATCTTACACCGTTCGCAATGGAGAAATCGACGACAATTCTCATAGTCGGCACTGGAACATTTGGTAAGTGGAACGTTATATATTGATAGTTCATGGTTGATTGGGATATGAAGGTCTGTCGACAGCATGGCACTTAGCTCGGGCCGGGTACACAAACATACGCTGTCTGGATCGATGGCCGGTGCCCTCGCCGTCCTCTGCTGGCTACGATCTAAACAAAGTAAAGCTCACCACTTCGCAATATTGTGTTGCAATACTCAGTTGACCTGGCGCGCAGATTGTTCGTACAGAGTACGTTGATCCAATATACACTCGGCTCGCCCACGAGGCCTTCCATCTGTGGCAGGAGCCCCTTTTCAAAGATGTGTTCCATCACACAGGATGGTGAGTGTACGACAATAAGCATCCCTAGAGTTCAAAAAATTCACATGCTTCCTCCTAGGATATGGGGCACCGACGGCACCACTGAGCTCGGTCGAGTTCAGGCATACGATCGTTCTTGTCAAAACACAAAGCTCCATGGAGATTCATCCAAGGTCATTGAACTTCCAGATTGGTCTACTGCAGTTGAGAAATTCCCATTCCTAGGTTACGATCGCCGACATCACGAACGCAAACAAGATTTTCGAGCCATCTTCAACAAAAATGCCGGCTGGGTGGATTCTGTCGAGGCTATGAGAGTACTGTATCGCGAGTGCTGCAAACTCGGTGTCAATTTCGTTCATGGGAAGCCAGGCACTGTCGTGAGCTTGAAGAGAAGAGAGCCGTCCACCGCAGTCTGTGGAGTCGAGGCCGAGGATGGAACGATCTGGTACGCCGACAAAATCGTCCTCACTGTTGGGGCGTATAGCGATACGCTTTTAGATTTCAAGTCGCAATTACAGGCTGTAGGTTACAGACTCGACGTTTCTTGTGTCTTAACGTGGGATGGCTGACTTGTTAGTTATAGACTGCATATGTGGTCACACATGTTCGACTGACACCAGAGCAATACGAGCGATACAAGGACATGCCTGTGATCGACATGTAAGTCTACTCATGCGTTGATTATACTCTACTGTACCTATTGACTCCTTGGTAGCTCCAGAAGAGGCTATTGGTCAGTCAACCAGATCTCACAACAGATATAGTTCATTGACAATACCAGCTTTCCACCAAAGAAGGATCGAATCATGAAGATTTGCAAGTGAGTTACGTCGGATGGGCGCGCTCGATTTTATGTAGCTGACCCTTGCCTAAGCACTGACTTCTCGTACATTAATATCAAGGATACAAAACGCCCTTGGGGTCATCACTCCATTCCTCGAGACGGAGCCTACCATCCGACTGACACGCAGCCATGGGAAGCGCAGCAAAAGACCATTGAGTTTACTCGCTGGATTTTATCTGAGCTCACAGAAGCAGAGATCGAGTCTTCCAGGTAACTAGCTTGCACAATCTTTTCCGAGCACTGTGCTGACCGTGCTAAGATTATGCTGGGATATGGAAAGTGAGTATCGCTTCGTGATGATTCTATGACTCCGAGAGCTGAATCAAGACAGCTTTCGACTACAACTGGTTGATCGGCTATCATCCAGACTCACCCGAGTCATTGATGATCGCAACAGGAGGATCTGGACATTCATTTAAGAACATGCCCAATGTCGGAAAGTACATTGTCCAGGCAATGGAGGGGAAATTGGATCAAGAGCTGTCGGAGCTGTGGAAATGGCGACCAGATCGCATTGGGAAATTTCCAGAGCTCGAAGAACGAGCAAGGAGACCGAAGCTGCATCTCAAGGACGCAAAGGGCTGGAAACATGATTCGAGGTTGTAGGCTTCCCATGCGATCTAGCAGTCTATAGTCTAGCAGCCTCCATATCTCCCACGCTTTCTGCTTCCAAGCTTAGCACGACCTGGCCAGTGTTAGCGTAAGCTGTAAAGTCCTAAGCTGAGCTACACTTACATCGCTGAGATCAGAAAGAAATGAAGTGCAGCGCTCTTCAGTGAGGTCAGTACGGACAATGACCCGCATGACAGTGAAAGAAGTTGTAGAAGTGTTCACTTCGTACGCTTAATGAGGTTAGCAAACGCACTCTAGCTTCGGACATGGATAAATACCTGGTATGATCCAACCTTTGGTTCGCAGCTGACGAGCAATCGTGTACTCTAGCTTCAAATTAGTAGCAACGAATACCGGCACAATCGTGGAACTCACCATCACGACAATTTCTTTTCTTCAAGCACCAGAGAACGACTGGAAGGCCACGCTTGTCGTTCTTGCTCAAGACACGGAAACAAGCGCCATCTTGGATGGCTCCAATGCCTTGCGCGATTTTTTCTGCTGTATTTGCTAGACGGCGCATAGTTGCCTCATAGCCGGCTTTTCCTATAAACAAATGAGCTTCCCAGGTACTCTACGATTGAGATCTCAAACGAACCGAGTCTCATCAGCTGATAGTACTGGCCAATGACGTTCACTGCGGACTTCGAAAAGTTCAACGTAAACGACACCATGTGAGAGGCACCACAGTAGTCGACAGTGAAAAGTAGATCTTGAGGTAGAAGCTCTTTCGATCGCCACAAGGCCCAGCCGACCGAAGCATAAGTGAGGCTTGTGCGATCGTCAGTGACGTTGGAATCAATGCATTGTATTGAGCGCTCACCCATCTACCAAAATTAGTCTGGTCCCGGTCCATCAATGGTTACGGACAGCTTACATTTGTGACCAGAAACGTTGATCGAGCTAACGAGGGGAAGTCTGAAATCCCATTCGAGCTCAGGAACGAGAAACGGCGCCACAAAACCTCCCGAAGCAGCGTCAACATGGATCATGATGTCCAAACCAGTGGCGTGATTCTTCTCCATCAGCAAGTCGTTCAAGCACTGGACGTCATCATATGTGCCCGTCAATGATGAACCGAGGACAGCACCAATTAAAATGGTGTTCTCATCTACGAGCTCGATTGCTCTATGCGGCTCCATCGCGAGAGTATTTTCAGAAATTCCACAGAATCGTAGCTCGATCCCCAGGTACAGAGCTGCTTTCTGCCAACACACGTGGGCCAATGAGCTCGCAATCATATTCGGCGCGTTTGTCGACTTTCTTTGAGTAAGGCGCTTCTCTGTGTGTTCACCATCAGCGGTTTCTCCGACCTGTGGCAAACACAGACTCGCCTTCCCATCGTCGCTTCGCTGCCAGTACAGCAAGTATGATTGCCTCGCTGGAGCCGACGGTAGAAGTGCCCACAGCTGTGAGCCCGTTGCAATCGACAGGTGAGTTGAACAGCTCCGCAATCATGGTCACACAGTCACGTTCAATCTCATTCGATGCCGGATATGCCTCGTGATGTGTGATATTCTTCGGCTATCAAATGTCAGTGAGATTGCTTGATACACGTGACGGAAACGTACAGACCAGATGTTCAAACATGATGTCTTCAATCTCCCGCTCCATGAAAGTATTGTGGTAGCCCGCTAGATTGAGAGCAGGCTCAGCATCCGACGCGAGATGTCGTCTGATAAGCTCGCTGGCTGCTTGAGCAGTAAGACCTGTAGCAGGTATACAGTCATGCCGCCGACTCTTCTCCATGATCACGGTGCGAGACGCGTTCAGTCGTGGCGCTTCCTGGTCTAGACAATACAAAATCCGAACGTGATCACGAGTTGCTGAGTTCAACTTCACGCAGATTCGACGATGCCCCGCTGAATTCGGGGCCGTTGCGGAATATCGACATGGCTCTTGCGTATCGGCCACTCGTATACCATACGAGCCTGTAGCAATGGCATGACTCGAAAAGTGATGGAAATAGAGCTCGAGTGCAATGAAGCCTGATGTGATGCACCATTAGTCCAGGCCGGGATCGTCTATACCCTGCTGAAGTGTAGCTGGGTGGGGACGGGCCGACGCGAGGGTTCTTCGTCGGCGAATAAATTCTTATGCCAGTGCTGGCAAGTGCCGTTTCTTTATTTCTCAATCACAGCTTAACGAGCACACCACACAGCCTATGGGCGGTGTGCTGTTACTCACATTGCGTGCCTGCATCGGGAGACGAGCAAAATCCCGCAGTCATGAGACGAGCGACACTGTCTCTCGACTGAAACAATCCGTCCTTCGCTGCTGAAGCTTCGTGCCAGCCTCTAGCGCCTGGTACGCTTCCAAGTACTTTTCACCATGTCCCAATAGACCAACAGCTACTCCGGTCGACGTATTGAATTTGCGCGACCAGAGGCCTCGTGACCACGATACAGCAGTCCGACACCAGATAATCCGTAGTTTCACGCAGAACGAGCAGAATTGGATAATCGACGAGAACGGAGGCCGATTAAATTGGTCGAAGAGCCTTCCCATTTGTACAGTAGGCCATAAGTTCCTTCTTAGGGCGATTCCTGACGTCTGAGATCAGCTGTACTTTACGAAGGCGATGGCATCCGATTGTACGATGCTATTACGCACAGTGATGGATATTATCTGTATCGTGAGGAGATCACGATCTTGCGCGATAATGTAGACGAAATCGTGAGTGCTACTTACCAACTGGCAAGCATTGGCATCGTAATGACTTTTGCAGGCCTCAGAAGTTCTCGATGCGTCTAGCATTCCGCACCAGAAACGTACCAGGCAAGACTCTGCACGCGGCTTTGATGCTGTTCCAGTGAAAGATGGCGACTTGGCTCACTTGAATGTGGTTGATCTTGGAGCAGGGTAGGAGTGATCACTTCGTACAGTCCAAGGGCAGACTGACTAGTTTCAGACGACCAGACAAAGCCCTCGTCCTCCTCGAATCCATGCATCGCCAAATCAACGCTCTGCCGACCACCCATAACATATTCACAGCAAGTTACTGTGCTGTACGTTGAATCCTGGCACAGTGGCTTCATGTTGATGAAACTGACGAGATTCACGCAGGTGGACTTGCAATATCATGACCTCTGCGCTCGATTGGCGAATGCAGTGGCTAGTAAGTCATTTTTGTGCAACCACAAAGAATCTCCGCACCAGCCTTCGGGAAAGGACAAAATCGCTGTCCACGGGATATGCGCTCCGTACGTAGAGGCCCTTCAGGCTCTGCAAGATCAACTTGCTTCCCAGCAGACGCGTGATCCTGCATGCAGCGGAAGAGAGCAGCGGAAGTGCCTACTTTGGCTAGGTTCATCATTCACCAACTTCGAACCCGAAGCGGCTGTCGCTCTGCTGCGCAATTTCGTGCACGTCGCGGCGCTTGGTCCTGGGGATTGCATACTCATAGGCATCGACAGCTGCCAAGACCAAGAACGTCTGGCAGCCGCATACGGATCGCAATCCACCCACTGGCGCAAATATGCTCAGAACGGGATTCGAAATGCAGGAAAGATACTTGGCGGCAGCGCCGCATTAGCATTGCAGGATGCCCGAGACTGGGAGTACATCGCTCGCTGGGACAATCTGCGAAAAAGACATATCGTAAGTCAGGTCCTCATGCGCGCAAGAGCTAGCAAGTAATGCTGATCGTGCTGGCCTACAGCGATTTGTCAAAGCCAGCAAAGCCTTGGCGTTCGAAATCCCGTCCTCCTATAGTCCAGAGTTGAAGGAGACAATCAAGATTGCGAGGGGAGAGCATATTTTCCTCAGCCAGTCGTATAAATACAGCCGGGCCGAGTTGAGACTGCTCTTTCGTGATGCCGGTCTTGCTGTGACGAACGAATGGCAGAATGAGCGTGATGATGGGGCCGTGTATCTCCTTCAGAAAGCATGTTGATACTCGACCGCAGCGTTGAGTGATGTTCTCAGAGCTAGAATACTGAATAGACCACAATGCATCGATCATTGCAACTCTGTCTCATCAAGGAAGACTCCTGGTCTGAGCAGAAATGCAAGTGCAGACAACAGGGCGCAGACTGCTCCCAAGCATGCGAAGGTGGCTCCAGGCATAACACCCACAGTAGCTGTGTAGAATCCGTTCATCAAGATAGGCGATAAAACCCTCATTAGTCCATACAATAGCGCAGTCGCCCCCATCAAAAGACCAGTCTGGGTTGAGGGAACGTGTTTGGTCAGCGAGGATTGTACAACCGGTCTTCCGATCCCTGCGAGCGCGATGAAAATGCCGGATATCACAAAGAGAATCGGTGACGTTGCCATAGCGTAACCTGTCCAACCCAGACAATTCAAAATCGCCCCGCAACGAATGAGACCAAGATCGAAGTTGTCGCAGCCACGGCCAGTCGGCGGTCGTGGTCCTTTACCGCTTTTCCGCTTGAAGTACCAGGTGATAAGTGGTAGCAGGAGCACCAGACCTGCAGCGCGCACAATGTTGATTGCACCCATGAAAACAGACTTTGCCGATGTGTCCCAGCCAAAGCGCAGTATGGAAATATATACTATGATGCTAAATGAGCTCCGAACAATGCCTTCTAAGGTGGTATCGATGGTCGCAAGTAGAACCAGGTTCCGCCGTAGAATTGGTGACGTGCCAGTCCCATTTGGCCAGAGCGTCCTCAAAGATGCCAGTAAGCTCTGAGGCTTGAGTCGAGCGTACCATGAGCGACCATGACTGTGTGCTCTCCGTTTTTCATACGCGTCACGTGCGGCTGTTCTTTGATGCTCAGTCATGGACTCTGGAACCACGAAAGCCATACAGAACATGAAGATGACTACGCCGAACAGCGCGAGCCAGAAGACTAGGACGACACTACCGGTGAGCTGGACGATACCGGCGGCAAGTAATGGGCCAGCAGCAACCCCCGCATAGAGACAGCCTTGCAGGTATCCAAATGCTACATTCCTTTGTTGTGGCGTTGTGATATCTGCGGCATAGGAGTTGACAATAGCCATGATTGAGGCGTAGGGACCAAGAACTGACTCGAGAATGTATGTCGCATAGAGCCATGGCAGTGGAAATGTTTCGGGGAAAGTCGCCACGAGAATGGTCAAGATGCAGTTGACCAGCATGCCCGACCCTCCGATCGCCAGAATCCTCGTTCTCCCATACAGGTCGGAAGCTTGCCCAAACTTAGGACAAGTAAATATTGACATTACTCCCCCAAGCAGATTGCAGCCCATCACAAACTCCGCGGCGAGACCTTGTATCTCAGGAGCACGGCACCTATCATTTCTTGCATGAAGGAGGCTGCTTGTCACGGCGTTCGATGCTGCCTTGCATTGATGGTCGATGCAGTAGGCACGGCACGTAAGATCGTAAATAAGGTCGAGCTTGGGCACCCATATGCCTCCGTAGCCGAGGGTGTAGAGCAAATACACTGGGACTAGCCAGTACATCTAATGGTTGTCAAAATGGATTGTCCTCACTTGTGATGCTGTGCTTTGCATACCGCTGGTCTACGCCAGGCTCTTTTCGTGCTTGAAACTCCTTCTCTGCATTGGTTATCATCCTTGGCTTTTCCCTCAACATCGCTCTCGAGCAGCGGGTCCTGATCATCGTGATCAGATTTGATACTGGTGATGTCAAAGTCTCGAGCTTCCGCGTCTTCGTCCACGGGCTCAGTGCTGGTGATAGCCGAAGGCTTAGACTGAAGCGTTGACAGAGGAACAGCCGCCATTCCTTGCACACCAGAGAGCGACTTGGCAGAAAAGATTGTGCAACAGGTTACAGGCCAACTGGAGGATCGCGCGAAGCAGTGGGTATTTCGAGATGAAAAACGTGATAGTCCTTGTATTGAAGGTGCATATGGACCTGCATGTCCGCATCCTTGGGTGCATGGAGTGAGGGACAACTTCGGTTCACCCACACCGATATTCTGCCTGCAATCATCGTTGCAACTGTTGTAGCGTCGTCGGTCTCGATGATTGACAGCAGTCCAGAATAGGCCTTTGACCGAACCGTCAGACAGTGTCCGTCAACGCGGGAGTTGAAGCTCATCGTCGTCTCCATCTCTGTAGGCCCACTGCCGTCTTGCGGTCAGGGCACCGCGTTCCGGTATGTCATGGCGCATTGAGGGTGATGCACGATTGCCTCACGTCATTGTCAGCACGTACATCCAATACTTTCAGTCGCACGGGGATATTTCTGATCGCAAATGAAAGAAGGAGCAATGGAGCGCCTATCGCAGCTTTCGCGTTCGCGTCTTGGCGAATGATCTGATCACGTGATCACGTGACAATGGCTGTGAATATGAAATTTGTTTCTTTCTTTGCGAACACAGCGAAGCGGTCTTCCATGTTATTTGCATTATTGCATAGCGCCATCGACTTGTAAAGGCCGGTGAGCTGGCGATGCTTGCAAGGAGAACGGAGCAAGCACTCGCCAATCTATGCAGGAATCCGAAATATTATAGCCGGATCTCGAGCTTACCGGCATCGACTCTTCTGTCGCCAATATGCTCGACATACACATGGATTAGACCTGGACGCCACGACCAGCAGCATTGCCTCGCATCAGGCTCGTCTTCGACACGATGGAAAGCACGCCAGGGAAAGGATGCCTACTCAAGAGAAGCCAAGGTCGCGGGCCTGAAGTCTCGAGCAGCCTTCAAGCTCCTGGAGATTAATGAGAAATACCGCCTTTTCCACAAAGGCGATACCGTGGTCGACTTAGGCTTTGCGCCTGGGAGTTGGAGCCAGGTTGCAGTCAATAGAGTAAGCCCGGGAGGACGTGTGGTGGGCATTGACATTATTCCTGCCCAACCTCCGCGAGGCGTCAACGCGCTACAAGGCAATTTCTTGAGCCCAGAAATCCGAGAAGAGGTGCGAAAGTTCGTCAGCGACCCAGATCGAGGCAGAGTAAGACGGAAGAATATTACGGAAGGGGATGTCACGGAGGACGATCTGAGCTCGGCAAATCAAAGCATCCTCGAGTTCGAAAAACATGCTGCTGAAGAGGAGAGGAAGCTCAAGGAGATACCTAAAGGAGGCATGACCCAGGCACAACTTGATCTCGCCGAGGGCAGAGTCGTGCAGGTTGTCTTAAGCGATATGTCAGAACCTTGGCCCTTGGTGACCTCTACATGGGTACGCAGCGTTTCTAACCCATATAACAGGCTCATGAACACCAGTGGCATTGTGGCGCGGGATCATGGAGGGAGCATGGTGAGTAGTTGAAGAGACGACTTCTACAAATCCGATCCGGACTGATGAGATGTCAGGATCTGTGCATGTCTGCTCTGACGTTCTGCTTTGATACCTTGGCGAGCGGAGGGAACTTTCTTTGCAAATTCTATACTGGTGCTGAAGACCATGCTCTGGAGCTGCGCTTGAAGAAGCTCTTTGAGAAGGTCCATCGCATCAAGCCCGATTCTTCGCGCAAGGAAAGCCGTGAGGCTTACCTTGTTGGCCTTAAGCGTAAAGCTGGCGTCCAACGTGAAGCCGTACTTGGCGATCCGTGATCTAAGGACTGCTTGCTTGAACACCGGCCCTCAGTAGGCCGCGAAACTTGCTGGCAGTGCTGTTCCAGGAGCACATCGAGCCAAAAATACCCCAAAGGGCTTTCGTCAACCCAGCATTGTTGACTTCGCCGGACCGCCGTGGCATTCCACAGCAAGAAGTCAGCTCAACATCCAATCTGAACACTTCGACTTTAGTCTCCTCAGCCTGATCTCCATCTGGCCCAAACATTCGGCGAGGGCACGCGCATCACAGATCTACAAGTAGCGGTGTCTCAAGCTTCTCGAGCTTCACGTACTTCTTACACTGCTCATGGAGCTCGTGGCAGATATGCACTCGGACTTTCGCTTACCCGAAGGACCTACACCGGCGGACACTCACGTGCCACATCATGAACCAACATTTCCGTTCCTCTGCCCTGTTGACAGATGGTCCCACGGCATCAAAGGCTTTGCTCGAGGAGATGCTTTGATTCGCCATGCGCGAGCTGTCCACGGCATACAAAGCGCCCCGAACTACAAGAAATACCTCAGATAGTGGGCTGCGATAATTATGAATTCAACGAGATATGATACGCGCTGCTTTCGGCCCACTCAGGTGAGAGATATTCTCGGTAATGTCAAATTGCGCACCATTGGTTCCAGAGCAAATGCAAAGCACACGTGGATTTTTTTACAAGAGAATCGTCAAAGCTAGAAACCAAGCTGGAAAACAATGATCCTTTCACCATCAGAGTGCAAGACTTGGTAATGGTCAACACAGTTTCATTTTGCAATCCTCAACTAGTGTCAATGCCCTTCAGATTGGAATCGATGTATCCAGAACCATGCTATTATCATCAAGAATGCGATCCGGACCGTTACGGCTTGTCCCACTTCATCAGTCTCGTCCCCCACGATATTCGATCGCGTCTCGTCGATCTTTGTAGCAGCACAAGCACCATCTCATGTTGTCAGGTTGAGGTTCATCCTTCACATGCACATGCGGGTCATGCCACGAGATCACATGGATCATCGGGCACGGACTTTTTCGCGCTAGTCGGCTAAACACGGCCACCCGGTACCTCCTGCGCTTCACGGTCGCTGTCCACAACACATTTCCCCTAAGTACAGGTATACTCGAAACACTTGCACTTAGGGGAATAGTATCAACGCTCAACCAAAACTCGATACGTAAGTCTCTGTGCAGCGGTCAGAGCTGACACGGGAAGTCTGCCGCCCTGTTCATAAGGAAGTCAAATTCCCAATGTTTCCTTGTTCTCCTCATTCCAGCTTCACGTTTCATTGAAGAACAGTTCGGCCACGCATTCGGTAACAAGCTCACAGACAAAAGGATTCGACTATTCGGTATCAGTACACCTAAGATACATCATCAAACGCCCTATCCTTCGAGATCGTAAAATGGACGCACCGACTATTCAACCTAAATTTCTCTCGAAGCCGAACGAGCTGGGCCTCGTTGCGGTAGGCTTCAGCGGCGGACAAGTAAGTCATCGAACGCCTCGAGTGGCTGCAATTGAAGGCTGAGGAGCTGGGAATGTAGTGCAAACCAGGAACCGACGCGGCGCCCATGGCCCTGATAGAATCAGGCCTGGTCGACCAACTCTCCGATGAACTCGAATACGATATCAAGTACGATGGCAAGGTGCATGCATATGGCGAGCTCATGCCAGACGACGACCCAGATTACCGCAATATGAAGAAGCCAAGAGCGGTTAGCGCAGTCACGAAGAAGTTGAGCACACAAGTCTACGACCACGCACGAGACGGTCGCTTCGTCCTCACCTTGGGCGGAGACCACAGCATCGCTATTGGCACCATCTCAGGCACTGCCAGAGCCATGCGAGAGCGACTAGGACGCGACATCGCTGTGATCTGGGTGGATGCGCATGCGGATATCAATACTCCAGAGACAAGCGATTCAGGAAACATTCATGGCATGCCCGTCGCCTTCCTCACAGGCCTCGCATCAGAAAAGCCGGATCAGCCATTCGGCTGGCTCAAGGAAGACCAGCTCATTTCCTGCTCCAAGCTCGTCTACATCGGTCTAAGAGATGTGGACCGACCTGAGAAGAAGATCCTGCGCGACAACAACATCAAGGCTTTCTCCATGCACGACATCGACCGCTATGGCATCGGCAAAGTTATGGACATGGCTCTCGGTTGGATTGGACGAGACACACCTATCCATCTCTCGTTCGACATTGACGCACTTGATCCAATGTGGGCTCCTTCAACCGGCACTGCCGTTCGTGGTGGCTTGACGCTGCGAGAAGGCGACTTCATTGCAGAGTCTGTGCATGAGACGGGCAACTTGATCGCGCTGGATCTGGTGGAGGTCAACCCAAGCCTCGAGGAGGATGGAGCAGAGCAGACTGTGAGGGCGGGAGTCAGCATTGTGAGGTGTGCGCTGGGTGACACACTTCTCTGAGGGAGACATTGGTGATTCTGCCAGATGCGATGCGATACTTCCCGAGTCTTGTATAAGGGTTCGTTGAAGGAATTTATACTACCTACCTAGTAGACGCTCACGCGAACGACGAAATAGACATTGATTGTGCTTTAATGAAATGACCCTGTGCAATGTATCTTACATGTACCTCACTCGCGCCGCACTTGCTTCATGGAGATGACGCCGAGGCTCTTCCTGTCTCCCTACCTGTTAATGCACAAGAACGTGCCATCCTCCATTGTTTTGGACATTTACTGATTGGCTTGTGATTGCGCAACAGACGAGACATCTTTCGTGCAAAGAATTAATTGCTCAGAGCAAAGCTCGGTTTCATGAGGATTCCGATCTGAACAACACCTGGCTTCTTGCGATGTCTTGCTAAACATTTCTGCTTGGATTGCCAGCTTTCCATAAGGCCAATATGGCCAGAAACACAATATACCAAGCAGCTGCCCTATTTGGCTTGCTCGCTTCTGCCAAAGCAGCACCATCCGTCAATGTTGCTTTACGGACGGCTTTTGATGCGCCTCCATATCTTGTAGAACTGCTGTAAGACGTGTCCTTCCAAGCTTTCAGGCCAGAACTGATCAAGGTCCAGAGAAACAGCAGCAGAAGAAAACGCGACTTCCTATTTCCCGCTCCTCGATCGAATCGCAGACGGCTATTTCGATTCTTCGAAAACAGACGAAGAGCTATACAAGAGCTTCAGAACACTGTTAGAAAAAGATGGGCATCTTGGGAAGGAGGATCTATCCTCATTTGACTACGCCCTTTCGATTCACTCGGCGGCACCAAGGATAGAGGCACACTACCAGTACTACAACACATCTATCGTTCCTTCATTATCGAGCGATGCGCAAGATGGATGCCAGAGCTGGGTCTATGTACCGTTCAGTGGACAGCGATATTGCTCGGCAGAGTTGGACGAGACGACAGCCCAGTCTTTTGGCAAACCAGAAGCTTCAGTACATCAGCTGCCCTTCGATCGCGTCTTAGGAGACTTGAACAGCGACAAGCCTTCCGTCCTCTACGCGGATATATTTTCCGAATCGTTCCGCAAGTTCCATAAGACTTTGAGCAAGACCGCAAGAGATGGCAGTACCTCATATCGAGTGCGATACAAGGCTTCTGTTGGTCATGAGCGAAAGCCATTGACCGTGAGCGGGTATGGCATTGAGCTGGCATTGAAGCGGACAGACTACATCGTCATCGACGATCGAAATGCAGAAGAGGAGAAGAAAGAAGAGACTGTCAGTGCAAACGATGGCACGCTGAGCGAGGAAGAGGTATCGGACTTGAGACCACTTTCCCAGTCAGAACTCAGGCGACTTGGACTGAGAGCTGCAAGCTTTGTCATGGGTAGCGAGCAGCCGTTCGACACGCTCCTGAGACTTTCTCAGGATTTCCCAAAGCATTCGAGCTCTATTGCAGCAACCGAGATTTCAGAGGAATTCATGGCCGAGCATAGTACGAACAGAGAAGTACTGGTTCCAGCTGGCTTCAACGTGATGTGGATCAATGGTGTGCAAATTATGCCAAGGGATGTCGAAGCGTATGCTCTTCTCGAGCATCTGCGACGAGAGCGTAAGATGATCAAAAGTGTTCAGGAGATCGGCTTGAGCGGGACTGAGGCCGTTGAACTGCTCTCACACGAAGCCATCACTGCATCGCAGGTTGGGCAGGAAGTCCAGCGCTATGACTGGCGCGACAACGCTGAAGGTGGCGATGTCATCATCTGGATGAACGATATCGAGAAAGACAAGCGCTATGCTGAGTGGCCAGAGACTGTCACCAGGTTTCTCCAACGCACATACCCAGGTCAGCTCCCGACTGTCAGAAAGGATTGCCACAACCTCGTCATTCCCATCGACTTTGCAGACTTCAACGACGCTCTGCTAGTTGTCGAGAGCTTGAAAGGTTTTGTCAAGCGCAGGGTCCCGATTCGGGTTGGTGTGGTCCCTATCATCAAAAGTCCTGACAGTGAAGCTCAAGCCAAAATTATTCATTACTTGATTGATCGATACGGGCTAGCGACTGCCCTTAATTACCTTGAGACATCTCTTGAGACTGCTGGTCGTAAGTATGGGCCAGTCATTGAGAAGCTGTTCAGCACAGCTGTAGAGACTGGTAAGCTTCGTCCCGACAAGGAAGAATTGACACTCGAAAGTGTCAACAGCGATGCCTACCTCCAGAGCCGTATCAAGGGAGCCAAAGAATGGATTTCCAGGCTCGGAAGCACAGATGTCACACCTCCAGTACTTATCAATGGCGCGGCAATTCAAAGAAGCGACGATTGGTTGCAGAGTATGAGTGCTCGAGTGAGCCAGGATGTGCGGGTGATACAGCAAGCTGTTTACCTTGGAGAAGTGACTGATGAGGACTACCTTCCTGATCTGTTCTTGGAAAAGGCAAGCTTGAGACGGAACCCTCTGCTCATACCGGAGGACGACCAGGACATCCGTCATGTCAAGCTTGGAGAGTTACCAAGTTTCGGAGACTTGCCAAGTCTTGGTGCAAGCGAAGATACCATCGAGCGAGAGCTGGTGCATCTCACTGTTGTAGCAGACCTTGACAGCACGGAAGGATTTGAGCAATTGATGGAAGCGCTCATGTATAGAAGAGAGCATGACAATGTTGAGCTCGCTTGGTTGCACATTCCGCGCGATGGTACCACGGACACCAGGCTGGGTTCTGTCTTCTACAAAGACACCGCGCTCGAGCCACTTTTCGAGAATCTACTCTGGCAATATGACACTCTGGTGGCCGAGGATCCAGCTTCGAACAGAGAAAGTGACACACTGATTGACTTTGCGGCGAGGAAGAGAATATACTCCGAGCTCTACAAGAAGGCTGCTCGCACTAACAGCCCTGAGCTTGATGAAAGGGTGCGCAGCATCTGGACACCTTTCCGAAGTATCGTTTCAGCAGCCGGAATCACACCTGGAAAGAAGGCTTTACTAGTGAACGGCAGGATTGTAGGTCCGATTCCAGACAGCATCGGCCTTCAGGTCTCTGATATCGAGGTACTGCTGTCCTACGAACGGATGAAGCGCCTGCTGCCTGCAGCACTTGCAATTGAAGGGCTCGGCCTTCAGGAGAAAGCTTCTACACCATTGTCTTTCGCCCGGGTCTCGAATCTGATCGCGGTGTCTATGGTGTCTGACATTCCCGAAGGCATCTTCGAGGCAGCACCAACTGTGCGCACCGGCATCTTCAAGACATGGAATTCCAGCCATACGGCAATCCATCTGGGCGACGAAAAGACAGCAACCGTTCAGATTTATGCCTCTATCGATCCAGCATCAGAGGTGGCGCAGAAATGGATCCCGATCATGAAAACCGTCTCTGAGATGGAAGGCGTCTACGTAAGATTGTTCTTGAACCCGAAGGAGCGCCTGGAAGAGATTCCTGTGAAACGTTTCTACAGACATGTGCTTAAGTCCAAGCCGTCGTTCGAACCTGATGGCTCGCTGCAAGTCAATGGCGCTCAATTTCGCGGTCTGCCTGCGGATGCTCTGTTCAACATGGGCATGGACATGCCGCCAGCGTGGTTGGTCGCCCCCAAGATCACTGTGCATGACTTGGACAACATCAAGCTGAGCGCCGTCAAGAGCGATATCGAGGCGATCTACGAACTTGAGCACATTCTGATCGAAGGCCACACGCGCGATGTCACCGTAGGACCGCCACCTCGTGGAGCACAGCTGGTACTGGGCACTGACGCTGAGCCTCACTTCGCGGACACGATCATCATGGCCAACCTGGGTTATTTCCAGTTCAAGGCCAATCCGGGTGTGTATAATTTGGCGCTCCAAAGAGGACGCAGCGAAGAAATTTTCCACATCGACAGCGCTGGTGCTGCAGGGTACAATGAACAGGCTGGCGACAACACAACTGAAATCGGCTTGATGAGCTTCAAAGGCACCACTCTATCCCCGCGCATATCTCGGCGGCCTGGTATGGAGGATGAGGATCCCCTCGAGCCAGCAAAGACTGCGCTCGGCTTTGTTGCAGAGGGCGCAGAGAGTCTGCTCTCACAGATTGGCCTCGGAAATCAAGCCAGCAAGTACCTCTCCAAGGCCACCAAGCTTCTCGTCTCGGGAGGCTCAAACACTGACAGTATCGCAGAGCGCAAGCATGCTGACATCAACATTTTCTCTGTCGCGTCTGGTCACTTGTACGAGCGGATGCTCAACATCATGATGCTTTCGGTGATGAAACACACCAAACACAGCGTCAAGTTCTGGTTCATCGAACAGTTCCTGTCCCCCTCCTTCAAGGACTTCCTCCCGGTCATGGCTGAGGAGTATGGATTCCAATACGAAATGGTGACTTACAAATGGCCGCATTGGCTGCGTGGACAAAAGGAAAAACAGCGCGAAATCTGGGGATACAAGATCTTGTTCCTGGACGTGCTGTTCCCACTCGACCTTGACAAGGTCATATTTGTGGACGCCGACCAGATTGTGCGCACGGACATGTATAAGTTGGTGACACATGATCTGAAGGGCGCACCTTACGGTTTCACACCTATGTGCGACTCCAGGACAGAGATGGAAGGCTTCCGGTTCTGGAAGCAGGGCTACTGGAAGAACTTCTTGGGGGGCCTTCCATATCACATCTCCGCGCTGTACGTTGTGGATCTGAAACGATTCCGACAAATGGCTGCGGGGGATCGACTCCGGCAAAACTACCACCAGCTCTCGGCGGATCCGGGAAGTCTGAGCAACTTGGATCAGGATCTGCCAAACCACATGCAAGCGCTTTTGCCTATCCACAGCCTGCCGCAGGAGTGGTTGTGGTGCGAGACGTGGTGCTCGGATGAAAGTCTGAAGGATGCAAAGACTATTGATCTCTGCAACAACCCCCAGACCAAAGAGCCGAAACTGGATCGCGCGCGGAGACAGGTGCCAGAGTGGACGGAGTATGACAACGAGATCGCCGCGGTGGCTGCGCGGCACAAGGAGAAGCTGGCGGGTGGGGTGCCCGCGGTTCAGGGCAGGGACGACGGAGGGGAGAGCATGCAGGAAAGGCTGCAACGCGAAGACGCGGAGCGGGAGCGCAAGAAGAAGGCGCATGTGCGAGACGAACTGTAGTAGAGTGCAGCGGCGTAGAGCTAGACTACACGTACTACCATTTGCTACAGTCGCCGTGGACGACGTGATGGGACGGAACACACTCCCAGGCCCATGGCAGACGGTGTCAGGAACAGGCAGTGCTTTTGTCACCCCCACATCGCACGGAACCACCCACTGCAGGCACCCATACACCACATGCGCTGTGGTATGGGCATGCAACGCTTGCGCCACCATGCTTGACTTGACTGCACTGCACTCGTACCAAGAAGGAGCTGGTGATGGCTCCTGCCTCAGCCCGGGGACCCACACGGCGCACGGTGCGACGAAGCAAGAGCGTCCGACATGACTGCCTTTGTCAGTTCAGACCACTTCGCACCAACACCGCCCGCATCGAAGATCAGACCCAACACGGAGGTAGGCATCGACATCATCACTGGTCACTGCCTTCTATGAGAGGTCCTGTTGTGGCACACTTCCACGAACCCATCCGGGCTGCACGAGTGCCTGAACTTCCTCAGCAGGAGTCGAACAAAGAAATCCGTCCATTTGACATTCGCGTGCCACAATCCGCAGCCCACCGACTTGGCAGACCTCGTCTCTGTGTACTGATCGATCAACCAGCTCACGAATCCCAATATAACTTCCCTCCCCAACCCTTCCCTCTCTCTCTCTCCCTCATCAATCAATCAACTACCCCATCAACTCAACCCACTACAACCAACCAACCAACCAACCATGCCCCTCCCAACGCTCCTCCTCACCCTCACCCTCACCCTCCCCCTCCTCACCCTCTCCGCCCCCACAATCCAAACAACCTCCTTCTTCACCCTCACCGCCGCCCGCTCCGCCAGCCCCCTGCACTTCGCCTCCATAACCGCCAACGAAACCGGAATCTGGATCGGGAAACCCTCTTCGAATTACTGCCCCGGCGTGGAAAATCAAACCTGTCCCGATCCTTCCCCTTATACCGAGTTCACTCTCAATAATGGGATTCTCGGGTTGGGCGTGCAGGTGAAGGGGGGGCAGCAGATGTACGTCCGAACAGAGAGAGAGAGAGAGAGAGAGAGAGAGAGAGAGAGAGCAGCTCGCTGACGCTCGCTGCTTAGTTACGTCGATTATAACGGCCGCGTCCGCTACACCCTCGCCAACGACGGGTATATCCCCAACGGCGCGTACATTTCCGGTTGGAGTTTGGAGATGGGCGAGAGTTTTGGGAGGTTGGAGTGGGTGAATGGGACCATGTTTTGTGGTTTGATTCCTGGGAATGCGAGTGTCGGGCCTTGGGGGCTTTTTGCGAAAGTCCCGTATGTGGAGTTTGGGGCCGAGTGTCTGGGAGCGAGCCTTTTGGTGAGTGGGAATTTGAGTGTGGCGAATGCTTATCAGTATGTTTGAGAGGAGATGAGAGGGGAAGAGAGAAGAAAGAGGTGGAGGGTGGGATGGTGATGGTGATGGTTTTGGATCTTTCCTTCTTTAGCATTGCAATACTTCTATCCCGAAACGTAGACAAAATCAACCAAATCGCCGTATCGGCCACAGATTCCGTACACGCGGCTCCAGAATTACAATATACGATTCCTCTTTTCGCTAAAGCTTGCGTGTCCGCCCAATCGAAACCTGCGAGTGGTTCCAGCGGATGTCGTCGCCGCAGTGGAGGAGGATGGGTTTTGAGGGGGACATGGTGTGTTGTTGTTCTTCTGGACTGTTGTTTAGTATTTGTCGCCTTGAGCATTGGTCCGGTCGCTGGCAAGTGAGCGCAACTTGCAGTAAGAGAGTCTCGGAAGATTGGAGGTAGTATGCAGTGATTACTTTCTGCTTCACCGAGACGCGTTCCTTCTCATTTGTGCAAGGCAAGAGTTCCCAATTGCCGATGCCTGCCAAGTCAAAGGCCGACGGAAGCAGATGTCCGCAAGACATCTCCATTTCGAGATTGTGCTAGGACGTCGTGTCGTGTCTGTTGTACAGCGTGTCAGCGTATCATCATAACCTCTTCGTTTACTACTGCTGCTCCTCCACAACCTCAACCGCCCTCTTCGCCTTCTCCATCTTCTGCACCGTGCCCTTAATCCCACTCTTCACCACCTCCAACTCCTCTTTCCCTCTCACCCAACTCGCCTGCACCTCCTCCACCCTCTTAACCTCCCCAACATCTACGCTCGTCTCCGTCGCAACCTTCAAACTTCTCTCCCTCTCCACCTCCAACATCTTCTCACTCTCCTCGCCCTGCCTCTCAAAAGCCTGCAGGAATTTCCTCGCAGTCTCCTGCGGCGCCTTCCTCCTCAGATTCGCCAATTGCAGAGTCTGATGCTCGATTTGCGAGGAAAGGGCTTGGATTTTTTGTGCGAGTTTTGTATCGTAGGGTTCGAGTTCTGGGGTAAGATAACCTGTCAGCCACAAGAGACAGTCCTGTTGTTGTTGTTGTTCTTCGGGTGTGATGTTACCTTCGCCTTCTGAGGCTTTGGCAAGTTCGGCTTCTAGTTCGGCCGTGTCCATGCCGTTGATTGTTATGGAGTCTTTTGCTGCGGCGAAGGTTTGGTGGATGTACTGTGTTATATACAAGTCAGTACCTGGCGATGTATATGCTGCGCATTTTGGCACCCTCGACGCACTTCATCGACTAATTGCTCTACTCTTTTCCGCATAGCATCCTCGCCTTCAGGAGTCGCATCGGGAGGTAAGTGTTTGTCGAGTTTCTCGCGCGCCGCTTTGGAGACATTGGCGATGAGATACGTGAGGTCGGCGGGTGATTGTAATTCGATTTTTCGATGTGCGGATTCTGTCGCTCGTTCGCCAAGTTGCGGCGCATTCGATTCAAAGATATTGGTCGCCGTTGTGTAGGCCATGTTGGTTGTCGGTGTCAACAAATCCAACCTCGAAATCTCGCGACTGAGACAGTGAGACGCGTTGGATATACTTTCGGCAATCCCAGCCGAAAACGCGGGGACGCCCTGCCCTTTATCGCGGCTTATCGCGGAGTGATGCAAGTGACTCATTAATACATGTAAATGAGGCTTCCAATCGACTTGCGGATGTGGATGCGCATGCGGATGCGGATGCGGATGCGCGTACGTGCGTATGCGTGTTTCATGCAGATGATGCAGAGACAAGGCGAACGATCTGCTGGGAAATGGCTGTGGTGTAACGGATACGAGAACGACAACTCAACCACAAAGGCTCGAGGACTTGCTGCTGTATACCTAGCCACAAGAGTAGAGACACACGCCATAAATCCACACCACCATAGTCTTATCCAACTCCATAATGAATGATCAGAATCCCATAGCATAATCTCCCCATACAAAACCACAAACTCCCCAACCCAAAACCCCCATAATTGTGTACTATCCCCTTCGCCAAAGCACCATGCTAAACCGATACATACACAACTTCCTCATAGCCAAATCCTGATCAAGACGGCAAAATCGCCTCCGCCTCCTCATCCGTCAAAACGATATCAAAAACCGGATCAGGACGATGCTCAAGATCCTGACCATCATACCCATCATTCGCATACGACGGCAAGAAAAGCTCTGTAACCCATCAGCCCTCTTCCCTCTTATATATACTTCGTCTTCCACTCACCCTGATTCCAGTCAAAGCCCTGCGAACTCTTAACACAACTCACCAATCTCAGACTCTGCTCTCCACCCCCGAGATTGATGACCGTGTACTCGCTCTTGCTCAGAGAACTTCCCAGCAGACTTGGACGTCGGGGACTGAGTGGTGGTGAAGAGGAAGATAGGGCGCCGACGGGGAGTTTGCTTTTTTGTTTTGCTGAGAGGGAGGATGAGGGCGAGAAAGAGGATGGTGATGAGGGATAGCTGGAGCTCGAGTCACCAGCCAAGGCCTGACTCCGACCCTGAGCAGCCTGGTTGCGTTTTGGTATGGCGATGGCGATGCTAGAGGACATGTTGATATTTTTTTGCAGTAGATATGTAGGTAGAAGGTATCCCCTAGCGTACCAAATTAATAAGTCATAGGAAGGAAAGGAAGTTGTCAAAGGGACCGAAGTGGTGACAGTCAGCCGCGAAGCTCATCAGAGGTCGAGCTCCATCCGGGTTGCTGCGCGTGACGAAGCTCCACGCACTTGGCATATCCATCCCGACCTGCCTAGAATAAACCTTGATGCCTGTTTGCCGCAGTGCAGCAGCATATGATTTGATTGGTAGACAGTGCACGAACAAGAGAGCTACGCCCTGCTGCACAACACTCGGTTGCCTTGAACCCAAGATTATCCGTAAGGGAAAGCAGGACGACATACACCCTCTTTCAAAGTTCCGGCGATATTATTATACCCTGAGTAAGAGCCTCCGAGCCCTGCGAGTGCTGTTACATCCAATGGGAGTCATTGGGAGAAGCAGATTATGCCTCTATTGAGATACAATCTACCACCCGGGCGGCGAACGCTACTGCTACTCGGTTCTTGAAAGAGGGTGGATGTTCCATCTTTGCATTCAGATCGGTCGGGTCTGTCTTACACCACTCACCCCAACATTATTGCTCTCCTCCTCTCCTCCTCATATAATAGTAGTTCCCTCCGTTTGTTCTTGTGGTGGACGTAGATGCAATGGGTATACTGCTGCTGGTGGTGTTGATGATGATAGTGTTTGCTTCTCCGTCCGCTTCCCAACGCCAAACTTGCTACTCATACAGTCGCACACACAGATCATCAGAAACGCTTTTCAAGCCTTCTCCTTCTTTCCATTCGGGTATCACAAAATGAATAAACGCAAAAGAAACACACACTGGCCACAAGTCCCTTCCGGCCATCCATTCTACAACAACCGCCTCCTCTTGTGAAATCTGCTCAGACAGCCTCCCACTTGCCGTCGCAACCAGCAATAACGCTTGAATGATGAAGAATAGTCGTACAAATATGCCAGATCTATGATTCGTTAGCACCACTCCGCCTGATTATCTGAAAGCCGACACTCACCATGTCCTCTTCCTGGCAAACCGCCGATTCAGTAATTGAAGGACCTTGGTTACGTTGAATTGCACATATTCCAGATCGAGATCTTCTTGTTGTTCCTTTTGCATTTCCAGAAGATCGTCCAGCTTCAGGTCGAGCTCCAGCAGACCGCGGTTGCGGCCTTTGTAGTGCAAGCTGATGACGAAAGTGCCAGGGCTCGGGCTTGTGATGTTGAAGAAGATGTTCGCCCTTCGGTTCTCGGGCACGTTGCTCTTTTGAATCACGCCTTGCTTCTCCAGTTCTTGATGAGTAAATTTGTACGGGCCAAGCAGCTTGGCGCTTTGGTTTCGCTTCGACGTGCCTTCTGATTGCCCCCTTACGTTGTGAAGGTAGCTCTTGTACGTCTCCAGCTGACTTACGAGGTATTGGTTGTGATCACGGATGGTCTTGAACACCTCTTCCAGTTTGTCCGTCTCCGCCACCACCTTGTCTTTGAGAGAACCGAGATGGATTAGTTCTTGTTCGATCTCGTCTCTGAGCACGGCATAACTGTCGTCCTTATCAATGATGCCTAGCTCTTGCAGCTGATTGAGCAATTCCATAGCTCTGATACCCTTGCGAACCATCACGGAGTCATTCTTCGTCGTTGCAGCAGCTTCTGCAACTCTGTCCAAGCGCAAAGGCCGCCGCAGGACTGCCGAATTCGCTGGTAGGGATCGTAGTATCAAAACAAAAGTCGACTTCGCTTCCATGAAGTAGACTTCTTCCTGTGTGATATCGAGAGCCGCCGTAAAGTCGTCAAGAGATGTTTCCCATTTGCTGTACAGGGGTAGATTGATCGCCCTGTTGTCCTTTCTTGGTAGCTGTGCTGGTGCCGGACCGAGCTCAGCTAGGAGCTGACTGAGATGTGTGCTTTCCTCCTTTGCGATCTCCACTTGATGCCTTTCCAGGAGAGCGTGCATGGCGTATACCTCATTCAGGGTGATGGAGAGCTCGAGGTCTTTCTTGGAAAGAGCTACATAATTGTCCATCTCCAGTGTTTCGTAGAAGTCCTGAACCTCGCACAATTCCATCATGAACTTGTTGATGCGTTCCTTGTTTTGCTGAATGAAAGGTTGAAGCTTTTGCATGTACGGCTCCTTTGCATAGCTGGGCTTGTTGGCCAAGTTCTGCAGCATCTTTGCGACATATGTCAATGTCCTCTTGGGGTTCTCGGCTGGAGTTTGTTCGATGAGCATGTATGACCTTGGTGTGACGATCGCTGGGTTGATGAAGCGCAGGAAGAAGAAACCTCCAATGAGTGTGCAGATTGTTTGCTCCTGAGCATCCGGATACTTTCGTCTCGTGAGACTTCGTATCTGCTTGCATATCCATCGAATACCATACGGAGTTTCCTCGAGGCCATCGATGATGGTGTCCAGGAATGAAGTGGCAATTTCGATGAGCATATCGATGCGTGGCGCAATAATGCGCTGGACATTCTCGTTCGCTGCAGCCTGCTCCGCGGTGATGCCTTTGGGCAGACTTTGTGGCATATTTCCTCCATCCGCCTCTATTTTGTCGATCATGCTTTCGTAGACCTTGAGAGGGTTGATCTCAAGGTCTAGATCCTTAATCTCGATTAACGAGTTGATTCTTTCGGCGAGCACTGTCTTCAGATAGCTTTGTCCCGGTCCTCTGCGTGTATATGTGGTCATCATTCGTGATACTGGAGTGTTTGCTCGAAGTAATGATGAATAGTCGGGTGTGTTATCGAATTGGAATGTCAAAACAGACTGCTTTCATCAGTATTCGCCTTGTCGAAAATGCCATGCCATTACTCACTTGAAACATAGTAAGAAGTAAATGCTCTTCTCGGCTCTCGTACTGATTACCGTATATCGTGAACATGACTGTTTGCAATAGCTGGTCGATCTCGGCCATTGTGACAAGTCGACACAAATGCGCGATATGTCGGGGTTCGCTTTGGAGCAAAAACATGAGGTTGCCATATTTCTGCGTCTTCTCATCGTTTGGGAATGAGCCCTCGGTGAGGTCGACAGAATCGTCCAAGTGGCTGGCGACTTCTTCTTTCTAGGTAGCAGTCAGTAGACGTAGCACGTCGATCGTTGACTGGAATGCACGGACCTCTTCTAGGGCCATGCGATTTTGCACGAGCAGTGCTATCCGCGAATCGAGATAGCGCACATCTTTCTCCAGCACAAAGTTCTTCTTGGACTGAGATGATATCTTCGCCTTGAGGTCTCTGAGTGCTTTCTGGGCTGTACCTTGTTAGTTCCTGCTTACTACGAGGGAGGCTTGAGCGGCTCACGCTGCCCACCCACTCACCTCTTGCTAGGTCGTCCTCAATCTCCAGATCTCTTTGGTTTTGGTTCATCGACATGTACAGTGCCGTGACCGAGTATCGTTTTGAGGTGCGCATGGAGCGCGAACCCTCTTGAGAGCTCATGGTGTTCTGGCGCGTGACTGGGACGAAGCTGGAGCCTGCGGAGGAGGTCGATGCGCGGGACGGGTTATGGAGCATAGAGACGGCCATAGTGTGAGCGGTGCGGACGAGCGACGGTCAACGTCTCTTGTTCTCGTTCGAAATCGTCGCAATCTCGCGCTCGGCCAACGGCGAGGTTGAACAAAGAGGTCTATGGAATGCGGCAAGAGCCGACCAGACCAGCGTCTCGGCTGCGCAGACACGAATAGTCTCGTGTCTCAATGTCCCTTGAAACACGCACAATGGCACAGACACAAAGGCGAGCGAGCCCGCAGTAGCATCCGGGGGAACGTGCGCGGAATGGGTGGGGGGACGTTGATGCTGGCGGTGGTCGCGCTGGGCAGTGGGAGGCGGAGGTCCGGAGGAGGAGGAGGGGAGGTGAGTGATGCGCTCGAGCGCAGATGATGTCGTTGTCGGGTCGGGAAGAGCTGCACAGAGGCAGATTGCTCCTCTGCGGCGGGGATGCAAGTTATTAGATGAGTGGTGCGTGCGTGCCAACTGCGCACCGCACTGGCTGGCGCAGTGCACTATGCTCCGAGCTCAGTCGTGCCTCCCAGGGAGTGTTTCGCTGACTTTTCGCTTTGTTTCAGCTTTGGCTTCGGCTCGCAGCTCGCAGTCGCCGCACAACACGACAACATGGAATAACTGAGCAGCGGTCGCGACGGGGGGACGTCGGTGTGAGACGGAAGGAGGAGGGAGGAGGAGGACGACGAGGACGACGAGGACGACGAGTCGTGCTATTAGTTCCCGTCCAATGCGCGGCTCGTTCTCCCGCCCAGGTACGGCGGGGAGGGGGCGACGGCGAGGACATCAGGTGCCAGTGCCACGATTATCATAACAAGCTTCTGCGTTTTCATGCAGACTATTTCGGAAACGGCATGGCATAGCACTACCGGCACGATGGCTGTTGTAGGCGCTCGCTAGACTAGAGCGTTTTAGCCACTTATTACGCCTATACTAACACCTTTAGGTAGGTCTACGGATATAGTCGTACGAGCCGTCGGAGTAGCTCTATATAGCAATAAACCGTACGTTCCCGAGCTGTCTCTTTTTAGTCGCGTATAACCGTATAAATATCGCGTTTTCGAGGCGCGCCTAGCTTCGAGTATAGGCTAGAAAGGTAACTACTTTCGAGGTATCGCAAACTCGCTAATATAACGCCGGAAGACGAAGAGATATTAATCTTTATCGTTCTCGTAGTAATAGTGTTCGAATTAAATAAGCCGCTATAGTAGAAACGAGAGCTTACCGAGTACGAGTTCTTCGAGTAGATACTAGATAGCTAGCCGAAGTCGTAGTTTCCGCTATACTATAGGTGCGTAGAATATTAGTATAGGAAGTTAAGTTAGAAGTTAAAGTATAGTAGCACCTCGTCGTCGCTAAGCTAACTAATAATATTGCCTTAGGTTTAGTAAAGTCTAGATTAAGGAACTAGTAGAGGTATTAGATATTGCTACTATTAACTTCTGTAATAGCATTAAACCGAGCCCGGAATATACGCTCTATATAGTATTATAGCGCCTTACCTAGCCTTCTTAATAGGCTATCGCTTGCCCTCTTTTTAGCAACTACGAGTCGTACCTAAGTATCGTCTTTATAGACATAATCGACTATCTCGTACGGCGCTTCGGATATCTTATCGAATAGCACCTACGATTGCGAAGCTATAGTCGCCTTAAATACTTTACTAAGGTAATAAGAAGAGCTAGCTTAGAAGGGTAGATTTAGGGCTTTGTTAACGGTTATTTCTAAGGATTCTATCGACTTACTATCGGTTAAAGAAAGCAGTATTCTAGGCATAAGAAAGAGCATAGTAGTAAGTACTAAGGTATTGTTATACTAGACGGCATTATATCTTCGATAATAGGGCTATATAATAGCTCTAATAACGATTAGGAGATGTATAAGACTTTAGGCGTTATACGCCGGCTTCGAAGAATAATAGACCCTCGTACCGGCCGTAGAATGCTATATCTTTATAGTAATCTAGTATACTATAGTGCCTTCGGAATAATAGCTCCTTATAAGCATTATCTTAGCCGCAAGATGCTTACTACTAAGTAACGGAAGTTTAATAAATACCTCGCTAGTCTACGTATTTCCGTCGAGTACGTATTCGGTTAAACTATACGCCTTTAGATATATAACACCTTTGCTAGGCAGCTATATATAGGAAAGACTACTAGAAAGAAGGGAAAAAAAATAGTAGCGAACAACTAGAAACGAAGGGAAGACAGTTAAGAAGGAAGGGAGGACAAATAGAAAGCACTATATACTAAGGCAGAGGAGGTACTAAAGGCGGAAGATAGAAGAACCCCTAAGAGGGCATATAGGATAATAATCTCAGAACTCCTTAGAGGACTAAAAGCAATCTATAACTAGGCAAGCTACGTTATTACAAAGGTAGCTAATACAGTCGCAGTAAAGATTACGAAGAAACAATAGGAGACAAGCCTAAACTACCGTACCTAGGTAGCAGTAGCTAGTTAGGAGGCGCTAAAACCCCCGAGGACAGTAGTTAGAGTCTATATTACGGACCTATAGGAGCAAAAGGAAATCTAAGGACTTTTAGGGAAAGAGATTATAGAAAGAATTGTAGTTAAAGAGGTAATTAGGGCTAGGAACGAAGGTAAAGGAGTAATTAAGCTGTTTATAGTATAAGAGCAGGACAAAAAGAAGCTAGAAACACAAAAAGAATAGACAACTAAGATAGGGAAAACAGTAAAGGTCTCCTAATAGCAATTTATAATTATAGCCTATAGCATAATAAGAAGCTTTAAGGAAGAATAGGATATTAAGAGCCTATAGAGACAAAACTAAGCTATATACTTAGGCCTTAAGATTACAAAAGTAGCATAGATTAAAAGGAAAATCGAAGAGACTAAGAAGCAGTCTTCCCTAATTATCTAGATAGGGAGTATAGAGTAAGCCAATATAGTACTAGACTAGGGGTTGTTCTAGGACTTTAAAAGATTAGAAACAGAGATATATAGAAGCAACTATAGGATAATACAGTGCTTCAAATATCAACACTACAGACACTTAGTAGCTAAGTATATAAAAACAACTAATACCTGCTCCTATTGTATAGGGGATTACTAGGTTAAAGAATGCAAAGTATACAAGGGAGAAGCAAGATATATATACTATACTAAAAGACACCCCTCTTAGGCGAAGGAATGCCTAGTAAGAATATAGGCAGCTAGGAAGGCAAAGGAAGCTAGAATTAATACACCAAAAAGATATACAATAAGCTAGGGTAGCTAGGTATAGAAGCAACCTAGCTAAGTGCTATAAAAGAGGTCTAGATAAGATAATAGGTTTACATTTAGGGCCTTACTAGCATAAGAGAGTCACTAGCAACCAGGGAGACTAAGATACCCTAACATTATAGGAAAGGAAGCAGGGCAGACAAAGCTTAGTCAAATATTAGTCTAAAGTAAGGGAAGACTAAAGGAAAACCTATAGGGAAATAATATAGATAAAACTCAATAAATATTGCAATATTACTGAATATTATATAGTATAATATTAATAAGAGCAAAGACAAGGTATAGAGGAGCTTCCTTTAAGCACTAAACCTAAAAGAATATTACATTATTGCAATCTAAGAGCCCTAGCTTAACCTATATACAAAGAGACTAGCAACAGTTAAAGACCTAAGATACTACCCAATTATCTATAACTAGGGAGCCCTAAGGATATGCATCTATATTAGCAAGGAGATAGATATAGAAACCTAGTAGGCTATACTATAGGAGGATAGGGACCTAACATTAGTTTAAGTAGAGACATCCTAAGGTATACTCTAAGTCTACTATATATACAACCTACTACTAGACTTAAGAAGCAGTACCTAACTAAAAACCCTAGAAAGACTACCTAGAGTTATCTAGGGGAACACCTACTAAATCCTACTTAGGGATTTCAACCTCTACTACCCCCTCTAGGGCTTAGACTTTACCCTAGCTTACTACTTCCTAGTAGGAAGACTAATTAATATATTAGAGAGGGAAGGAATAGAAATTGTTACCCTAAAGGGACTAATTACTTAGGAGGCAAGAGGAAGTAGCAGCACACTAGACCTATACTTTGTATTATATTAGATTAGGAACAGGATTATAAGATACAGGATCAACTAGGAACTAGAAGAATTATTAGACTACTTCCCGGTACAGATTAAGCTAAATGTCTAAGCTAATTAGGAAAGGGAACTAGAGGAGAAGCTCAACTAGAAGGGTACCTAATAAGGCAGGATTAGGGAGGAACTAGAAAGGGACCTAAAACTAGAGGAACTCTTAACAAAGTACCTACTAAGGCTAGAGGATATTAATAAGGCAGTAGAAGAACTAATAGGAATCCTAAAACAGGTAGCTAGAAAGCATATCCTAGCAAAGAAACATTTACTATACTAGCAACTATACTAGACTAGTAAGTATATAAGGAAGGTTAAAGTAGTAAGGAAGGCTAGGAGGCAGTAGATACAAACCTATACCTAGGAAGTATAGGACAACTATAATAGAGCCTGCTAGGAAAAGAAGATCTAGATTAAGAAAGACAAGATACAAGAATAGAGATCTATAATAGGAATAATTATAAAGAAACTAGAGGAGATATAGAGGATAGCTAAATAGGTAAGGAGACCTAAACAGGATAAGGATATACTACTACAATTCCCGGACATTATAGACTAATAAGGACAAATATAGACTACAATAGAAGGGAAAGTAAGAGCCCTAGGCTAACACTTCTTCTATAGAAAAGTATAAGCAGACCTATTAGATATAAAGGAGGAAGAACAAGAGACTCTACTACTAGGTATACTAAGAGACACCTAGGTCAAACCCGAAACTATTAAAAGGGTCCTAAAGAAAATTCTAAGCAATAAGGCACTAGGAGAAGACAAGATCTATAACAAACTTCTAAAAGCATATAGGAAGGAGCTAGCCCTAGTACTCGCTAATATCTTTTTATAAAGCCTAGCACTAGGATACTATCTAAGACTATTTAGGAAGTCCCTAATAGTAGTGCTAAGGAAGCCCTAGAAGGAAGACTATATATAGCTTAAGGCCTATAGACTAATAGCCCTACTTAATATAATAGGTAAGGTACTAGAAAAAATTGTCGCTAAAAGGCTAACAACCTTTACCGAGGAAAGGAATATCCTTCCTAAAGGCTAGATAGGAGGAAGAAAGAAGAGGTCAATACTAATAGCTATAGAACTAATTACAGAACAGATCAAGTATATCTAGCACTATAGTCAAAATCAGGTAGCAACCCTCCTCTCCCTTAATATCTTAGGAGCTTTTAACAATGTCTCCTACGAAAGGCTCCTATATATACTTAAACAGAAAGCTATACTAAACTAGATAGTCCAATTTATCTAGTCCTTCCTATAGGAAAGATTAATATAGCTTATTCTAGGCAAATTCAAATTAGACCTAATGCTAACTAAAAAGGGAATCCCCTAAGGATTAATACTCTCCCTAATCCTCTTCCTTCTCTTTATAGCAGACCTACTCCTACTCCTAGAATTAAAAAACACATTAGCATTAGGGTTTATAGATAATACAAACATCCTAGCCTAGTCTAAGACAATAGAAACCAACTACAAGATCCTAGAAGAGAAGCACTAGGAGTATAAAAAATAGGCAAGGAGGTATAGAGCAAAATTCGCCCTAGAAAAGTACTAGCTTATCCACTTTAGTAAGGCTAAATCAACCTACAATATAAAGCAATCAATCACTATCTAAGGCTTTAAAACCTAACTATTAGTAGAGCTTAGGGTACTAAGGATCTAGCTAGATCTAAAACTGAATTAGGGACTATAAGTAAAGAAGGCAAAGTAGAGGGCAGATACTAATATACAATCTATTAATAGGCTTATAGCCTCTATATAGGGGGCTATATTCGAGAAAGCTAAAGTTGTGTATAAAGCAATTGTCAAGCTAGCAATACTATATAGAGCATAGATATAGACAGCCTAGGAGAAGATACTAAAGAGGATTAAGCAACCAGTTAGTAGGTCCTAAACCTAAAGCCTAAAGAAAATCCTAGGAGTATACAAAACTACACTAATAAGGGTAGTAGAGATAGAATTAGGGATCCTACTAGTTAAACAATACTTTAAGGGACTAAGACACCAATATACAGCAAAGACAATAGAATACCTAGCCTAACAGACTATCTAAAAGGCACTAGACAAGATAAAAGCCTAGTATATTAGGACTAGGAGGCGAGATAGACTATAAATAACTCCCTAAAAAGTCAAAGACCTAGAGCAATATAGAGTCTTAATAAGAGAAATGCTAGAGAAAGAGCTTTAGGGACTAAATATAAGGCTAAAGGAAGACAAGCTAAAGGGAGAGAAACAAAGCCTAGTAGAATCAATTGCTAGACACCTATAGGAGCAGGAATAGAACAAAACACAAGTTAGACTAGGAACCCTAAAGGCACTAATCAAATTTGGTTAATACAACTACTAGCTCTATAAGGACCTAAATAGGGCCGAGGCAAGCCTAGCTATCTAAATCAGATCTAAATACATTAGACTCAGATCTTACCTATATAGAAGAAACGTCCTAGGAATTGAAAATAGAGCTTACTAATATAGCTACTAATCTTAGAACCCTAAGTATATACTGCTAGTCTACCCTTAATAGTTAGAAGGTAGAAGTAATTAGAGACTAAAAGCAATAGAAAGGGAATACGACAAGCTAATCTAGAGCAAAGAAGACCTAAAGAGGATAGTAAAGTAGATTATTAAATAGGGATTTGTATAACAATTCGCACTAGCAAGGGAAACTAAGGAGTAGATAAGAAGGAGGGAAGAAGAGGGGGAAAGAAGGGCAGGGCAGTAGGCAAGGTAGTTAGAGGGTAACAACTATAACACTAGTATACCCTAGAGGAAGGAAAACAAGAAAACGAGGAAGATTAGCACTTATAAATAGGACAGGAGGGAGGTTTTTACTAACTAAGTTAGTTTCCTACCTAAAACAATATATAGAAACAGACCTACATAGGCCGAAAGGCACTACCGCACTACAACAGGCAAATGAAATATCTATCTATCTATATATAGGCAAGCAGGCAGTTAGAGCCTTTATAATAGTCGGTACGCTATTAACTAACTGCTATATTTATATAGAAGGTTACAATCAAACGAGCGAGAAATACCTAATAAAGCCTCCGGACCTCTACGAGTACCTAGACATCGACAATCTATACGATACCGACTTAGAGAGCGATTAGATTCGCTTTACTATAGCGTTTACTATAGACAACCGAATAGCGGGGTCTATTAACGTTGCCGCTATATAAACGAGGTATACTCGTCGCCTCTCGAAGTTATAGAAGTCGCATTTACGGAGATCGCCGGAGGTACTAAGAAGTTTATATAGAGATACTAAAACTTAGATTCAAAAATTCATTTTATAATATATATATACCGTATAACAAAACTAATTATAGGAGGTGTTTCGCTACTATCGAAAGTATATCTCTAATTTATTTGCGCCTTATATACCGAATGTTAACTATATTGTCGCACTATTCCTAAAGCTAAGGTAAGCTTCTTAGATCGGCGGACCTAAGTCGAAGTTCTCGGGGTTGAATTCACTTATTTGCGCTTATACCTACGCCTATAACTCCTACCTCTACTTCTATACTATCTATCCTATTATTATAGTAAGATCTCCTTATATCTTTTGCATTCCTTTATTTAACTTAGCAATAGCTGTCGTAGTTGCTATATCCTACTATGCGCTACTATCCGTACGAGAAGCTATATAACTTATTAACTTCTTTAAATCCGGCCGCAAGTTAGTCGACTTGTCGTTAACCGGCTTCTTACGCTTCTTCTATCTACGCGCTAACTATACACTCGTAGACCTATCTCTTTTACCTAATAGAGTTAGAGTCGGAGTTGCACTTAATAAAGACCTACGATTGAAGTTTAGTCGTACTAGCGGCGGTATTGTTAAGCGAGAGTCGTCTTCGTCGGTAGTGTTATCGAAGTCGCTTATATCTTCGTCCGAATAATCTATAGTTAGGTCTTAATCTTCTACAACCTCGTTATTATCTAATAGCGTATCTACTGTCTTCTTATCTCCTTATCTAACTATTATCTTCGCACGCTTAATCTGCGACTTTGCTACTTCTTTAGTTACTACCTATACTATCTTCTTATAGTCGACTTCTTCCTATTTCTTCCTATCCTTAAACGCTATCTAATCCTTTATTGCTATACTTATATTAGTCTCGTTCTTAGTGCTAGTCTCGGACAGATTAGCGAAGTAAATACGCTACTATGTCTCGTAAGTCTTTATTATACGGTCGAGACTATTATAGACAGGTCCGCTATTCGACTAGAAGAGAGCCGTTATAACGTTCTAGAAGCCGTCTCTAAATTAATGCTAATTGTCGTTATAAGTGCGTGCTAATAGCAATAACGCCTCGTCGTCTAATCTGCCTTTTCTACTAGTATACGGTATTAGTACTAGAAGTCTACTATTCGCTATATTGCGGCCGTCTCTACCTATATCTCTAGTTACTATTCTACCCTCTTCTTTAAGCGTAGCGATAGCAGTCTTCCGCCGCTAAGAAGCGCTTTTCTTCTTTAATCGACTAGCCGCTTAACTTGCTATATCGCTAGGCGTAGGTATCTTACTCGGTACTAGCGTACGCGGTTGCGGAGTGTCCGAAGGTGCCGATAGACGCTCGATCGACGGCTTCGCTACTATCTCTTCTTATACCTTAAACTAAGCCGCTCTCGCTATAGCGGCTCTTTAAGCGGCAGCAATATTATTAGTATAGTTAACGGCTGCTTGTTATGCCTTAACTTTAGCACGAGATAAGGTATTAATAGCTAGCGAGTCGTTACGATAGAAGTCGCTCGGTACTATAGAGGGCTCTCGAGAGGCTGTTACTAGAGCTAGAGTTATACTAGCGCGAATAGTAGAATCTAAACGGAACGTTATCTAAGACATTATACTTTAATTTGTTAAGGAATGCTAACAAAGTAGAGCAGTTCTAGCAGTACGCGATTCTATACGAGTTCTACGCGTTATAGGTACGAGATATAGTCTCTACTAAGCGGCCTCTTCCGCCCTATCTAACTATTCTCGACACTTAGCATCTAAACAAGGGTATAAGACCTACCTATAGAGGCCGCTCTACAACCGGAGCGGCCTCTATAGGTCCGCTTTGACCATTGCCTGATAGAGCCGCCAAGAGTGTCCGGATCCAGTATGTCCGAAGGTGTTGGTGTAGGCGTAACAAGTGGCTAAAACGCTCTACTAGTCTCAGGGGACCGACTGCTGCATGCACATAATGATATGCCACGCCATGCCAATGCCATTGACTGTGATTCTTATTATTGACCCCAAGCGCCCGAAGCGCCCGGCTGCTCGCTCGCAAAGGTGGTATATATTATTCAGTCTACGTATTCCATACGGCTATTGAAACTTCATTTTCGGCGAGCACCCCGGCAATGGCGCAAAGTGGCCTGTGAATGCAAACGGTAGGCTATGAATGGAGACGCCACCAAAGCACTCTTCACGGCGACGCGCATACCAGTCAAGCGTCAGTCGCCGCCAGGGATACTCGTGCAGCGAACAACCACGCTTGACACGAGCACACACATCCAAAGTCTTTATTACTACGAGATGCGTGCACAGCTGCACGTGCTGGGGCCTTCTGCATCCCTGCATGATTGGACTACTAGCCACTGTGCCTCGAGACTACGGTGATGAACATGATGACAACTGCTGATGAGCAATAATCAGCAGCGTAATGGCGAAGACGCCTGCTGACCTCCCCGTTGCAAACTCAGAATCTCGAAATATCCCCTCCGAAACACGAAACACCTCGAAAAGTTGTAGCACGTGCTATGGTGCCAAATTGACCAAGGTACGAGCATGGATCTTACCAGTTCACGAGCTAGTACCTCGGTATCAGCAGTCGATACCGTACCTCCAAGACATCGGCAACCACGCAGCGCAGCCAGACACCTTTGCGTGAGGTTTGCTGAACTGCACTATCGCTATGTACGCCTGGCTCTCCTAGACTGTTGCTTGCCACGATTTCGTATGTGGACCGAGAGTGGATGGCAGGATGCATTTCTCACGAAGGAGAATCCTTGACTTCTGATATCGCCCTTGTTGAGCTTCGTTGCTAAAACCACGTAGCCTTTTTAGGAGGCAAGTTGAGGCAGCTTGTGCAGTTGCAGGGTATTGAGTGCCCTCAATCACCGCACAGTCGCCCAACGCCTACACGTCTCTCAAGACTAGTGATTTAGGTCCCCACTCACGCACTGTGGTCACATGCTTATGAACACTATGAACACGTTATTATAGGCTAGCCTGCTAGTGAACACAACCGTCACTGACATTAAGTGGACCCCTCTAACCGGAAGGGGTATATCAGGGTATCCCCTACTGATCACTAAGTCTCATTGCCTATATAAGGAACGACACTAAGCCTAATACGCAAATCGCCTCGCTATGAACACGGTATGAACACTGTGACGATAACGTGTTCATACGACCCAATCCTTAATACACGGTGAACCTAAATCACTACTCAAGACGCCTTTCGGCTCACCCTTGTCCTGGCTCGCCGCATCCAATTGCACTCGAAAGACATCGTCAGTCACAACGCTCCCGGATCTCTGGTTCTTCTGTACTCGCCAATAATCGGCCGATGATTTCAGCTATTTCTATAATGAAGGGATTGCTCAAAACTTAAGCCTGCAAATGTGTCAGCGAACCATTCTTCACGGTGAGGTTGACGATCCCGGTCGCCATTCACCCTGTGCTCCAAACGACCATCCCCCAACCAACTTCCGATAATCCGATTCTTGTCCATTCTGGAGCTTCCGCTTGCTTGGAGCAGGATATCGTCGTTCTCGCCAGACCCGAGCACTCTGGGAAATCCTCGCTGCAGCTCGCCTATGCTGTGACTGGTCTTGATGGTAATCCCTTTGCGACCAAAGTTCTGAATGGCATGTTTGCTAAGCTTTTCGTCGAACATTGGCAATATCTTGTCAACGACATCGCATACGGTGATTTGGAAGTGCTCCATCAGTTGCGGATGAAAGGGTTGACATGTCGAGTCACGATGTCTTGGAGCTCGCCAGAGAACTCAATTCCTACCCAGAGGCTGTGTCACTGGTCAGTACGCAGTAGTAGGCTCAGATCGGGATGCTTCTGCAAACTTACCAGTTGGACGGACACCGACAAACGCGAAATTCAGCAATTGCTTCGTAGGGCAGCAGTTTCGAAGGCTAAAGCAACTTTATCGCATAGATAAGAAAAATGATGATATCGTACCAGGATGCAGCATCACGTTGTTGAGAGGCTGCTTGACCGTTTATCGAAGGACGGAATCCTTGCGGCGCACTCCGAAGATGCAGGAACCGGATTAGGAAGGAACGGCCACGAAGACCTGGTTAATGAGTAAGACAAATATAGGGCTTAGCTTCGTCTATCGAACTGTTCTATTCTTGCTTGGTAATAAGCTCCAAAGATAAGAATAGTAAGTAGTAGTAGTAAAGTGCCTTAACTTATAATAACCTTAGAGTTTATGTCTCTTCTTCTAATCTCTTAAAGTTCTATTATTATTAAAGTCTATCTATCTAGCGACTTCGACCTGCCGTACTTACTTAGGCCCTAAATACTTCGTCTTGTCTTTTTATAAGAGGTTGTCTTATTTATAAGTCGACTATTATTATAAGTCTATCTTATTATAGCGCGTTTTATTTATTTTAAAGTATTTAACGTGTCTTATTGCTAGGTATTACAATCTTTTATCTCGTAACTATCTCGTAACCTACAACCTTGCTATTTTAGACTTTAAGCCGTAGAATCTATCTCTTGTAATTGCTATATACTATACTACTAAAAGGCTTAAAAAAGGCGAAGGCGGTCGATAAGCTAAAGAAGGGTATAAAGGCGAAGGACGATAAGCCGAAGAAGCGTACGCGTACGTAGCTACATCTATAGACTAAAGAATAGCTAGAATAGCTATTTAGTTTATTAACGGACTATATAGCGGCGTAGAATAATAACTAAGGGTATTCTAATACTATAATACTAGAAGTAACGAAGGAGTTAAATACTCGGTTTAAGCTTAACTTAAATATAAAGCAGGTACGCAATAAATACGACACTTTCCGAGCGCCTTAGAAGCGCTAGAAAGTATACCTTAGAAGGATTAGTAGTTAGTTAGGCAATCTACCTCGACTGGACGACGAGGCTATAGAAGAGGCCTATTATAAGGCGTATCTAGACTGCTTAATATAGCGTAACGCTCTGCCTAAATTCCACTCTTAACTAGAGGTCCTATTTAGTAATAACCTCGCTACTAGTAAGAACGTACAACCGGCTAATATACTAGCTTAAGAGACGCCTAAAAAGGCATACTAGAGGTCGTAGGCGAAGGAGGCGGATAATAATAAGGATAAGGAGGTGCTAATAGATAATAAAGATTAGCCTCCGAGTAGTAACGAAAGTAGAAATACACTAAGTACTACGAGCAGTCGTAAGCGGAAGAGCGAGGCTTCGAGTAAGACAGATCGAGTCTACCGAAAGGACGAGACGACTACTGCTATTAAAGACCTCTTAATGCTACTAAGGTCTTTAGTAGCCTCTATCGCCGCCTGCTAGCAGGTCTTAAAGGCGCCGCAAGAGACGATTATAATTAGACCCTATAGTGGTTCGGTTTGCGAACTATAGAACGTATATAGTTTAGTTTCTTAGCAGTACCCCTCCGGTTTAGTTCCGGTTTAGTTTTTTGCCCCGCTAGTCTAAGCTAGTTTCCGAGAAAATCCGACTAAACTGCGACGACATACGACGACCTCGGATCGAGTCCGGGACGCGACGGGGGCCTATATTATATACGCTACACGATTGCATCTGTGTTTCGGGCTGTTTAGACGTGTTTTAGGATAGGTTTTTGTCCGTAGCCGGCACGTAGCTAGCACCTAGCCGGCAAACCGGTCCGTGCACCGGTTTCTTAGCAAACTAAACTAAACCAAACCAGAATTTCGGCTTAGCAAACCAAACTAACCCAACCCGAACTACTACGGGGTCTAATTATAATAGCCGCTATAAGGCGCGCGATAAATTGTAAGGGTATTATAAGGCTTCTCTTTATAAAGAAGATAGCAATACTAGACCTCTGCGAGAATAAAGGCACGGCGAGTCGCGTAATAGGCTGTCCGGATAATAATCTCGAGGCGATGCTAAAGTAGTTATTAAAGAAGAGAGGGAAGGTAGACGACGAGGAAGAGCCTAATAATAGGGTAGTAGAAGACACTACTACGTAGCCTGCCGCTAAAGTACTACTACGCCCTCTTTATAAGCCTTAGGAGTTACCTTAGTAGCAACAGTCGCAGCAATTTACTAGGGATAATGCTCTAGATAGTATTCTGTTTAATTATCTAGCGTATAAGCTATATTATAGGTATAGGGGTCCTTAATTGCCGCCGATACAAGGTCCGCTATTTAATAGCTAAGATAGGTATTTATAGCAGTAAAAAGTTAGAGATTGTTGCTAGGGCGACTACATTTCTTAGAATGTAGCGGGGTTGTCTATACTATAACTTTGTATAAAGGTGTTATTAGTTTTTGCGTAAAGATCTTATTATATACTGCGAAGCTACTATTACGTTCATTTTCGGATATATTGTCGTCCTAAAAACAAGCTACATTTCCTCTAAATAAGCGTATATATAAAGCTAAGCTCTATACTTAGCAAAAACTATAAAATTTGACTTTATTACGAGTTTCCTTAACAACTATACTACCGATTTTCTTCGTTGTTTTTTTATATAAAGCATTTGCTAATCAACTACTAACTAATTAGAACGAGATAAAAAAATAGTAGTGTTGTTATAGGGATAATAGCGATATAGCAATAAGACTCGGATTTTAACGCTAAGCTCGGATATATCCGCTTTTAAACTTGTAGAAACTCTAGCTATTAGTAGAGCACTCGGAGAGAAGCAATAGTAGTAACAACGCGTTTAGTATCTGCCTAAAGTTCCAAATTATATTAAGAAGCAGCGAAATAAGGTAGGAAATCGCGCTAAGCCTATACCGTACCGAACTATACCCCGATTTCGAACTATATCTACTCCTCTACTAAACCTCTACTACCTAATTATCTTCGTACGGCTTTATCGCTGCAATTCTAATCTTATAGTCCTACTATATCGCCGTCGCTATCTTGTCCCTATAAACCGATATCTTGCTTCTTATTGCTATCTATTCTCGATCTGCCTCGGCGACCTCTTCCTCGATAATATTATCTACATCGAAGCCCTAGTTATAGTCTTCTAGCTACTAGTTAAACGTCTCGGTTTCGACTGTCTGTCTATAGCGGTTTATAAAGTTATAAAGAGCGGCGAGTCTATATATAAAGCGCGACTATTAGAGCGTAGTATAGCCCTTGTTTAGACTAATTCTAAGTAGAGGCTATCGCTCCTTAATAATACTAAACATCCGCTCGATATAGTTGCGAAGCTACGAATAGCGCAGGTTAAATAGCTCTTCCTTCGTCTCCGGCTTTATATTAGAAGCCTTCTATTCTCGAAGGTAGTATCTTGTCTTCTAGTATAGCACTAATATATAATCTAGGTTCTTCGAGTATCTACCGTCCGCTAAATAGAACCTCCCCTTCGGTATATATATGCCCTTCCTTATCGCTGCGGCTAATATAGTGCTATCCGCTATAGAGCCCTCCTATCTAGGCAATATATACGTAAAGTTAGACTAGAAGTTATAATAGGCTAATATATTCTAAGTAACAGTACCCTTACGGTTACGATAGGCGCCTAGATTCTTTATCTTCTTCGTCTTAAAGGGGACGTGCGAGCTATTAAGTACGCCTATATAACCTAACAAATATAGCTAGAACTTCGGGTTCTCGTATACTTCTAAGGTAGTAGTTGCCTCTCGAGCCGGCTATATTATAGTGTCGCTATATAGCTTATATAGCAGGCGGCTTATCTTTAAGACAGTACGTCTATAGCTTAATAGTTGTAAGAAGGGTTATGTTAGTAGGTAGATAGGGTAGTAGTAGGTACAAGTAGTATTCGATAAGGAGCTAGGAGGAGAGGGAGGAAGGTAGGCAAGTTAGCCTATTGCCAAGCGCTAAGCCCTGCCTAAGGCACTAAGACCCTAGCTTCACTTAACCTAGTTATATGCCAATTACGTATAGCCTCTTTAGCCCTAATATACGCTTCCCTTCTAAAGGCCGCGCCCTCGTAGCCTGTCTATATTCTACGACCTCTATTGCCGCTAACTTAGCAAGTCTAATAAGCTGCTTAGCCCGCGCTAAATTAAACACTCAACTACCTAATTATATAACTATATCAAACCTTACCTTCTAATATAATGTCTAACTCTAACTACGCTATCCTTATATATAATAAACTATAAAGTGATATATATCTACAAGAATTGAGGACTATCGACCAATTATAATACGAGCGCGTCTTCCCTACTATAATAGGTAGACGTACGAGGTATTGCAGCCCTACCTCCGTTCTAAGTAATATCGTACCGAGTTCTTTGTGTCTACTCTTAAAAGACCTAGCTATATCCGCTTCCGAGGGTTGTTCTTGTTATTACGAGGGATTGTTCTTATTATTACGAGGGCTATTGTTTACTATCGTAGTTTCACTAGCCCTAATTAGTTAGGTTTAGCAGCCTTTAAGTATTAACTAATTATATCTTTTTAAAAAACTCAGTTCTTCTAGTTTCTATAGGTAAAGGCTATTATAAGTGCAGTAGTAGAGGTTCGCCTCGCTTAAAGGGTCGGAAAGATCGAGGAGTAACCTATTATCCGCAAGATCGACCCTGGCTAGCTTAGCTCTATAGTTTTGCCCTTAGTTAGTCTATTAGTCGCCCGATCTTTTAGGCGGCTTAAAGTTTTGACTTAGCCTTAAAGCTTTAATTAAACCTTTAATAGGCTCAATCTTTTAACTTAGTTAGTATAGTGCCTTAGGCTCGTAGTATAGGTAAGGTTATGCCTACGGCGCAGTAGCAATAGCAAGTAATGTTAATAATAGCGGCGCTAGTCGTCTTAGCGCTAACTTTACCTTGCTTTCGATTTCCTTCTTCGACTAATAATATACTCTGCAATACTGTTACTAATATAGCCGCGCTAGCCGTATCGCCCTTTAGTACGAGCGTAACGCCGTCGTTACTATTATTATTACTAATACTATTCGCCTACGCGCGCGCGCGCCTCTATCGACCGCCTAGGCCTTAGGGTCCCGATAGGACGTAGAAACAAGAGGGGCGTTAAGAGGAGGACCTTATAGGGTGCGCTAGTAAAGAGGTAGATTCCTTAAAAGAGTAGGCGATTAGTTAACAGTTATAGTACGCTCGTTAGTACTCGTTGCGCGTTCGTTATCGTAGTATAGTCTTGTTGTCCTTTGCTAACAATCGCTT